ATTCAAGTACCTGAATTAAATAACTGACATACAGCATGAAAGCGTTTCAATTTTCTGATAAATGCTTGTGTGTTCGTTTGGTATGGAAAACTGTAGAGACAGAAAGTTGTATATTTTACAGAGGATTGGAGGAAGTGCATATTAAGTGTTTTGAGGGATCTGAAGAATCTCTAGAATTTCCCCCAGATCCCTCAGCAATAGAAAGGGAAAGGTTTATCTAGGGTCAATAACTTAGGTTTTGTGAAATGTCCCAGGGAGGACTTTTCTCCTCAATGGCTTCAGAGGAAGAATAGGGAAACAAGCCTGTCAGATCTTGAGTTATTCTTTGTGCTGCTGGATGGATAGTGATTGTTGACATCTTTGTCAGCTTACATACTTTTTATCTTATCTTTAACCATTACCATAGTAAACATTTTGGCACCAAGTGGAACCATACAATAATGTGCATTAGTTGTCAAACAGTATCCTATAATTACTTTAGAAGAGAAATCAAATAGTTTATAATTACATGGGCAATTAGCTGTCTGGACAGTTTTCAAATGACATCCCTCATATTTAATCAAATAAAGCTTGTGTTCACAAGGAGGAGGGTGCTAGTCTTAATTGATGTCTTTTCCCTCCATTTCAGCCTATAGAAACTTGTAAAGTTCAGACAAATTGTGTTGTAACAGAGCTACTTAAAAAAAAAAAAAAAAAGCCTTGATCATTCATCTAACAAACATCATCACTGGGTGGTATTGTGTAGCAAATATGTCTTGATGTACTCTTACAGGTCAAGCTACTGTACTTACTATAGCACTGCTGGAAAGGATTATCTTTGTTGTTGAGAGCTTATTATTATCGTTACTGGATAATTGTGTTCTGTCACAGCAGCACGTAGTGTTTTGCCTAATGCAACTGTAAAGTAACTGTAAAGTAATTTTTTCTCCTAAGGAATTTGCAGTTTTATTATTTATGAGATTTAATAATACCAAAGAAATTGAGATTAAAAAGTCATACTGACAAAAAAAAAACAAAAAAAAAAAGAGATGAAAAGAGAGAGGATAGAGGTTACAGAAGGGTACCTGGGGACTAGAGAAACCAAACCTGTTGCTCAAGGAGGCCATGGTTTTACCAGGCATAGAGTGAAACCTAACATTCAGTATGTTTGAGTAAGTCTCTTCAATTACAGCTACCATGTTTTGTAACATGCTGGCTGTTACATTGCCTTTCTAATTTCTTTTTAACAAAGCAAGAAAGAACAATGTAGTACACAGTGCTCTAATCCATTGGAGGTTGGTACAGTAAATGGCCACTGCAGCAAACTGCTTGGAGCAAGGGTAATGTCAGGCCATAAATAACACTTGCTACTTCAGTACCACTGTTTCTAATTACTTCCTGAGTGATGAAGTAATAACAAGCATTTCTTATAACAGCTCAGAAAGGATAAAGAAAGCTAAAGTGAAATTCTGTTTGAAACAAAAAGGTCTGAAAAGGTGTGCAATGGCTTTCCAGCAATAAAAAACACTGCTATTAATCTCTTACTGTGCATCTTCAATGTTTTGCCATATTTATCTGGGCACCATTGTGTATCCAACAATACATGGCTTTTCAAAAAAGTTAAAACCTTGCTTTGTGGTATAATAAGTTTCCTGTCAGTACTAAATTCTGAAAAATTTGTATAAGGAAGGAATTACACCACAGTCTTTGGCCTGGTGGAAGCATTTGACTGGATTGCTGATGACACTGGTGCAATCATTTTGTTAAATGATGTGTGCTGCATTTGTTAAATGATGTTCTGTAGCACTGCCACGTTGTTACCCTTTAGATCTTTCTATCCTCACAGAGTGTGCTCTGCCATCATGAAACTTGACAGCTTCTGGTCTGATGGTGATCCTGTGGGGATCTTGGATTCCAGTAGAGATATGCACTTCCAGTCGACCTCTGTTCAGGAACACTGCATAGTAAGCCTGCAATGGACATGTTGGTATACAAAGGTAAGTTACATTTCAAAAGACACAATTTTATTTAGTTTTACATTACTATGTATGCTTTATTTTCTTAAGTTTGTTTTTAATTTGTTCACTATAGTCAAAGTATTGGAATTACAGTTCTGCTGCTGCCCCATTCAGACTCCATAGTATTTTCATAATGATAAATGAATGAGATTAGGCAATTCTGGAAAACCTCATCAGAAGAGTTAACTCTCTGCATACTTATTTGCAGGGTAGGAAGGAGACTCTGGACCTAAAATTATTCTGATTTTTGATTTTCCAAGGTCTGGATTTATACCTATCAAAATCTGAATAGCTTTGGTCTCAGAGTGAGTTCTGCATCATTGGGCTGGGAAATCTCACTCACAGTTACTCTAGCAACCAATAACATGTTGTAGTGGATATCGAGGTCTAACCAGTTACTATAGCAATGTGTGTCATGCTCACTTCTGTGACCTGAAGAGCTGGATAATGATCAAGGAACCCATGCTCTGAAGACAATGTCATGTGAACTAGTCTTAATAAAGAATTGTCCCTACAGCGTATTCCTTCAGATCACTGGGGGCTCTGTCCCAAAGTAAGTATGAAGGAAAACAGTGAAATATCATTTCCCAAAAGAAAGAAGCCAAGTATTTTATCATCACTCTACTATGTCTATATATGATGTTTTTAATTAATCAAGACTTGAACAATTTCTAACATCCATCACTTTTCTACCAGTTAGCCATTTAGACTCTGCAGGTATTTTCTCTGAATAGATTGACTTTCTCCTCTTCAGAAAAAAATTATAGTGCAGATTAGTATTTTAATGGAGAAAGAAGACTGGAGCACTTCTGAATTACAGATCCCACAGTAATGATACTAAGCACCAGGGGGATTACACTGCGCTGCTCTTAGCCACTTGATTTTTTATTTTTTGTCTCAGTGAAAACAGAATGATTGTTATGTGTGTCTATATGACCAGGAAGAAGAGATGTTTCCAGGTATAAATAGTGCACAAGTAGTACTCAGGATGAGGACTCAAATTCTCAAATACTTAAAAAAACATACAAAAACAATATGAGAGCATCTATATGAGATATGCTATAAACACACATGATAGAAAAACAAATCTATTGTTTAACAACAAGCAATACATCACAGAATCATAGAATGGCCTGGGTCATGGGCAGTCACCAACCACTGCTAGACTAGACCAGGCTGCCCAATGCCCCATCCAGCCTGGCCTTGAATGCCTCCAGGGATGGGGCATCCATAACCTCCTTTGGCAACCTGTTCCCATATGTCACCACTCTCTGAGTGGAAAATAGCTATCTTATTGTGACTCTTTATGAGAAAGGTAGGTTTTGTGGGTTTTGTTTTTTTTCAGCTGAGCTTCTATCAAATTTTCAATTAAAAAAAAAGGGTAATATTACAAAGGCTTTTTTCTCAATTATTGAATGTAACTGAAGTATAAAATAGTAGCAGTGCCTTGGAACCAAACTGAATGGAAGAAATTCAGTACAACTGTGGGTTTTCTTTATCCTTTGCCTTGTACCTGTCCAGTCTGTCTGCGTTTTCTCTTCAAAGGGTCAGTTTTCCTTCCCGTGTTCCTGCGCTTTCTCCTGGGGGGAACAACTGTGCCACTTGAGCCAAATAAAATGATTCCAGACTCATTCTTGGTGCTGAAGGAGAGGTTGATTTCTGTGCCCACATCAAAAGAGACAGGCGGCATTTCCACAAAGCCTTGCTTCGGGAAACTGACTGTATAAATATTCTGTAGAAGAGGACAGAAATTTGGATTAAAAACAGTGTATGAACAAAGAGAAACATTTACTAACTAAAATTTAACTAAAACTATGGAAATATAACTAGGGTGAAGAGGTGGAAAGTAAAAAAAAATAAAGAAATTTACTTTTCAAAATATTGTGCAAACATTATCTGTTTACATCTGCTACATGAGAATAGTTCTTGAGTTTGTTCTTATTGAAATGCAAAGCTCTAATCTGAATTTGGAATATCCTCCCACATTAAAAATATCTGCTCAGAGGTGTTGTGATTTTATTTTTTTGTAATATGAATGTTTTCCATACAGTTAATACAGTAATATTTTGCTTTCAAATCAGTACCCGTGATAGCAGTATCTAATGTGAACACAAACTAGATTGTATTATTCTTCAAACTTGCTTCGAAAATACTCTCCATTACTCAATCAAAGTACTTCACTATAATTGCTTCACTAAGCAGCACTGACTTCTTGATGACCCAGGCTTGTAGGTGAAGCATTTGCTGCTTATGTCCCAACTCTTTTTGATGCCACTAGCACCATTTAAAGAGTGGAGTATGTTATCAAATAATAAATTGATGCATACTCCTGAAAATTTTCTGTAATTTCTGTCAATTCTTGCACTCTACCATCCGGGTAAGACTAGCCTATGTAAACAATCATTTTCATAAAAATAATTCACCTTTTTTTTCAGTACAGGTATATTTACTTTTTTTGCCAAGAAATCTAAAATTGATGACAACAAATATGAAATTCTAAAGATTTTTTTTGCTAAACTGCAATAAGTTGCTAAAGAATTTGAACTATGTGGTTGTTCACAGTTCAGCTTTACCATTATTAAACATTTTAGAAAATCCTACATTGTGTAAACAGTTGTATCTCAGCTGTCCAGGAACAATATCCAAGAAGTAGGGATCTGGAAAACTGGCTTACATGTTAATCAGACTCATCCATCTTTCTCTTAAATATACCAGTACTGACATTCACATTAGATCAATATATGCAACTAAACACATCTTGAATTGAATCAGAATTAAGATGTTTTGTCCTAAAATTAGAAACCAGAAAGCATTTATATCTATTAAGACCAAAATATATTGAAGTCCTACTAACCTCCAATGTACATCCTTTGGTTAGGCCAACAAAATCAGGACTACTCAATATATTATACGGAGTCCTCGAAATTTCTATCTCTTTGAGGCAACCTGTGTATTTCTTTAAGTTTACTTCAGGTCTAAAAAAAATTCAAAAGTACAATCTATTTTCAAAACCAGACTTTAGGGAACACGTAGATACATGCAGTTTTTTGAGATGTACAGATGCTTGATTTTTGTTTTTAATTGCACACAGACAGACAAACAAATACATCTTGCTTTCTACCAACTTTCCACACATAAAATGTTTATTACTTATCAAAGGTGTAACAGAGGATTCATTGCCTTTGTCAACAGACCCTTCTTTTCTTTCTTCCTTAGTAAAGGAGTGCTGTCACATTAAGTGTTTAAGTGCAATAAGCTAAGGCAAAAATAGATGAGAGAAGCAGTATTGAAAATGATAACAATGAGGAGAAACCTTGACTGGAACAAAGATGTTTCATTCATCTTTACGCATGCTAGATCTTAATGAAAGAAACTTTTGTAGTATACAACAGTTTTTGAGGAAGTATTTGCCAAGGTGTGAAATAAATTTCATTCAATATTTTTCATACTTTAGGAATCTTTTATGTTCATGTGGACTGACATTAGGTTTCTTTATATTTTGAGTATCTTTCCTATGAACACTGCTGTATATTGGTTTGAAACATAGGAAACACTTGATTTTCTCAAGTAGGTAATGAAAATAAAACACTTGGGTTTGTTATAGAACCTAATTACTCATCCAAAGCATAAAACATTATGATAGAATTGCAAATTTCCAAGTTTTGATTCATCAGCTGGAAGCTGGAAGAAATGAGAAAGCCCCTCAAAGTTGCACCAAAACTTGTATGCTTGAGTGCAAAAATCTGATCTGCAGATTGCAGGCCTGGGAAAACCAGAGAGAGACCATAATTGCTGGCAAGTTCTGAACCAGGTTTTCACAAAGAAAAGCCTTACAAAGGAGATTAAGGAAAAACAACTGTCATTTATACCATGAGACAAAGAAGCACTAGTTAATTTTGCTTACAATATTATAGTCACCCATGAGTGCTGTCAGTTTAATAGAATATCTGAATAATATGAAGAGCTCAAAGAAAGAAAAATGAATTTGGAAGATTAATAAGGAGTAAAGACTGACAAGACAAAAGGAACAACTCAGCTCTCTAAAAGGGAAGAAAAATTTTAAATGATTGTTAATTCCAAAATTAAACCATTTTGCACAGATATTGTGTAGCTGCGTGTTTTGGTACTGAAAGCCATTCTTTGCATTATAGCCATCCTAGCAAGCGCAGTGTATTTTCTTGCAAACTTGCAGCCCTTATGTGACTCAAACAATCTGTCTTACTGAAATAATCCTTATTCTTCTATATTCACAACCATGTAAGTAAGTTTTGCTCATCTTTCTTTCATTTGCTGCTGTTTCCCAGCAGCAAAACCCATTTGCTGTGTCCCTGTGAACAATGCCCATACTCTCCCTGTCATTGCCATTCAGTCCTGTCCAGTTCTAGGCTGCTCTCATGCTGTCTGGTTACAGGCAGCTGCTGTAATTGCTGCTTATAATTCCTAACCCATAGGAACTCTATATCCTTTTAAACATCTAATATTTGCTTCATGCTTTTTTAACACTTCTTTTTTATTTTGTTCCCCTCCAAAACATACAAAACAAGGCACAAGTTCATTCAGACCTCAGATTATTATCATTATTTTTTGTGCCAAACTAGTATCATTTTCAAGTGATGACAAGAAAAGATACTGGAGCATGGGAAGAAATAATCTAGCTTTCTTTGAAAGAGTGAAATTCTTGGATTGTGGTAGGGAAATTATATATTTCTAAATCAGGCCAGGAATAAAGCTGCAAGACAGAGTCAAGTTTGATTCTTCTCTGAAAACTCAAAACAAAACTAGTAGAAGCAAATTCCTGCAAACTGAAATTACAGTAAAAATCAGGTGACATCCTCAATCATTTCCCTAGCTCTTAAACTCAGAAGTGGTAAATTTAACAAAAGTCTGCACCGTAGCTTTCATACCCTCCACAGTAATTAATTCACAGCCTTGGAGTGCATTGCTCCCTTGCTGACCCTAGACAATGCTGCTCTCATAAGCTAGAGATCTTAAACTTGGAAATACAGCTTGCTATAGCTTTGCCTCCAATGCATACCAGGGTAATAAACAAACACAGTTGAATTAAGCAGCTGTGTGAAGAAAATAGAAGTTATTTGTGTAGATGTGGGCACAGCATGTAACATGGCAGCGTTAAGCACTTGGAAGCAGCTTTGCTTGTTGCAGCAGGAGCAACTTGCTGAATTAACAGCCTTAGCATAACAGCTGGTATAAATACTACCTACACGCTGCTACTGCATAGCTGCTTCTGCTTTTAAGCTACACTTACTAGACATGCAAGTCATGCAAGTAATCTGATTATTTTTACCTTGCTTTCATACTATGATGAGAAAGAAAGACAAAAAAAAAAATAAATCAAAATTATGTTAATTATAACTAATAACACTTATTAACAAAGTTCAAAATATTTCAAAATGAAGTAGATATGTAAACAATATATAATGGATAATAAGATTCTATATACACTGTCAGTGTATGGTAATTAACAAGGTTATTCTGCAAACAAATATCTGAAAATGTAGTACATCAAAAATCTTTCATAGTTAATTGCTGTATTTGGTCATGAATAAAAAGCAAATAATGTAAAAGAATTTGGCAGAACTGACACAGAATGACAATTACAAAGTTGGGGGATGCAGCATCTATTGTACGTAGCAGTAGTCCCAGTAGACTGCCATAGTCACTTTTTCACTGTTTTTGACTCTAATTTACCACAGCATTCATCTTGCACCAATGACTGATGAATCGTAGCTGTAGGCAAAATGGTTACCAAAGGTCCAAGTAATTGCTGTATGCTGATTTTCTGAGCAATCACAAAAAATTTGCCAAAATGCAATTGCTCTAGACATTTTATTATGTGCTGGTGTGATTTCACAACTACATAATGTAGTGTTAAATCTCCTGAGTAAAATAGCTTACATCTTAGTACTGCTGGATGATTTGACATCAGAGGCTAGCTGTTAATCTAATAAATTAACAAATATGTCCATTCTTTCAGTTGCAGAACAGCCTGTAGACTAATTACAACAGTTCTTGTGCAGAAGACAACTTCAAGGCTGTCATACCACGTAGCTAAAAGTGGCATAGATTAATGAGTTTGTTTCTGTGTTGCTCATCTGTTCATTGTAGCACAAAATTCTTCTGTTCCTGTCACTGCAAAACTGCTGAATATTCATTTGAAACTTAAAAACTATTTAAAAACATGTAATACTAAATTCAAGTATCTTTTATCTAGTTACTTCAGTTTAGTTTATTAAAGTTTGTCAACAATAATATGCAATTTGAAAAAAATAAATAATGGGAATTTTAATGGAGTAAAAGTTCAGGTTCAGGCATTTAAAATGAAAAGGTGGTCATATTTAAGTCTACTTAATATTATGTATATCAAAAGGAATTTTAGGAGTTTATGTCTACAAACTTATTTCTATAAATAACATAAATTCTTTCTACAGACAACATTTTTAGATGTATTCCAAAGGAGTAGGCAGGTGCTAGAACAGGCTGCCCACAGAGGTAGTGGAGACACTATCCCTAGAGTTGTTCAAGAAACGTTTAGCTGTTGTACAAAGGGACATGGTTTAGCAGGAAATATTGGTGATAGGTGGATGGTTGGACTGGATGATCATAGTAGTCTTTTACAACTCTGGTGAATTTTTTTATCTGGTGCATTTTTGTGTGGTACCTATAGCAAGCCTGTTTAACTAGAAATGTGTACTAATTTAACAGTAAATCCACAAGGAATAGTTTTGTGCTCATGCACATGTTAAACACTCATGCTTAATTTTTATGCAGCTATGGAGGTGTTTCTGTATGGTTGGAGTAATAAATTCTATTCATCAATTAAGAAAATAGACTTAAAAGAAAGCCAGCTACATCATGATTCTGCACAGCATCTGAAAGCTGTATAGCATATAAAAATCTATTTGCACTGTATTTGTGTAATGAGCTGTGAATAGCATTGAAATGCACAAGTGATGAAGTGTTGGTCTGGCAGTATAGAGTACATTGGGAATCTACCATTTACTTACTGCAAATGTATTTGATAAATGGATACAGGTGATAGAATTACACTGCATTTACATTCCCAAAGGTGAAGAAATTGGTTTGAGTCATGTTACCTTAGGTTTCTAAGAGTCGGCAATCCACCAAAATATATTTTCTCATGCCCTTTTAAGTTGAGTCCAAAGTGGCTACCTGTAGAGGTTGTTGCTATGGTCTCTTCTTCATTGGTGTCTATGTCTACAATTGATATGTTGGCTGGAAGAGATATAAGGTTCGTTTCAAAATATCAGAAATTAAAAATGATATCTTAGCTAAAATAAATAAAATAAATAAAAAAGAATAAATAATTAGAGGATTTGCAAGAGAAGGAAGAGGTAAAGAGAGTCATATTTTGAAGTTAAGGCACTCCATTTCCCAATTTTTGTCAGTTAAATTCAGGGGGAGAGACCCACACTTTCCTCTATTTCCATAACAACCTCAAAAGCTATAGCAATTCTGTATGCTTTAGTTATTTATATTTTCCAAACGAATGTCAGTTTGGTATTTGTGTCAGTGCAATTTGGAACTAACATTTCAGGACAAAATCAAGACAGAAGAGATAGTTTTACATTTAATTTGTGATTTCAATCCACAGTTTGATACTTGAGCAAGATGTTTTAGAGTACAATTTTTTTTAAGGATTATCATGATATGCCTAAGAGATTTGTCATCCATCACTCTAAACCATTTTCAATGCAAAGCACTCAGTTGCTGACCTGTTTAATCTCAATCTGAAGTCACAAATGGACTGTAAGATAAACTATATACAACCATTATACTTAAATGATTATTTCATCCACATTTTCAATGTGTGGATTAACACAAAATTTAAGGTTCAGTGAGAGAGTGATATGGCACACTGAGAAGTGATGAATAGCCTCCAAGGCAGAAGGGAACATTATCCTATAGGGATGCAAAGAAAGGGTTATTTTATTCTTTCATCCTTCCTGCTTTCCTTCTTTCTTCCATTCTTCTTTTTTTCTTTAGGCAGCTAAATGGAAGAGAATAATTCAAATCTAATCTAAGCTAGTGGTGGACAGAGCCTTTAAAGAGAGAAGAAAGTTGGAATGCCAAAACAAACTACCCAGTTTTCAGGAGTACAAGAATTGAATGGGGAATAGACTTCTCTTCTGTCTCTTATAGTAGACAGACTAAGCATAATTTTAATTTCTATACCAATAAATTCTATACAAACATATAATGTGTTTGAATGATATGAAGAAATTACAATTGTGTGACATGGTGTTTTATCTTAATATTTTCTGAGTTAAATATGGATTAAGAGAACAAGACATCTTCTAAATCTGTGGAAAATCTACAGGTGAGAGCTCCAAGTCATTCTGACAACTGGCCTGGCTCACAGGTCCACATCATCCAAGTGGCAAGAGTGAGTCTGTGCTGGAGATGTGAAGGCCAGCCTGAAAGCTGGCAATGTAGGGATCGGAGGAGAAAGACCATTTTTCAGCACCCTTTGGGACCCAGGAGATTCAGAGGGCAAGATGACTTTAGCAGTACAAAAGCACTGAGTGTGCCACATGAATTTGGCTGAGGGAAGATTTCACCAGTGCCATAAATAGATTACAGCAACAGACTTTTGTCAGCCTGCATTTTTTGTGTCCTATCAAATGCCACCACTTCACATTTTGCATAAGTAATAGGTTAATGAGTCACTAGCAGTCTTGAAGACATTACAAGTTGCTTCCATGCAGATTCACAGCACTCTGTAGTTATTAGGGAATTTAAGATGACTGCTGTGTTTGTCTGTTGGGATACTGTACTGTCAATATTTAAACCACTGCTTTGGGATATGCTGAGTACGAAAGGACTGTACAGCAAAAATGCTATTGCTGTCCTCACAAAAATCATGCAGGTCTTTTATTAATTTGAACATCAGTGAACTGATGAAAAAACTTCTCTATTTCTCCATTCAGAAGCTTTGTAGAATGTAATTTACGCAGCTGTAAAGCAGAATTATGTGTGAAAATTAAGCTATCTGTGTCAAAATAATTTCATAAAAGGTCTTTTTGATGCTGCAGCCACTCGAGTACATTTCAGTGCACCTGTAAGCTAAACAAAAGGAGTTGCTAAACCACTAGAATTTTATAATTTCAGCAGTTTCAGAAATATCCTCCCCCCCCGATCAGATGCTTAGCTGTACAAAATAAGGAACTGGGAAACCCATATTAACACCACAGGAACTCACCGTGCTTCTGAATTCTTGATAGAGTAAAAGACTTCCATCTGCCATCATTATGATTTTGGTTGCTGATAACAGAAGCTGTACCTGAACCCAGATCATAGCTGACTTTTATACGCCCACCGCTGAGTTCTACACTCATGAAATCCTTCTGTTAATAAAAAGGATTAGATATACATATATATTAGATATACAAATTACAATTCTTGTTCATTTTGATAAGATGAATATTATATTAAGCAAATGCTTTTTTTTCCTAAATGGCAGCATACAACTTTCTACAAGCTTTAAAAAAATCTATTTAGGTCTTTACTGCCCAGGACTGTAATGCATGAAAGTATGCTGCTACCAGGAAGTTCTTTTTTCCCCCTCTTTTCCCCTTTGGATTGATGATTTAGTTGGAATTTTGCTAATTTAGCTGGATATTTTTGCTGAAATGTTGGACTAGATGATCTCCAGAGTTCCCTTCCTACCAGTATAATTCCATAACTAATAATAATGTACTTACTACAAATCTCTGCTAGATTTAAACTTGCAAGAAAACAATAGCAAAGATGGTAAAATGGGACTGTTTACCAGGGATTCCAAAGAGCCATATAGAGTATAAATTCTTTTTCTCATCAACCACTGATAACAGTACTTAAGCCATAACTGAAATGTCTGACTGGAGCAGTGGTATACACTTTAGTATCTACAGAGAAAGAGCTGGTAGATTACAGGGAGAAAAACAAATAGCCAGGGGACTGGATAGCCTGAAAGGCATTAAGCAAGTAATAGTGGAACTAAAGCTCCGGACATGAACATATCAGAGACATGTCAACTTTAGAAGTTTAATAATCATTTTGCTCATGGCTAGTTCCACATATGAGCGGGTATAGAGGGATTGAAAATACTTTACTACTGTGTGCTGAACACTTGTGCAAAACTGAGAAAAATGTTATGCATGTGAACACAGCCCTTCGTTCTAGATGTTTACATATGCTATTTTTACATATGCTATCTGTGTACTACTAGAAAGTGCATCCTCACTGTTTTCATATTGTGGGACCATATTTTAAGATGTAAACTGTACCGGGCCCCCTTACTTTCCAGACACCAGTGTTTTTCCATAAGTTCAGCTAAATAATTTTTTCATAGAAAAATAATGTATATTAATTATCCAAAATAATTACACAATCTCAAATAATTACCCTAATTATACTTCTAATATGCAATTATAAAATTAATTATAACAACATAAGTACTTCATTATCATAGTGTTATATTTTAGTAAAATCCATCAGAAGAAATGAGGCAGCACCCTCCTCCTCAGTAATTCCAGCAATTCTGATGATCTTTCCCAAAATGCAGGAATCTGAAGTAACACTTGCTTGTCCTGTATTGACTGCTCCATAATTCTTCAAGACATCACTGAGGACTGCTGTTTGTAACTGACCCATATAATATGATAAGGGAAGACAGACAAAGAAAGGACTGCCTTCCAAGTCAGACTTGCAAATCGATTTAGACGAGAGATGCTGAAACCAAGTTACTCCTGTTTCCCAAGAGGATGAGGCCAGACGTTTTTATTAAAAACTTTTCTCATTATCCACACACATTTGCATAAATAAAAATCCCATGTAGCTTTCATAACTAATATTTTTGGTTTTTATTTTAGTAGTAAAAGGCACCCAGAGTGCTACACTAAATTCCTATTTGTGTTCAAGATATGATGAATTAAGCCATTGCAAAGATGGCTTGAAACCTCTAAGTAGCGTGGAGGTTCATTGCTCTTACCAAGTCCTCAGTAGCAAGATACATCAGCAGGGCATTGGATGAGAAGGTCCTGAATTTGAACATGACTGTGGAAATATTAGGGTTCCAGCGGATTGGGCGGCTCACTACAGCATAGCTGTCACCATCAAACTGGACTGTTCCTTCACCATCTGCCACCTGTGGGCTGAAAAGGGGCACAGTTTTCCAGCTAGCAATTCCAAATTTCCAACACAGCAATTCCAACTATTTTTCTTTGCCATGTGAAATTAAAAGGGAAAAAAACATGGAGGTGGAGAAGGAGAGCAGAGCAGGGGAGCAAGAAGATGCCTTTTGGGAGTCTTCCTGAACTTGATTTGATTTTGTATCAAACCCACATTCTAAGTGGGGCTACCAGGTCAGCTCACCAGATGTTCAGCAAGAAAGCACTACTGGGAAGAAGACAGAAAAGTAACCTGTTGAATACATCTTGTGGACTATAGCTGGTCATTATGCAATCCTCTTTATAAAATAACATTCTTGTAGTAAACCTTGGTTTTGTTACTGTTAGGGACTTTACACCTTCTGAAGGGCCCCAGACCGAAAACCCTGTAAACTGTGATTCTTTGCTACAGACTTTGCAAGAGGAGAAGCATCAGTCCCTCTCATTACAGAAAAGATGAGGCTGTGAGATTGTTTAATATGATTTTTATGATAGACTCTTGACCTTCTGTCACACAGATCAGATAGCTGGATGACAGCAATCTTTTGGTTTAATAACAAACAGAGTCGAACAAGAGACCTACATGTGGAATACTGGCTAGGAGAATGTTTCTTACTTAACTTGGCATGCATAAAAAGATGTTGAACACAGTCCTCTTGCCCTACATAACTACATTTAACAGTTCGCTTTTTCAAATAGATTTTGCAGGAGAACTGGATTCTTTCTGAAACAAGAAAATTAGGTTAAGGTAAAAGTGAGATTTTAGTACAGTTTTCTATGAATTTCAAGTCTAGATTTCTTTTTTTTTATATCTTCCTCCCACCTACTCTACTCCAAGCAAGGAGATCTACACTATCACTAATGAGTGAGAAAATTAAATTTAGGCAGAAACACGTATAAAGTTTAGATCTCTCTACTAGGACTTGCTTGGAGCTGAGACATACACATCATCATGCTCCATAAGTTTTAACCTAAGCATCAAGAGCCTACATTTATAGTCAAGAAAATCCTTCAGCATTTCCGAAGTTCACAACTGGAATTTCCCTCATTTTGAAAGGGCAAAGCCTTAGCAGATGTTTCAAACTAGGCTGCTCAATTGAATACAAGTCTACTTTTAAGTTCTCTGACTGAGTCTACAGTGACTTTGCTTAAAGCAGCATGAGCTCTACACTATATATTAGCACTGCTAAATTTGCTAAAAACCAGGAGTATCTAACAGGACAATACTGCTTTTATGCAATATGTCATGGTAAAGGCCATAAACTGGGAAGTGAGAGACTCAGAATTATTCCTTAAATGAAAATCTATGGAATAGTCTCAGGTACATCTGTATGGGGGCTTTCAGCAGTGCTGCTTTTGATGCTGAATCATGGTACAGAAAAGTATCTCAGTGGAAAAGAGGAAGGAAATGGGTCACAACCCTTAAAGTACAAAGACACACCAGAAAGGTCCCTCTTTTTTGAGAAAGGAAACCACTTTCCCTTTTGGTGTCTCTGCTCACTACACAGGCGGCTGTGAAAGCTGCACTGACACACCTCACTCTTCCCTGTTCTGTATGATGACCCACAACTGCAAAATCCAGTTATTGTGCCAGACTTTGTCCCAATGTGGATCTTGCCATCCCTCACGTTTTGACTAACCTTGGCCACTAGCTAGGTGGAGTCTTTGCTTCATAGCACCATTTGAACTCTGTTAATATACTTACCACTTTTTAATGCAGATTGGGTGCTTCTCTTGTTGACATAATTTCAACATAACTTCATATTTCCCACAACTCAGCTTTCTGAGCTGTCTACTGGAATTTGTTAGCTGCTGCAGAATTTCCCACTGTTTACAACAGACAACAGCATCCCACAGACAGGTTTAGAAAGGAGCAATATGTTACCTACCTGACAGCACACCCTTTGCAGTCACCTTCTATATCCCTGAAATTCCACAGTCCTATGGGTTTGCTGTCTAGGAAGGTTTCACCCATACAGCCAGTGAAAGTGGTGACTCTTACAGCATCTGATTTCTGTAAGAGAAAACACAATCACTGTTAGAACTCAGTTTGAAGTGATTTACTGTATGTGAAAGCAAAGCAAGTACAACGAGAACAAATACCAGAAGATGTTTCTTATTATCTCACATATCAAGATTAATATGTAATCTATTTAATCCTCTAGAACAATTGAATGACAGAAAGGTGAGATAAGTTTTGTATCAGTCAAGATGGAAAAGCTCATTTAATTGAGACTTAGGCCCATGCAGAATGATCCCTGAAGAATGGGGAACTGCCCAGGCTTTCACATCACATCATCTGCTTCCCAGCCATCTGGAGAACTGCTTGCTTGCGCTAGCAAGTAAGTCCAGCAGTCCAGCCTCTTTTTGAGGTCTACCTGTGTTTTCATTTGAGATATCATGGAAAGAGCTATGAGGAAACTTGCCCACTGTACAACCAGCAAAATTCACCTGCTCTTAATTCTCAAAAGCCTGGAATTTGAGTATCCAAACTAAAAAACTGAATATGTGAGCTCAGCTGGCTACACCTCTAAAGGTCATGCTGAGTTTTGGATGCAGAAAAATGTGCAGATAGCAAAGCAATTTTAAATTAAAATGCATCAAAACTCATTAGGTTAGGGTCATACACATTGGGTGAGGTTCATTTGATCATAACATGGTGCTATGATCAGATAGGTAATATATGATTGTACACAGAGTACTTATCTCAGAATGATCTTTCTAAAAATACCTGGCTTCATTTAAATATCACTTCATCAATACAAACTGATTGAAAAACTATTTACTTAGCTATTTAAGATAGACAAGCACTTGCTGTTTTCCATACAGCAATTATGAATATTAAGACCTTGCAAGAGAATATGAAGAAGTGCAACTTAAAAATATTACAGCAAAAGTATGACTCAAAAGACTTAATGTTCTGATGATATTTCTTGGGATAATTGGGAAGGTTTTAATTAGTAACAAGAGGAACTTAATGTCAGTTCTGAGAAATTCATGACATGTGAGTATCATAGTCTTCAACTCAAGTCAAATGAAAGATGTTTTTAAAAACTGAAAGTGAGCATTCTGCAGGTCAGTGACCTTGACAAACATCCAAAACACAGTTTTAAACAAACTTCTCAGTTAAAAACAATTTTTTGTGAACATGACAACTGATGATTTTTTTTTAAAGTAAATATCATTTATTCAGACTGTGTCTGAGCAGAGCAAGTCTGATAATGTTTAAAACCCTAGATAGGAAATATTCCAGTCGCCTTGAATGTACAATACACTGTCTCCTACCTCTGCCCTTCTCTTTATTTACCCGGGGGGAAAAATTATGATAAGTTTTTTTCCAACTTGAGAAAACTAAGAAATCTCTAGAAAACATCTGGAAAATTCTTACTGAGTTTGAAAACCAGTGCTCAGGACATCAGATTTTCTGTAGCTTCCATAATTTCTGTTCAGGTTCAGTACTTCACCTCACACTTTATTCTAAAACTGTCTTATGTGCTCAGTAAACGTGCTTATTACCCACTTCTGCCTCACTGTCTAACTAAGAGAAAAATCAAAAACATTTAGGAAAGAATTTAGGTTTAAATTAGGTTTTCATTCCAGGCCCTTTTGTCTATCCTAATAGATTAAGAGCCCTTAAACTCTTTTTGCTCTTGAAATTCTTTGCTATTCTTCTATTTCTAACTTTTTCTTAAGTACACACTCCATAATTAAGCAGTTCTTTGTAATCGAGTGTTATTTAAACAATGCTAGCATTTAAATAAAAACCCCAAATAATTACAAATAACATTAAAAAATAAAAATGAAATAACAAGCACTAGATAAAATATTACACATTTTAAAACTCAAACTAAATTGAGATCACCTTTGTGGTGACATTTCATTAGAGTGATTGGTGTGAGCTTTGGGACCTGGTTACTCAAATACTAGATATGATCTCTGTTTACACCTTTGTCTCACTTCTGCCATCAGGCTACAATACTAAGAGCACTTTATTTAACAATAAGAAACTTGTAAAAATGAAAAATGACATCCAGGAAAACATACATTATTATTAGTCCAATGTAATAACTTTGCCATTGAAATTAGCACCAGGCATGAGATTAATTTATGCCATGACAATCTATGCCATGTGACATCTCCTATTCTCTGGATTTTTAAAGTAACCATAAGAATATTTTTCAAAGTAGAATTCAAGGTCAAAGCTCTGAGAGCCAGCATTAAACACATAAATGTATATAAATGGTGCAATTACATTTCAGCACTTGTCCCACATGTGCTCTGAACTTGCAAGTGAAATCTAAAACAAAGTGTGGTTAAGCACTGGCATAGGCTCCCCAGGGAGGTGGTTGTGTCACCATCCCTGGATGGTGTTGAAAAGCTGTTTGGATGTAGTGCTCAGGGACATGATTTAGTGGAGGGTTGTTAGAGTTAGGGTAGTACGGTTGCGTTGCAATTGGACTTGATGATCTTTGGGGTCTTTTCCAACCTGAGCAATTCTATGATTCTAAAATTCAAATAAGGTTTGGGTTTAAGTTAGCATTTGAGTTTGAAGTTTCACAACTCCTTCAGTGGATCACCCAAAGAAAACAGTCCAAAAACTACACATCACTTAATTTCTGCAGTTTTAAAACAGTCAATGAAATGTAAATAATTTATCAACCAAACTCTCAAGTATTTTCCTAAATGTGGAATGATGAAAGGGTTTTCTTAATCACAGTTCTGGCACTTAGAATTGGTACATGGGCCAGTCTTCCTGAGCCAGCAGTCACTGCAGATTGCACTTACACATTTCAGTGGGATAGGCAGAAAGAACCCTGCAGCCTTTATGGACTTGTGTTTTTTTGATCTTTAGGCCATTGCACAGCACTGCAAGCACAGAACAGTGTCAATTTTGCTCAGTGGAACATTTATTCCACTGAGTCATTATGGCAAGTAAGAAACACAGTATAATGCCAATGTAAATACATTTGTATTTACAGCAGTAGAAATTTATGTTTATCAAACACAGAAAAAAAAAAAAGAAAAGAAAAGAAAAAGAAAAGAAAGAAAACAAAGAATAATTATTAGGTCTGGGATATTGTGGGATATAAACCAACTCTCTCCAGTTTATTTCCATTGCCTCTGCAAACGCAAATCAAGGCACAGAGCACATTAAGCTAGTGAGAACATTCTTGTTCATTCTTGTTTTGTAAGGGTCACTGTTCTCTACAGTATAGAGCCACTTTTAGTAAATGATGATTCAGTAATTGTAAAAATACATTTGAAGAGTTCTTGTTTATGGCAGAAAGCAGACACCTTTAGCTGCTTCTAGACAGAAAGCCTACATGTTCTTAATAATATCTCAAGAGCACAAATACTACTAAAGCACCTCCAACAATGACACAAGCATACTAAAGCTTACTATTTTTAGTGTAAGTAGTAATGGAATACAGTAGTGCCATACAGTACATTACCTTTATTTTTCCAGTTAAACCTCCAACAAACAGCAGGGCATTAGCATCTACATCCAAAATGGTATATCCAGGTGGCGAGACACCACTGAAAGTGGCTGGCACAATGCTGGCTTTGGGGCCATCCAGTGCTCGCACTGATATAGTGCCATTTTTCCCAGTCCTAGACATTTTAACAAAATAAGCACAGTTTAAGTAAGCCATAGTTAAATATGGTAAGTAGTCTGTTTTAGATGGCATCTTTTAATAGAGGCATGTATTACTGATCTGGTTATGTTCCATGTTGATACAGGTTAATAAACTCTTAGACTTGTGTAATTTAAAGAGAACTTCTTTTCATCAGCTCAATATTTTTTTAGCACACAATTCAATAGTCAGATGAAGTGGAACATTCACTCAAACAAGAAAATTGTGTTGTTGGTTTTTTTTTTAATTAATATTGTAACAAAACTAGTCTTGACTAGTTGTTTCCTGATGTTACAAATGAGGTAGGCAAAGATTCAAATTGTATTGTGAAATTTCTAAGGTTTACTGGGTTACATTTGCTCCGCAATGAATATCATGCGACAAGCTTCACTGGGGTACACAGAATTTGTTCTTTATGTACTGGAGCTACCTGGTTGTTTAACAAATTGGCACAAACCTCACTGAATTTAAAGGTGTTACTTTACCATCCTCTCTAAACCAAATGAAATATTGATAATAACAGTAAAAGAATCCACCATTAGTTAATAGTTAATAATAATTAATTTACCATTAATTAAGAGCAGCAGTTTCTTTTTTGCTCCTTAGGTTGTTATACTAGTATAGCAAGTGGTATGGAAAGAATTTTTACTAGTCTTTGTCAACAGAAGGAATGAAATATGGAGAGAGGCGACTCCTCCTAGTTGTTCAGGTATATTAAAATGTATTTCAGAGAAAACTTTGGAAGATTTTGAATGATTTTATTCTTTCCAAAGTAATTTTCTTAGTATTTTACTACCGTACAGCAGTATGGATAGCAGTTTTTATTCAGAAGTAAACTATTAGGCATTTATGGCCACGTAAATGCCAGTGATTCCTCTCCCTCTCATACAGATGAACCAGAATCACCACACTTTTTTTTTCTTTTTTCTTTTTTTTTTCTTTTTTTACATGAGGCCATCATTTAATTGTAGAAATGAGTAACACTGAATGTGACTCAAATCCTGTCATGTACAGATGAGAGACAGAGTATGTTTATTAATGTGGTGGAGGAGTGGTAGGGAGATGAGAACGACCATGTATTGTGGATTTATGGATAACTTTGGAAATTGCTGCTTCAATTCATTTTTAATAGGATCTCTAATTTCACATAACCACAGGCATGTTAATTTGGAAATTCACAGCATGAACATCTGGTCTTGCAACCTAAACCAGCACTGAGATACTCAGCATTGAAGAGAAATTTTAAAACACATTTACTTGATAATTAATGCAGAAATACTCTGTATTAAATAACACTTATTTTCTTTTTCCATATCAGTTTGTGATGAGTGTATACCTGTGCAGAGGAACTGTACTTTTTTTAGACAACCTATTGTATTTTGTTGGCTATTTGCCTTACGCTCTAAAAATTACTTACTACATGTTTGCAGGCTAACTAAACAGCATTTCTCCCAGAAAACAGATTTTACGTTTGTATTTTTGTCAAAGGTGTCAGGAGGAAGGATTTTAAATAAAAATAACAACATTTATCAAAAATTTTCCACAAGTAGTTTTCTAGACTAAGAGCCTCACGCCCATCCTATCAAGATACTGCCAAGTAACAGCTAAAAAGAAGGAAAAAACAATCAACCAAAACACACATTGATTTTCTGAAGTCCTGGACTTTGTTGCATGTAAAGATGCTTTTTTTTTTTTTTCCCTAATTAGAAAAAAAAAAAGACAGGCTTGGTGTGTTGAGGTAACAAGAAAATTAAAAGTTAAGCGCATACCTTTTAGGAAGAACTGTCATTTCTATTAAATGCAACTTTACTTGAAGAACTCATATTTAGTGTGTTAACTTGGGCTACTGAATGAGTTAAAACTAAACATTATTTATTTCTGGATTTAGAGATTCAGAAAGTCTAATAATTATTCTGCATTTAGAAAGTTTACTGGACCATGGCTTTAGAGAATGGAAAAAAATTAGAAAACTATGCATTTATGTCTAGAAATCTCTTTAACAATTCATTTAGCTCAGAATCTGTCAGCCTCATCCAGAATAAATTGAGAGTCTTCTTGTGAAATAACATCTCACTGGAAATAAGTCATTTAAAGCCAAAAAAAAAACCAAAAAAAAACCAAAAGAAAAAAAAGAAAAAAAAGAAGAAAAAAAAAATGTTAGCTGTCACATGTCTGTTTTGATAAATTTACCCTGAACTGTGAAGCAAGGTTGAAAAGTAATTTTGAGGGTTTCCATTCAATGGGGAATGTTTTTGTAGATCTATGCCATCTTGCCTGCCCTAGAGATAGGGATATCAAAGCTTTCAATGTGAAAACCATATATTTGCAGAAAAATACTGGAGATTTTCAATTACTTCTATCTTGATTTGGTAACTCAAGAGATCATCTAGATGGGAGTTCCAGGGAATCCAGGGAATCTCCTAGTGATATCTAGGGTATGTAAATGCATAGTTACTCCCAACCATTTAAAAGCAGTGGGGTCAAACAATTCACATTCTTCTAATTAATTTTTTTTTTGTTAGAAATTCTTTTAATGACAATTATTTTAACTTTTATTCCAAAATCAATGGAATGTTAAGTAGATAGCATTCTATGTGGCAGAAGTTCTAAAGTTTCTTTTTTTCCAGGTTTATTAATAAAATAAGGTTTATTTTTATTATTCACGTTTATTAATAAATCCCTATAAAGGGCTTCAAAACATAGTTCTCAATGTAGTAATTGTTGGAAGACTTTAACAGTTACTAGTGGCTCCTATTAAACTGAAATCACGACTCCAGTGGTTCTAGTTCAAAAACATTCAAACGCAATAACATTGAAGGGACTGAGCAGACTGACACTTTTTAGGGTGCCTAATATGTTACAAGTAGCATGGGTGTCTTTCATCTTCAAACAGATGGAAATGCTAACTATAGAGTCTCTTTCATAAATAATTCTCTCTTACTTAGGGAGGACAATTGAGCTTGAAGAAAGAAGTTGGCTAACTTGGCAGCAAAAAGACATTGGTATCTGATGCATGACAAGTCATCAGATTAGAAGATACTACTTTTGTGGTAGTCAATTCAAGATGAACTGTTGGGTTAAAGATATATCAGCACTTTGGTGGCTGATCATCTGATACATTTGCACAATACCACGTATGCAGGATTTGCGCTTTAGGAGATGCATTATACAATTGAGATGACTTCTGCAAGTTATCAACATTAGATTACAAAATACCATGAAGAAATATCTGCTCCTTGATACCTGGACTACAGAGAAAACCATTACTCGAAAATATGGCTTAGATTTGCCTTAGTAGTTTATTATTGAATTCTTGCTGAGCTGAGCTGGATATGCTTAGTGAGAATTTGTGATTCATCTGTCCTTTCCAAGGAAGGGAATTGTTTAAACTCTGCCATTAATAATGGTAATATTTAAAATGTGCTTAATTAAAATCACAACTAATCAGATCCAGTTCCTAACAGGCCTGCTGACATCAAGTGACATTGTTCCACTGATCAAGAGTGACTCAAAAATACTCTAATATATATTTGACTGTTCCACAAAATTGACTCTGCGTGTTTCAAACCTGCTTCTAATCTTTTTGTCACAAACTGTTTATGTCATATTTTCCTTCATTAATTGATACTTCAGTTGATTGCAGTCTTTAATGTCAATCAGATTCATCTCTGTAAGAAGGTACATAACTGTAAGTAGCTGTTAAGTTCTTGTGCAATCAAAGTAAAGGGAATTGCTTATTCCATAGGCAAATGGTACATTAAATGAATAAATACATTTTACTTCAATTCCATACAAATAAAAATTTAAAGATTTCCATGATGGCCTCTGTATATATGATAAAATGCACAGAATTAGTGTACTTGAAATAAAAAGACAAGGAAAATAAAAAGCTTCTATGGAAAACAGATGCAGTAGTTAATAAATTGGTCTTAGCAGATGGGAAATTTTGGCCTGGTGGTTAACTGAATTGAACATCCCTGATCATCACTTAACAGTCAGCTGTTTCATATTTAGAATTCAATCCATAAGCTGAATGATTTTGAGGCTTTCACGGCCTCTGAGCCAACACATCTTCTCTTTATAAGCCCTTTTGAGACTCTTAGTTAAAACCTGCCAACAGTCTTTAAAGCTATCATATTTACATAGTTAAATCTACCATTGCAAACATGTTTCAATGCCTGTCATCATTGAAATATGAGGAAAAATTTAGCAAGGCCAGAATTTCCCCATGGCCTTTCTGACCTCTCTTCCACTCTAAGTGGATGTCCTGCCATCTGGCAGCTCTGTCAGTTTGCTGGAAAAGTAGCTGGAACTGAGAAGAAATTTAGAGAACAGAAAGATAGAATGTAATGAGTAAAACTCTTCAATAGCTTATGAAGAAGCGTTATCAAATGGACTAAAATATTCGAAGTCAGAAAATCTTCAGCAGGGGCACGTAATTAATGAAGTCTGCCTTAGGAATATAAAACTAGTCTCGAGTTCTTCATCTTGATCCCACAAATCCAACTAATGCCTTTGCATGTAATTCTCCTGAATTGTGCAGCTGTAATTGTTCCAAATTGCTGATCCAGCAGTTTGTTTAAAACTAATGGCATGCACATCCTGTGTATCTAGAACAAATAACTTAATAGGCACTGTGCATTTGTAGAATGTGTGAATTTTTATACCATATCCTGGCCCATATTCTGCTGAAGCAGCTTTATTCTAAATAGAAGTCTGGCATTACTGTGTCATGAAGCTATTTTAGTATGGACAATATGAAGTGATGAAGATTTCAACCATTCCTATCATAACCAAGCTTGCATTTTGCAAGCAACGAGGTTTCATTAAGCCAGTTACTAGAGAAAGTGCCATGATTTTATTTCTTTCTCTGTCCTGAATGTCTGATTTCTGTGATTTCGCTAAATTATTTAAACTGGATGCCATTTTCCTCTCTCAGAGCTATGGATGTAACTGGATTACAATTTTTCTTTTCCCTTTCTTCTTTCTCTCAGTGTATGACTGTACTATCACTTCTACATTTAATACTAGGTGAAATATAACATGTAAGGATGCAAAAGGATTATTCAGCTTTCATCAGATTGCAATATAGACAACGTTATCTAATTTGCTAGGAGAGTAATTCAAGAGGAAAGGATAAAGGATATAAATTTCCATAATCCTTATGCTGTAATTATTAAACTGTATGTCACATGCAATTTAAATGGAAAATACAAAATTCAAAAAACTAATTTGAAAACTGAATATTAAGTTATCTATTTATCTAAAGTTCAAAAGCATTCAGCAACTGGACTGAAATACGAAACATATTGAGAATATTCTATCCTTGATTTTTCATAAGCTGTATCTTTTTTAACATATCTAGTTTGAAGAGATATTCTGGCTATGGAAACGGCATTTTGAGTAAGAATCAAGATACTGGTGTATGACAGGCCTTTCATTTGCAGTACTGCAAGACCAGAAATTCAGAAATGGTGCTACTCTTTGAAATTCAAGATGAAAAGAATAGCAGTTATCTGTCTGAATGTCAAAACCTGTAACTAATTTTTAAAGGGTGCTAGTTGAAGAAGAGAATTCATAAAGCTGAAATGAAAGGTAGAAAGGAGGGAATATAAGCAGTCATGGATTGCTGATGCATGAGGGAAAATATGTGATGAAATTATATTCTTGAAGCAGAACAATTCACATTTCAATAGTAATTGCAGCATATTCACTTTTGGTATTATTGGATGTAGGTTCAAAACCTTCCACTAAACCAGCCTACAATTGCTTATGATATTACCTTGCATTAAAAATAGATGTTTTAAACGCAGCAAACACTTCCATAAACCTGAGATGTACAAACCTGAGATGAGGACAAATGTGAAGTCTTACACATGCAGAGTTGCATGCATCAGTATAGGTTAGAAGTTGACATGCTGGAAAGGAGCTCTGTGGAGAAGGACCTGGATGATCAGGTAGACCACAGGTTGAGCATGAGTCAACAGCATGCCCTTATGGCTGACATGCATTCTCTTCTGGGGTGAATTGTAAAGACCATGGCCAGCATTCAAGAAAGGTTATCCTCCTACACTACTCTGCCCTGTGAGGCTGTATCTGGAGTATCATGTCCAGTTCTGGGCTCCTTTGTTCAAGAAAGGCAGGGAATTTCTAAAGAATCCAGTGGAATACCATAGAGATTATGAGGGGTCTGGAGCATCTCTTGCATAAAGAGAGGCTGAGAGATTTGGGGTTGTTCAGCCTGGAGAAGATAAGACTGAGAGGAGGATCTTATCAATGCTTACAACTACCTAATGAGTGGGAGCCATGTGGATTGGGTCTGGTACTTTTCAATGGTGTCCAATTACAGAGCAAGGGATAATAGGCACAGACTGTAACATAGGAAGTTCCATAAACCACGACAAAAACTGCTTTGCTTTGAGGGTGACAGAGTACTGGAATGCGCTGCCTGTAGAAGTTGTGAAGTCTTCTTCCCTGAAGACATTCAAAACATGCTTGGACACTTTCTTGTATAACCTACTGTAGGGAACCTGTTTTAGCAGAAAGGTTGGACTACATGATTTCCAGTGGTCCCTTTCAACCCTATGATTCTGTGAAACATGATAAGAATGGATTGGAATTAAATCTTTCTTAATTTAGATGTTTTTTCATTAGGAAACAAATCTGTGAAGTGAAATATGTACTTGCCTAGAGGCTTCAATCCGGTACCAAAACCCATCATCAATGGTCAGATCTGGATACTCTACCCGTCCAACACCAGATCCCACATCCCAAAGGAAGCTCACTTTGCCTTTGCGCATTTCTATGGCCAAGAAGTCAGTCTGTGTACAAAATATAAAAACAGAACCAGTCTCATATTTTGATAAAAGAAAACTCTCCAGAACTCTTCACATTTCAGAAGGCATTTGAATGGGGCAATAGAAATTCACTTATAGACAACAAAGTATGAAAACTCTCACAGTGACTGAGATTGTATTTCCCTGCTTTCCTTGATTCAAGCAAGGAATCTTATGACAAATATGACAAATGACTTCTGTCAGTGATACATAGCATATAAGCTGCTAGACTTACAGAAATGTTGGTACTGTAGCAAGTAAGAAGAGAACTTAACTCAGACTGACGTTATTTGTAAAACATCCATTGGATGGCAGAAATATGTCAGGATTGTAGACTAATACATGATGCCATCTAGCCTCTTCATTTTGTATTAGGTATATAAAGTATATAGTTCAAAATGTTAGAAATTTTTCCCATTTGCTGAATTACTGTTGATTATTCTAGAAGCTTGTCTGCTAGAGTGCCCTTGGGAAACTGAGTCATTCATCATTACTGTGCTTGCAATCATAGTTTTGACATAAAATTATAATAAACTGGAGCTTTGACAGATTCAAGATGATTAGCCACTTCTTCCCCAAGGAAAAGCCCACAAACAACCCCCAAAATGCTTTGGTTGCACTGTGAATTTTAAAGCCCTAATGTAGCTCATGTAGCAGTCTTAGATTTTATAGCTAGTTAAAATACTAAAAAATATTTGGCAGTTATATTTTAGCAGTCCCTATATTAATACCAAAGCAACTCTCTAGTTTATCTTAGATCCTCTACTACTACTTTGAAGCCTCAAAGTGGAAAAAAGAAAAGCCTTTTTCATCTTCTGTGTCTGTCAGTAACCTGATTTGATTGAGCAATGCTGACAAAAAAAGCAGGAGACAAACTTACAAACTTGGCACTTCCAAGGTAAAAAAGAAGATTGTCAGCAACTACAGTCTTCACATTGATAATGATGGTATTGTATGTTCCTTTCTTTATTTCTGGTCTGTATGTCCGAATACAGTTGCCTCCAGAAGACACGGACACTTTGATCTTCAAAAAAAGCATATTAAAAAAAATTTAGTTTACTGCTTATTATTCCAGAAGTAACCAAAAGATGTTTCTAAATCATTACAAAAATATAACTGTTTTTTCTTCCTCATTACCATTTCTGTGCTACAAGTAGCAAGTAGTTGCTTGGATACGTACAAGAGGTAGAAATGCAATTTCCTTTCTGGGATTTTTTCTTATGTTTTGATTAAAAGGCAATACAAACTCTTTCTAGCATTCAGGTTTGAAAGGATCAATTATATGGATCAAAAATAGCTAGAAGATATGTAGGTCTAACACAAGCAACTGGGGAATTCTGGCTATGGAGACAGACTACAAGTAGAATACGTAGCCAGGAAAATACGTAGTGCTTCTGAAGGAATTGCAACATATTCCTCTGGGGTAGAGATGATGATCTATTTTTCTTTGTAATGTCTTTGATTATGCTAATTTAAGACACCTTTTAATAATTATTTTTTTAACCAACAGTTGTGTCTAACACTGTTTTCACATAATCCCTAACGGAGCTGGTATTCATTACTAGGTTTCATTTTCACTGCTCAAATGACATATGCATTTGGACACTTGTGCTGTTTCCTTAGGCTCAGTAGCACAGATGAAAACAGCATACTATTTGCTTTCATAATGCCAGCATAGACATAATGACAGTACAATCGTATTTCAATTCCAGATAGACATGTTTGTGTTTTAGAGTAGATGTACATAATGATATCGCCTCTTGCTTAGGGCAGACTTTATAAAGAATGAGATCTGTTACATGACCAAACACACTATTTCCTTTCCTCAGAAATGCTGAGCAGGTAAGTACTTAGAAGCCTTCAGACAAAAGAACATAAGAAGAAAGCTATTGCATCACTGTAACTTGTTCCTCTATTGTGGGCAAATATGTAATACACATCCATTCTAGGCTCCTATTCTGAAGGTTGTTGGTTTTTTTCCCCAACCATTTTTCAGGAATTATCCTAACGTACTATCTCCAAGAACATTTTTCTCATTTTCTATTGGGTTACAAGCTGAATAACCTTAGCATTACCCAGCTGGTCCTCAAGCTTAAAGTACTGCTGAATTAGAGAAACTCCAAACTCAGTAATCAAACCAGAAATATACTCTCAACCCAAGTTTGCATCTTTAGACTCCACATTCTCAGGTGATATAAATTCTATGAATTGATACCAGGGATTTATTATCAGTACTCAGTCATGAATGACAAAGTGATTTTTTCTGCTATGCTATTAGAATACTTCTTAAATAGTAACTCTTCCAAATACAGACCAACAGATATTATGCATTTAACGATGGTGCATTTTAAATGAAGAAACAAAACACAGAGAGGAAATTATCAGAAAATTTTTTGTTTATCTGAGAAATTATACTCCATTACTTGCTTTCTCTACACATTTTTTTTTTTTTTTATATTAGGAAGTATTCACCTTGAGGAAAAGAAATATAAAAGTAGAAAATAAAATCTCACTAATATTTAAAAGGTCATCTTATTGAGAAAAAGGCTTACCGAATTGGCTTGCTTCCGAGCTTGGTTTATCAGCTCTTTTATCTGAGAAATGTTTTTCCCTAAATTATCTTGAAGTTCTTTGATTGGCTTGAGTCTATCTAGTAGGCGATCTGCCTCCTTTTCCAGGTGTTTTATACTTGAATCTGCATCAGCAACTTCATAAGGAAGAACAAAGCACAGTTTTAGAGTGGTGGCAGATGGTAATTATAAACTGTTATTTAAAAAAAAAAAATAAAATTCTGCACAGACAATACTCAGGCAATATTATATGCTAATATGAGATATACACAGACCAGGAAGCTACCTCAACAGAATTAGGTCATTTATGAACATTTAGAATGAAGTTAAGGTAGCAACAGAAGTAGATACAAATGTTAAACAAGAATTTTGAAGCAGTAACTATGCCTCACGTCAGGATAATAGCAATTAAAATACTTACTGGAGCAAAATACAGTTACGAATGAATTATTTACATGTGTTTTTTCTAAATCTACTTTTAAAAAATATGCTAGATAAATGAAAATTGATTAGTTTCCATTAGTAATTTCTGCAGAAGAGCTAGGGGATTGCAGTTAAATGTTGAATTAACTTGAAGTTCATTCTTAAATTGTCTATAATGGCATCAAGAACAACATTTTTTTATTCTGATAACATTATCTGAAAGCTTAAAATTATGAATATGTATTGAAAGCAGATTTAAAAAAATGACAATCATATGTAAATATTTTCTTTTTTCTCCCCCTCAAGTGAAAAATGTTTTTACAAAGGAGATTTTTTTCTTTTTCTTTAAGTTTCACAGGACATTTTTTATGCCTTTCAACCTATAACTGGTGAACAATGCCTTCTTTTTGACATTTTTTCAGGAGATGTAAAGATTACAGCACTTGACTAGTGTGAGGGTATGGAATTGTGTGGATGACTGTGAAATGGACAAATCAGTACTTACCAAAAGAATGCAGATAGAATGGAAATAGTAATTATTATAATAGGGTAATGCTTACAAAGAGCATGAAAGTCTGGTTATGTGGTTTTTGAATACTAACTCAATTTTCAAGATGTTTCTTATAAGTTTCATAAGTTCGGCTAGTTACCAAGCCACTTCATCTCAGAGCCTTCAAAAAGTAACCATTTGAATGAGCAGTGTGGAACACCATGCATAAGCTTTGGCAGTAAGCAATGAATCATCATTATCTACTGGAAAAGGCACAATTAAAAAAGCAAGAAAGAAGACATACGTACTTATTTCTGTAGGCAAGATAGGGAGACAAAGAAAAGAGAAAAAAACAGAACATAGCATAAGAAAATGTTTTGAAGATCTAATCACAAATGCAAAGTAAGTTAAAGGACAAGATTCTAGATCTGGCCTATTCTAGATCCAGAAATGCCAAGAAGGTTTAGGCTACTTGCCTGTTATCACTACCAAGCCAGATATCATTACCTTGTAGATCTGCTTGTTGCATAACCTGCCATAATATAACCACATTATTTCAATCAAAAACTGTTTTTAATGTTGTCTAAACTTCTAGGGATCTTTCTGTCTGATGATTATTTTTGGGGTTCACACATGTATGTGTACAAAGGTTCAGAAATTTCAGATAGGAAGACAGTGACAATCATTTTGCTAGTACAGCTAGAACTTGAAGAGGATATGTGTCCATAGAATGAGACTGACAATTTCCTAAACTAGATGTTTTTAGGTGCCTAGTTTTGCTAAGCTGACCACAACCTGGAAAGCACAGATTAGCTGAGTAGTTAGTCCTTCAGTAATTTTGTAACAATATTCAGCCCTGGCTGTACAAACCTAAGCAATATGCTCTGGTAATCTACAATAAAACGTTATACAATTTAGAATTCAATGTTATCCATCATAACCATAGTGGAAATTGCTAAAGAAGTTGCTAAAATGCTTGCTAAAGAAATTGTTATATTTGGTAACAGGCTTCCCTACAAAAAACAACAACAACAAAAAAAAAAAAACCAAAAAATCAGCCTTAAAAAACATTTTCTTTTTTATCTTTTTTCTTCTTAAGTGCCTTCAGTATTCTACCAGAAACAGTAACTTGTACGAAAGACATCACTGCATTTCACCCAGAAGTAATTACCTGGTTGACTGGAGGCTGGGTTAGTGCAAGGAATTTTACATGAATCAAGTAGTATATTGTCAATCAAGGACTGATTCTTTAATTATTCACCTACCTAGTTTAAAGACTAGTCTGCCGATCAGACCTACCAACCCACTATATGTTCAACCTTCTGATGGTAGCTTTTTTCACAGAAGACTAACAGCAGAAATAGAAACAATAGTTTCCTTTTTATCCCATCATAGTAATGCTATAAGGGTGAAATTGTTGAGTGTCTGTGTCATTTTGAGATGTAAAATGAAAACCAAAACAACAACAACAGAAAATCCATAGCAAAAAAGAACTTACTGTTCTTGATAGGGTCTTTCACAACAGCATTTGTTTTTGCCACATCATCTGCAAGCTTACTGTAGTTGTTTCGCAAGCCAAGGAGATTCTGGTTGAGGTCTTTAATCTGGGCCAGGACATCATTTGCAGAATTGTTGGCTTGTCTTGCTTTGTCTTTAGCTGCCTGTACCTTTATAGCTGTATCTATAGGTAGAAAAGGACAATTAAATGATTGCCTAGAGTACAGAGTTTGTTTTCATACATCTCAAGAAACAAGTTGGGCCAAATTTCTACCATCTCAAATTGTGTTGTGTAGTTCTTTACTCTTTAGGATCTTCATATGTAAGTAAGACATTATTAATCATATGTCTGGACTGCAGAATCTGATCCTCTGGTTTTTGAGATTACAAATACTCCTGAAAAGAAGAAAACACCCCACAGTGAAGTTGTGGTACTCACAGGAACATTCTTTGCTACCTGTTTCTCACAAAATCATGACATTGCTCTTGGAATTGCTGTCTTGCTGTGTTCTCCAATATGTCTTTGTGTCCCTCAGTCATAAGAACATTTCATAGTGCAGCTTGGAAGCTTGGACACTTCTGAAACGACCATGCAGTAATAGTGCTGCTTCTCATAATGACTGCAACTCCTTGTTGTAGTCAGTGCAGTTAACAGACTGCAGTGCAGGACTGGTGAAGCAAAGGAGGATGTGTTTGTTTCCCAGTTCTGGCTAAGAGATGGTTGATAAGAGTGCTTATACCAAGATTTGCTCGGGCATGACTTCATGCTCCTGACTGTATGAAGACATGAGAAAACGCAGACACTATCACCATTTCAGGGAATCAAAAGTGTAAATTCCCAAACAGATGTGTTCTTCACATTCTGTGGATAGTATGATGCAATCAAGCCATGGCCTAGAGAAAAGACAATGCTTTCTAAGACTGTAGAGAATTGGAAATTTTGTCCTGAACCTTTTTTACTTTTTTGAACAAAATCATATTATACTTGTGCTCCAAACTACTCCACTCTTATTTCTGGAAGTTTGGCTTCGAAAATACCCCAAAATACAGTAGCACCTTGAAAGCACAACAGAACCTTTAATTAACCATTATCATCAATACTATGAAGTGAAAGAAGAGAGCTCTCTGACTGCCTTTTTCCAATTTCTCTTTTCATCTTATCTAAGTATCTCTTTTTAGTTCATTATTACAGGCTGCACCACTTTCTGGAAGAATGGAAAATGGGATTACCTTGTTACTTCCCTCTATTTGTCATACCAATTATATTCATTTTTAATCTATACCTGAACGTGTAGGCTCTTGTTCTAAGGCTGATCTATCCCTCTATCTCATTTTGACTTTTTGTTTGTTTGTTTTTATTTTGTTATTTTATTCGGCTATTTCTATAGCATAGACACAAGAATTATTAGTTTAAGCTGTACTCTGTTTCCCTGAAACCTTGAAGAGCAAAATATATGACAGGGTCATTTTCTCTTTTGTCCTCATTGGTTATTTCCTTATTGGATTACTAATTTACTGTATTTTCTTATTCATGCCATTTATTTTCTTTGAATTTCACTCTTACAACACATCTACTTGCATATGAGAGTGTCCTTGTCCCAAGAGCAAGCACCCTGTAAGTCTACTCTGGCAAGAGCTTATTACATTACTAATGGCTGCATATTTCACGTATCTTTTACGTGTTTCACACTCAGTATTCTGTCTCTTAAGGCCCACTGGCCTCCAAGGTCCATTTTATTTGACCGAGACATTTATCTGTGCACAAAAAGAGAAGCAGACACGTTAATTCCTGTGGTCAAAACCCAGAAAGTGGCATAAGAGATGACATATTAAAGCAAATTCTTGTGAATGTCTGATTTCAAGGAGTGCTACATCTAAAACAAAATGTTTCAGCTATCTGAAATCATGAAGACAACGAAGGGCAAGATTAATCATTTCTCACATCAAGTTTTTACTTGTAGTCTGGATCTTCCAGACCTATACAGATCAGAGAGAATATAGACTTTCTTCAGAGACTTTTCTTAAGCTTATATTCAGTTTATCATAATGCAGGGTCCCTTAGAAATAAAACCTGTATCATATGACTGATAAAAGTTCCTTGTTTTCTAAAAAAAAACAAAAACAAAAAAACAAAAAAAACCCCCAATCATTCCATCTATTACAAGAAAAATGCATTGTAGCTCTGTCTCTCACCAATACAACACAAAGTAGGTAACATCCCAACACTTAAGGATTTTAATAACAGATTTTTCTTTTTTTTTTCCCCCAGAAGTGGTAGGTAAAACTATTTGTAAGTATGCTTAGTACGTTAGGGCTCACTGAGGAAGGCCTGTTCCAGTTCAAAGACACACAACGACAAGCTGACGTTGAATTGATATTGCAGTATATATCAACAAGAGCGTGTTAGAAAGGTATGACAAAAAGAGCAGATTCCATTCTGATGTTTTCTTAAAAGTCATAAGGTGTTTACTGTTCTTATGTTATCACAAGAAGCATGCTTCATTTTACATGAGTTTCATAAATATGCTTTTCTATGTTTAAAGGAAAGACTGCCTCGGGATGTATCATAGTTCCTTAAATCCTTATTCTTTCTGAAACCAATCTTTTACAAATTACAGAAGTGGAACTCCTTTTACTGTGTCAAAATACAAACTTATAAAAGTATCTGTTTTCAGGCCAATTCTTTCTAGCTTATCTGTGCCTTGTACCGCAGCCCATGGTCAAAGTGCGCATGACATGGACCAGATAAAAGTCAGACAGATTTTCGGTGATAGAAAATGATGAAATTGGGCAGGGATAAGTCAAGCTTTGCAGTACTTTTCCAGCTTACCATTAGGAATGGCTGAAAGCTTCCCAAAGGTTTCATTCAAAGTTTTCAGGAGAATAGAATTCTTCTCATCAGCATCTTTCAGTCTGTTCTGCATGCTGTCCAGGTTATCTTCCTTTTCTATAATAACAATAATTTGCAAGTTGTTTAACATTAAGATATTAAATAATGTAAGTAAGTTTGTATGTAAAGTAATGTACCTAAGTTGTAGGTATGAACGATAACATTTTCAGTTTAAGTTCCCTGATTCCATTGTATCTAAATGCCTCAGTTCATCTTACTGTTCTGTTTATCAGAGGTTTTCCTGAGGTTTACAGAGGAAAGAAAAAAAAATTGCAATCACAGATGGAATGATTTACTGAGACATAAAAATGATCCACTGGAAGATTCAAGTATGAAGTTTAATCACAGAATCACAGAATCACAGAATTGTAGGGGTTGGAAGAGACCTCCAGAGATCATCGAGTCCAACCTCCCTGCCAAAGCAGGTTCCCTACAGCAGGCCACACAGGTAGGCATCCAGGCAGGTCTTGAACATCTCCAGAGAAGGAGACTCCACCACCTCCCTGGGCAGCCTGTTCCAGTGCTCCGTCACCCTCACCATAAAGAAGTTCTTGCGCACATTCGTGCGGAACTTCCTATGCTGCAGCTTGTGTCCGTTTCCCCTTGTCCTGTCTCCACTCACCACTGGAAAGAGACTGGCCTCACCACTCTGCTCCCCACACTTTAGATATTTATAAACCTGGATCAGGTCCCTTCTTAGTCGTCTTTTCTCAAGGCTGAACAGACCCAGTTCACTCAGCCTTTCCTCATAGGAGAGATGCTCCAGGCCCTTCACCATCTTCATGGCCCTCCGCTGGACTCTTTCCAAGAGATCCCTGTCTTTTTTGTACTGGGGAGCCCAGAACTGGACGCAGTACTCCAGATGAGGTCTTACCAGAGTAGAGTAGAGGGGGAGGATCACCTCCCTCAACCTACTGGCCATGCTCTTTTTAATGCACCCCAGAATGTCGTTGGCCTTTTTTGGCCACGAGGCACCCTGCTGGCTCATGGCCAACCTGTTGTCCGCCAGGATGCCCAGGTCCCTCTCTGCAGAGCTCCTCTCCAGCAGGTCATCCCCCAGCCTTGATTCCTATATCCAAACACTACACGCATTTTCATATTAAAGATGTTGCCCGGGACAAATGATTTGACCACTGTGTGGAAAGAGGCAAGACTGATCAGAAAGAAAGAGTCAGCTTACTGCACCATTTGGAATGACCAAGGCATAGCTCTCATGAAACTTCTAAAAAATAACCCATGTTGATTAATAATTGAGGAAAACACACCATATCACCCTATCATTAATATGAGGAGACTACACTAACAACACATTCTGAAAGATGTACATATGTATATAGGAAAAAGTCATCCTAATTAATCAAAACAGTTGTACATTACAGACTGTTACAAACTGATGTTATCTTTTATGGATCATTTCTGCTCTTCATCAATTGCTTTGAATAAAAATTATGGAGGGATTTTTGGAGCAATATTCAGCATTAGCAATAATTTTACAAACTCTCAAAAATGAGATTCTAGCTAAGCTTTACAGCTATTTAAACATACATTATTTCAAAATTTTGATGATAAGTTTGGCACAGAAAATGTTTAATGCTTGAACAACTATGTTCAGGACCATTTTTCAATATTTCTTCATATCAGTATGGAGCTCTTCAGAACTGACAGTTGGTTATTTATTACCTTAAAGGCATGCCTTGTTGGGAAACTAATTCAACATCATGGTGCTTGATAGCAGAAGGAGGAGAATAATTCGTGTAAAAGTAGTTTAAGATAGAAAGTATGACATTGACCTTCAGAGATATGACAGGTTATTGAAAATAAACACGTGGTTTCTGGATACATATTGAAGTAGGTCCTGGAATAGGAAAATATACTGGAGAAGAAATTTCTCAGTGTATAGGTCACATACTTGTGAAAAACAGAAAGTACCACTTTTAAATAAGGAACAATAATTAGACATATTAGACCTCCAACAGTATCAGAACTGTAACCCTTTGTGAGAGAATAAACAGAATTAATGGGTTACAAATGGGATTGTGGAATCCATAGACTCTAAAAGAGAAAGTTTTCTTAAAACTAGATGTGCAAAGAGCAACATGAAATTAGAAAAATCAAACAACATGCATGTTACCTTCAAGAAATCATTAACTAAATCTTCCAAGGCTATTTCCAAGACAGAAATGGGGAATGGAATGCAAATGAGAATCCTATTTTTGTTGCTAGATCCTTTGAAATGTCATTCTGGTAGGGATCTTTCTGCCTTATTTAAATCAGAGCAACAGTTCAGGTGTGCCTGGAGGCAATGCCCCAACAGAGGAATAGGATATTGGTGTCATGTGTGAAAGACATAGTTAACAGTACAATAAAGTTGGGAAGAATCTTCCATAAATTTTAAGATTATCCTTCTCAAAAATATTTCTAAGTGGTAGTTTTTGACTCTGCAGATGAATGAAACTACTCCTAATTTGATGTTAAACTAGGATGAACACATAGGATTCTGCTCTTAAGCAATCTGAGACTTTATCTGAGTTCATTTGTCATTAACTAATAACACTGACAACACTGTTTTAACTTCCTCCATTCAATTTTGAAATCACGGTGCCTGATATTTCTTTCATGTCTCTGGTGGCTTTTTTGTAATGCTAGTGTTTATGAAGTGTGTTAACATTCCTGACATGTTTGATTAATTTCAAGTGGTGGTATACTAACTTTGTTACATTAAATTAATATAAATAAGCTCTTTTTCTCCTCTTTACTCTGCCAGATATCTCTCAGATTATCTCTCAGTTATAGAGAGAGTTGCATAATCGTGCTTCCCCACTTCTGTTTTCAGCTTTGAAACCGTGACAGCAATTTTTATGGATTTTATTAAGTGAAGTTTCCCTAAACTGAATTTGAATACTGAAATGTAACGCTTAATATTTTTTTCTTTTAATTCCTCAAATGTTCTGTGTTTTTGTTAAATATTAAAATAATGAAGCCATAAATAAGTGCCTTGAGGGAGCCTTTCATGGAAATTGTTTACTTTGCACAGTGATCATAACATGAAACTATATTTTTAAGTAAATTTCCCTAATGTAACTCAGATGGCTTCTTTGCTAATTTTGAGCTTATTTTAACAATGAATCACAAACTAAACTAAATTCACATTAGGTTTTCCCCATCCTTTAATTATTGGCATTAACAAAGGATGCCAAACCAAACATCTGTAATTTGAAGTCCTGAGATCCTCAAATTAATCATACAGGTGAGGCAAAATATGGGCAGCTACAATTTAAATTTTTGCAAAATGAATAACTTATCTGACTTGGAAGAGGTTAGCGGGTCTGTACTGAAAGATGCCAGGCACTGTCAACTGACATTAAATGTTGGTTGAGAAATATCTTGAGAAAAATATGTCATTTCTGTTTCCACTTGATTAGATCTGCACAAAGATGGCACAAGATGCCAATCAACATATAGGGATTTTTTGGTTCAAATCTACAAAACCATCCATGAATTAATAAAACTAAACCCCAAAGAGTATGGAAGATCCTGACTGACTTTGCAAGTATGAATCTTTACATTTTCTGGCTTGGTTAATGTAAACAAGTACTTTAAATTTCTGGTAATATTTCCATGATTAAACATTGCATTATAGAATAATTTTTCTTGTGAGTGAATAAAATACAGTGAATCAAATAAAAAAATTCCTTACGCTCATATGTTTCATTAAGGAACTTAGTCATCGTTTGTACGCAGTGATCTATTTTTACAAGAGACGAGTTCTTGCAAATCTCCACAGAACACATAGGTATGTGGCATGGGTTAATTACTGATGGCATATCACCCCTGCAGTGTGAGTGGAAACAGGAATCTTCCGAGAGCAGGACAACATAGTTGAGACTGTCTTAGAAGGTATCATAAGGCCATGTTGCCCAATGTATGCTCCCCAAAACAAAATAAAGGTTGAAATCTCTTGAGAAGCTACACACACAGCTGTTTTTACTGATTGGATATTGCACAAATTAACTGGCAGTTACATGCATCCCTTTCTATTATGTTTGTTTTGCTTCTTGCAAGCAGCAGTCTTGCTCCCCTCAGTCTCATCCTATCAGGAGGATGAGGAGTGACAAGCTAAATTTTTAACCTGAAAAGAAGCAAGATTTACAAATTAACAAGGAAAAAAGATTTAATTAGAGAAATATGGCTAATGATGGTTAACATTTTAAAGAGAGTCTTTTCAGTATCATTTCATGTACAAATATAACATTGAACATTTCGTACAAATATTAGGCAATAATTTCCTGAATGCAATATGCCAGGCCAGCAAAAATCCAAAGGAGAGGAAAATACACAACCAAGCTATATAGCTGTGCCTATCAGCTCGAAAATGTTTTGGCTAAAAATATTCACTTGTTGTCAGACAAAACAACACTCCTCAACCTGTCAGTTCTTAAGCAAAAGAAATGACATGAGTTGAATTCCAGTAGCCACCTGACACTGTCTCCAGCTGAAGAGGTGTTTTTACATCTTATTTTTACTTTTCATTGATCAGTTTTGACAAAGCCTATATATCGCCTCCAAACTGCATTGGGCAAGTATATTTTTAAAACAGTAAATTCAAAACTATAAAGAAGAAAAACTGCTCCTGGCAAACTAAGAATCCCTCAAGGCACAGAGAGAATGAAGCTGACAGGCAGTAGCATTCACTCATTTGTAGCCAAATTTTCAAAACTCCTTCTTAGCTAGTGCAGTAGATACAAATTTTCCTTCTTCCACCAGGGTTATTCCTTCCAACTTATATACCCACAGAGAATGGAATGATTAAATCTCTATTTTAATAGCTTCTGTCAGAAGCTTTGCTTTGTAAGGACCGTTTCAGCAGTTTTTGGTAGTAATATAAAGCATTCTCGTGATTAACAGCTGTTTTATACCTAGTGTAATTGACCACAAATCAGGGGAATGTCATAACGTAGGAAGAAAACACTCCCACCTCTGTCATAGCCCAGACTGGATTTCTGGAGTGTACATTAGTTGAGATTTTCATTACTTTAACTAATGTACTACCTGTAGCTCAGGCAAAGAAATTTTAAACTAATGATCATTTCTGTCTGCCAGATCATTACAGAGTGCCCATCACCCATTCTTCACTTTCAGTAGAGACCTTGAACAGGGTGGCTTTGTAAGAAGTACAGGAAAATAAATCACTTCCTGTTAGTTTTACACTCAAATCTCACTTTTATCCTGAACACATCAAGACATACAGTGAGATTATGTTCATAATACTACTAACTTCATCACTTTGGAGAAAAAATAGGGTGGGAAAAATAAGCAGTTTTTTCATTTTATCCTTATGTATGTCTATGTGGATCAAGATGTGGAGTGTTGTCACATTTTATTGGTTGCAAAAAGGCATACACTGAAAGTTCAGAAAGTTTGTGCATATGGAGCATATTAAATCTAAAGCGTATAAAGAAAACATCAGGAAAACTGCATCTCATTAAAATATCTTCAGCATGGAGCAAGAGCCCAAAAGAAGATCAAATGCTTGCATGATAAGCACTGCCCCCTAGTTACATTGGGATTGCTTTATGAATCTTTAGAATGCTTAGATCACTTCAGAAATCTGAAACAGATATCAATTGAAATTCTCACTGGAGTAAAATGGGAGAATAACTTCATTTTTTTCCAAAATCTCCAAAGCACTATCTTATTGAGGTCACATCTTTTCTTAAGGGTTAAATTGGACAGACCTGTGAGCACACAGCACTGATGTATATCCAAGCACAGACATTTTGATTTTGTCCTTGAGAACAGAATTGAAAGAGCACAATTACTTTGATGTAACCATCTGTGGAGCACACAAAGCTACAGACTACACTCTGTGGTGCAGAGAGGCAGTAATACCTTTTTAGTGTGTCCAATACACCAGCTATGGCAAGTTGAAGCAGCTTACTTTCCAGCAAGGGGCATTAGCAATATCCCTATACTTCCCACTTCAGCCATGTTACGTAGATAGTCTGTTGGCCTCCCATAATAGTTTTATGATTTTCTGAGAAATACTTACTGAAACACGTTGGCCTTAAATTAGTACTGAATCTGGCAGCAATGTCACAATAAAGAGTAATTTAAGTATAGATATGAGATTTACTTGTAAGTGTAGACAGTTATTTTATCCTTAGAGCTACTAAAAGAAAATAACGTTTTTAACTTTCAAACTGTATATGATATAGAAGCGTAATTGACATGATTAATAATTAATAATAAAGTCATAATCTTATGACCTTACTAAACATTATGTTTACTTGTTAACTAGCTGACATCCCAGAGCTGCCAGAAATAAATGAAATAATAGCCAAATGATGACTTTGTGTTATATGGATTTAATTCTTTACATTGTGTGGTTTTTGTAATGCATATTCCAGAAGGCCAGTGAAAATTGTACATGCTGAAACCTCAAAAATTAGGCTCCATTATAAAAATCTGTCTTGTTACTAATAAAAATTATTTTTACCTATGTAGTATCACACACAAGCTTCAGGTATCATCTCTGTGACAGACAGCTAAATCTCAACCTCCAATGTTTACTATTTGTGGTTTTTTTTTTCTAGTTCTGATGCATGATGTAAACAAACTTAATTTTAGCTTAATTTTCAAATTGTGTGATAAGCAAGAAGTTTCATATTGTATTTGTTTTCCTCCCATCCTTTTTAAAATTTCTTTCATGCCCTAGATCTGTTTTCTTACCTAAATGAGTAAGTACTATAACTTTGTCTGTAATTCATTCCATATTAACCCTGAAATAGCACAATAGCGCCAGCCAACTGAATCAGAATAAAGCATAGTGTACACAGCATGAAAAGACTTTTGTAACATTAAATTGACTGGAAACAATCTTTTCAAAATATATACTCAAATAACAGTAAAAAAGGGAGGAGATTACAGAATACTGATTTGGAATAAAGTTCTCAGTTATCAACTTGAACATATTCTATCTAAACTAATAGGAAAATTAGTCCATATTTGGATGTATAACCTTCAAAAATAGCTGTATGAAAGACTCATCTAATTGGTCTTTGCACCTCCCACTAGCATATCCGACTTCATATTGCCTCCCTATACTTCATTCTTCTGGCACAATCTCACAAGCATCCTAAAGAGATGAATTCTCTCCAATTGGCATTGCAAATCCTTCTTTTGTATTAACAAGAGCAAATATGTAGTGTTGGGTTGGGTTTTGTGCTTATTTATTTTGTGTTTTTTTATTTTTCTGATAGAGCATTTACTAAATCAGTACCTGTTTTTTTCCCTTCCTCTCTCATTTCCACTTACTCTCACCCTTACTGTAGTCTTCAGGAGATGACTAAGACTCCATCTCAGCCTTCTTATCCCAGAAATGGAAACATCTCCCTAACTGCCTGGGATGCTTGCTTCAGGCATTATGGAAGTGGAATAGAATCTTTTCAGTTGATACTTTGTTCAATTTTTAAAACAGAAAATGAAATATACTTTTTTTCTACTGACTTGGCTTATTTATAACAGTAACAAAGCAGCCTCACAGTATTTTTCTTGCATTTAATGAACCTGGATCCCACATATTGAACATACCTTTAACATCATTTTCTAGCACCATGGCATCATTAAAGACCCTGAAGCTTTTCTGAAGAGAGCTCTTGGCGTCATCCTTCAGTGATCCTTGAGGACCAGATGTCTGCAGAGAAACAAACAGTGTCATACATACAGGAAAGCCTGAAGTCATTAAAGATATATGAAAATGATCTAAGAGAACAATCATCTAAATTTTAAATGAACATAAATGTGCTCTTAACCATATCTCACTGGTGTTACATTGGTTTCCACAGGACTGAAAAATGGTTTTTCTCTAATTTATTTCCTTTGTTTTTACAGGAAGCCAGTTCTCCTTTGGAATACCAGCTATGACTTTAATAAGAAGAGAAAATGTTTATATCATTACAGAAACAGATTTGACTATAGAAGCAGAACATTTTCTAAAATAAACAAGCAAAAATCTTTCAACATGGCTTTCTTCCTCCAGCTACAATGTTTCTCTCTAGGAGCAGCTACAATACTTTCAGAAGCAGACTGGACCTGATGATCTAAATTCTAATACAGAAAACAGATGTCTTTAAAGATAAAGTCAAGAATTGTAATTGCTAGGTCAGTAAAGTGAAGATGCAATGAAGCAAATAATATTTAAAAAGACGGGCAAGCTGCAGTTAATCTGAAAAAGTTTTATTACTGAATAACCATCCTACTATCTATCATGTCATTAAAAAATAAAAATCTTTCCTTTGAAATCTCTCTTCAGTGCAGAGATTTGGTAGTGTTATTTTTCTAAATTAGATTAGTATTTTCAGTTGGTAGGAAATGCTTTAGGTGCTGAACCAGTTACTGCTCAGTTTGTAAGAATGAACTCAAGTCACATATTACACTGAATACATTTTTTTGAGAATACTCTTGACAGGCAGATAACATTCTATGTTAGTCACGGGTCAGCCTTGTTACAAGTACGCAATTAAGCAGCAGCTATTCTTCATTTTCAAGGGTAGATATATATACTCAAAAATGAACTGTGTGTCAATTAAATGACACAGTTATTAATACTATTCATTATTTAGATAATGAGCAAGAGATGATATTTTTCTAACTGCTGAATTGTTGTTTTTCATGATATATTAAGTAACATATATTGGAATCACTGCCTGTTTCTTTAAAAAAATCTGAAAGACTGCTTTGGATAATCTCAAAATTCAGATTTTTTTTTTAAAGTGATATTTCAGGGCACAAGTAGCTTATGTTACTGGGATGCCGCTACCAAAGATTGCTTGTAGTCATGAGGGATGTAAACTTATGCTCAAGTTTCATCATGTGATGAGTGATTTTATTAAACCTGGACCTTATGATTGTCGAGCTCACTTGAACTATTAGGCTGTGTATGCCAACTCTTCCCCATATCAACAAAGGCTTTATATTTGAAAGATTGACAAAACTAGTTGTTTATAAATTTTATCTTTAATACCTAATATAAGTAGCACTGATAATACCTAGGTCACTCCAAAAGTAATGCTTCCTATTTATTTCCATGGAAACCACGATAGACATGAAGAGCAAAATATCACTATTTAATAGAGCAAAATTCTCAAAAGACAACCAGTTAAGTAAAAGATTGCTCTTGAAGAAAGAATGCCTGGCCAGATTTTGTGGCAGATGCACCTGTCAAAGCAGATAATACTACTGCTATTTTCCTGTTAGAATCAGAACTTGGGCCCACGTCAGAATGGATTTCAAAACAATTGTTGCTGTTATTATTAAAACTCCAGGCATGGTTGACTGGCTGTTTAAGAAGTTTCAATTCAATAGAAAGAAGGTGGAAGGCCAAATTTGCAATGCAAAATCAAGTTCATCAAATCAGAGACAATAACTGAGTCCAGGCTGGCAATCAGTTAGAAAGAGATTTCAGCAGAAAGTTAGTACTAAAAAGTCCCTTCAGAGGCAAATGTACTCACACTGATTAAAACCTTTCTTTTATAACTATTTTCAAATAATTCTATTTATATAATGAAGGGAATGATTATTCAAGAAATTTGATGCAAAACATATTTTTTCCTACCTTTTTTTTTTAAAATTTTTTTGAGTCAAGAGATGTAAAATCATGATGAAGATAATAATGAAAAAAGTAAACATTTTCTGGCTGTATGAGGTAAACTTATGCCCAGCTTGCAGTAAGTCAGGGTCAGGTTGAATCTCTTTATGATTTAATAAGACTAACAGATAAATGATCTTGTTTTCTAAATGCGTATACTTGACTTGACAACAACAACAAAAAAAGTAATAAATGATTGTGATTCAAGACAAACTGGAAAATCACCGTGTCCCAGGAATCTGAACTGTATCTAATCTAACTCTGTACCAGAATGTACATAATATGAGCAACTTCCTCACTATCTTCCTCCTTCTACAACCCCCATCCTCTCCATACAAACTGTGCATCTTGACTGTTTGTAGCATCTTGTGATTGGAGTGAGATCTCATTATGTATCCAAACAATGCAATCTTAATCTTGATTTAGAGGTATGCAATCTTAATCTTGATTTAGAGGCATAAGTGCCATTATATTAAGTTAATACAAAACGCTGCCACAGAAACCATATATCATCTCTCATGGACTGTTTTGTCCTTTCCAATAATTTTAACAAGGTGTACAGCAAAAGAAAAACCATCTATCAAATTACAAAAAAGCTCCATGATTTGATAATTAGCAAAGAAGGAAGGAATTTAGGAAGAAACATCCTCTTGGACTTTCTGGCATTTCAGTGAATCTTTAACTCTGTTCTTGTCAAATCGTTTACCTTCTGCAGGAGCAGAAGAAAGATTTCAACATACAGCACTCTTTTGGGATAGAGCAGATTCCTCCAAATCTCCCAGGGATGACAGTGTGAATCATTGACTTGCGTGTCATCAGGGAGAAGATTACAGGCTGCAAGTTTGTTTAGCCATGGTCACAGCATTCCGTGAAGATTCCCCCATCAGCAGATGCTGGGCATTGTCTGAATACAGACAGAAAACTGATAAAGCCTTGGTACAAAGGTATTTTCTTTCTTTCCTGAGATTTCATAAGAGGATGTAAGCATGAAGTAGGTACTGTATTGGTCACTGACAGAAGTGTAGGCGTAGCTTCAAGTATCTACGTAATCCTCAAAACTGCTCCAAGAGTTTCATGTATATGAATTCATCTACACACTTATAAGCTGTTTTATAGACCAAAGCCCTAATTTCTATCTGTTAAATACAGTTCCGCCTTGCTTTTAAAATAATTTCTTTTTCACATACATTTACATTCTGAGAAGTTTTCACTTCTGTGAGAGTTAAGGTCAATTAATTTTCACCAGTCCTGGGTACAGCTGAGAATTTTAAAGTACCAAAACATTATGAATGGATTGATTCTCAGGACATCCTCATGTCTTGAGGAGAACTGCTAGGCAGCTTTATGCTGTGAGCATGCAAGGAAGTCTAGGGACCCAACATAACTGCTAGGGTCCCACTTCAAAGGGAGTCAAAAGAAAGAAGGAAGTAGAACATTATAACCTAACATGTCACCTGTGGTACCAGTCACTATTCTAAAAAGCTTATGAAATAAAAATAATTTTTCAAGATGTATTTTAAAATTATGATTCTGATCCATAATACACAAGCAGGATAAGTTAACATGACTCTACCCCTCAGTCAGTTACTGTCTTGACTATGTCACACGATGTTGAAGCAGCCCCAAATGCTTGGGATTTCTCACCTGTGATAAATTTCTTTTTCTTTTAAAGAGAAGAGCAAATCCATCATGAAAAGCTTAGAAAGAATTTTTCTGTCATATTTTTAAAACATTTTTTTCCCCAGTCATTTATCAGGCTTCCTGTAATCATGATGGATTTGAAGCATTGTTTTGTTTGTGCTTTCAGCAACATTAGCAACATTAATTTAAAATCAAACTAATCGTCCCTATTAAAAACAAAAATAACTCCAAATTCAGAGATATCACTGAAGTTTGCATAGATTAATCATTCCATTGACTTGCAGGGTACACTCTAAAACTCAGCTCAGTATTTACCACTGCTAGTTTATGCATCAGTTTGCTGCTATTGGGAAATCTTCCCCACACCTACCCAACACTGTAATTTACTATGTAAGGTTGATCTTGGTGATGTATCTGCTAGCTTCTGGAGTTCAGAGCCCTTTACAGAAGATAGGCATCCACAATAGATTTCATAATAAAGAGAACATGGCTCCATTTTCACAATGAGGGGTGATTATCTCTGCCTCCTACATCAGGGCCCAAAGAGCATCATGGTAAGCCACTGATTACCACTGCGTTTACATTTAAAGGGCTGTAGCTCTCTCCATTTTCCTCTTAATCAACTCGTGTTGCACACATACTGCACATAATAAGAACAGGCTTCTTCATAGAGAGGAGATGCTTAGAATCCCTCCTGAACTTCCTGAATATCTGAATGCCTTTTATTGCTACTCACTTGCATCATACCGCCCATCTCTTTACCACCATCCCTTTCAAACTATCCACTTCCTCTCCATGGTATAATCAGCCAGTTCACCATCAAAACACTTTTGAAGTCACACTGTAATTGCTTGCTTTGTTTCTTGACTGCTGTACATGCCTTTTTCCCCAATCAATAAAACAGCTTCTTGCCTTACTCACTGTGAGTCACGAAAGGAACAAATGATAGCTATCTGCATTAATGTCTAATGCATTAAAGAAAAAAAAAAAGAAAAAATCCAGAGGTTCTTATTTACTTCTGCAGCATAATTAGCAGTTCCAGCAAAACAAATAACTGTTTTCAGAGAACTTGTACATGCTAATGTGTGAGGTGACACTTTTTCAAGAGAGAAATATAGTAATTAATGTTATTTGAAATAGAATTTGACAACCAAAACTATCTAAAAATATTTGTGTATTTGCAACAACTAGTTTCCTTTATCCCTCTCCTAAACATGAAGCTTTCCAGCATGTTAGTGCTTTTAATATTCTTGCAGTCCATTTGACTGAAGCAGCTCTCTGCAAGATACTTTTATGCATGTGCAAATGCTGTTACTGCAATTTGTTTCTGTTCACCTGCAAGTTTCTGTATCAAATACAAAGTCTGCCAACTCTCCTCCTCACAACATTGCCACTGTTTTACTTCTAGGCCCATCTCCAATCTCCTTATCCATTCCCCTTTTTCCCTTTCCCCTGGGCATGGGTCCATGGGTCTGCTGCCCCATTAGTCAAGGCACCAGGCCAAATTGGCCCATAAACTGTTGACAAATATAAACTGGCCTTATCAAGTATCACATGACCTAACACTGTTCATTCAAAGCCATCTCATAGTTGGCTTGATCCTTAGGCAGAGACTGAAAGGTAAAAGGCTGATGAAGAATAACAAGAAGGAAAAAAAGAATAAAGTACAGAATTTATGGACAAATTGAGATGTAGTTAAGGTATATGTAGCTCTGGCATTTTGTTCTGTTGTCAATACAAGAATCTGCAGTGGCAGAGGTCTCTCAAAGATAATAAAATACATAACTGAGAAAATGTTCAGGACAGTTCCACCAAAAATCTCTTTCCCAAATGACTTATTTTTCTTACCGCTTGCATAGCTTCATTTGCAAGAGCCTTGGCTTCCTTGGCAACTTTTTCAGCTTCATCTATGTAATCCTTGATATTGGTATAAGCATTGAAAGCAAGTGTGGCATTGAAAGAAAGATTTTTGGCTTCAGCAAGGATTCTGTTGGGATAGAAAAATTAAACATACAATTAAATCTACTATCAGAGCTCAACAGAATATAGTATCCTACTTTTTTAAGCCCAACAGCCTTTATTGTTAAAGATATTCTAAGACATTGTGTTAGAGAGAAATGCTACACTGGAAATCTCAGCAGTTATGACATCATGTGTTTCAATGAATTCAAATTTTATCTGTGCAGAAAGACATTAAATGTTTACTAACAAGGAGGTGCTATGAGATAAAAAATAATAGATCAAACAGTGCAGTGCTTATAATTATAATACAAATAATACATACTTATATGCGTAACATTGGCTTATAGGTTGTGTGTTGAACCAAGCAACTCACTGAAATCTGCGCTGGGAGATCACTATGAGCATGTTATAAAGCAGACTGTATGAACCACTTATTTCTTGGTCTAGCTTACAAACAGAGAGATTGCACTAAACCAAATCTTAAAAGTTAATTCTGCTTATCAATATAAAGAATATAACAAATAATGATCCATATTGAATGGAATGCTCATGAGCTCAGCTAACTCACTTCTAGACACTAAGATAGAGAAATCACTTTTCTTTCTTTCCGTGTGGCAAATTCAAACGTTATCTACAAAAAGTACTGCATGCACAATATATTTGAAGATGTCTCTCTCAGAATACACTACAGCCTGCTACCTATGATATGTTCCCTGAAGAAACACTATGTAGGTCCAAATTCCTACTTGAGATAGACAAGAATTTTGTCTCTCAAGGAAATGCTTTGGGTATTGAGGTGCACGATAATGTAATGGAGACAGGGATTACTTAACCTGGATGTGTTCCAGCACATAGAAAATACTTAGTCACTGAGAAAGAAAGTGCAGAAGAGAGGGAAATTCATTCTCTAACCTGATAATTTGTATACTCTGGAGAACTGAAGTAGTTGGGCTCCAATCCTTGCCTCAGTGAGTATTTAATTATTTCTACAAAATGCAACAGGAAAAACAAAGGGGATGGAGGTATTTTCCCTGGACTTTGCATATAGTGAACAGGGGGGAAATAGATTCCCTTCAGACTGCCACATGATTGAGCTGCATCAGCGTCATTCCTAGAAGAACCTTCTCCCTCTTCAACTAAAGATGAAACTTAATAGGTTGCAGTAAGTTTTTTTTGTGATACTGACTGAGATAAAAGGGCAACCTACAATAGCTATCTAGGTAGTAGCTAAAGTACTGCTTAGAAATGCGTTTCATAAGCCTTCAGGTTAGGAAGGAACTAAAATGAATTTTCCACAAACCAATGGCATTTTTTCATCAGTGGGCTATTAGGCAGAAGGGAGAAGCCTATACTAATACTTCTCTGTATACAGGAAAAATAACGATATTTTTTCCAGGCTAAATTCATGATCTGTTCCATGTTCTAACTCCCACCAGAACATCTTCACCATCAATCAATAAGCTATTTGAAGCCTTAGGGGGTGATTTGAGAGAAAGATCACTTTCTCAATTTCTCTTATATTCTCTTGTCATTTTTCAGCAAATTTAGTATTATCTGAAAGATGCCCAAATGCCAGTTGTGAGGATAGATGCATTTTTTGAATTCCTTAGATAGATAGACACTGAAGATTCCTGTAAAGTATGGCTTCACAGTTCATGAACTAAACAACTTTATCCTGATGTAAGATGACAAAAGACGTTGGTATTTCTTTCTCTTTTGAGACTATGAATCTGACCACACTAGAAATCTAAAGTTTCAATAATTTGCTTTTAAAGCTAATTTTAAATGTCTTTGATTCTCCATTTTTACTATGTACACTAAGAAACTGATGGTGATGTCTGGATCGTATGGAAGTATACATAGTACTGCTACACCATAGTAAAGAATAAAGGGCTGCACTAACTCCCCCCCAAAGGGTATTAAAGTGCTTTAAACATTACCCTAAGCTCCCTAAGGCTTATATTAAGAAAGAAGCACATGTATGCAAACACAAAAGGTCTACTTAAGCAGTCAAAAACCTTTATCTCAAAACTTATCTTGTCAACATCTTATTAAGAAGGCAAAACCACTTTTCTTTATGTTTTCACTACTTCTTTACTTAGTTCCTCCCTGCCAGCTTTCCATGTATTTGGATATTTACAGCCATGGTAGTGGGATATGGCACTAGTCATCTACTTTAGGTCCAGACATATAGCACTGACATTTGTCATTATCAGACAATTCATATACCATTTATAAAAGCCATTTTCTTCTAGAAATGGTTCCCCTTAAATCCTTTTTCCTCAGCTATCATTATTTGATGTACTTCTTAAAACATAAATTAGACTACTTAGAGTGATGTGACTGCATGGTATATGAAGCCAAAAATTTTACAAAACTTTGAATCTTTATCAAAGATAATTCTGCCTCTTCCTCAAAAGTGCAGAACCTGACAAGAAAAAATGTGACCGTTCACAACTCTTTGTGATATTGAAGACTTTAAAAGATGTAAACAACAATTAAAAAAAAAAAAAAAAAGACCATGTTATTGACCTGGAGGATTGTGGGATATAAGGATAGAGCACAGCCCTACTGAAAAGGATTGGAGGTACTAGTTGAAGGTAAATTGGACATGAGCCAGCAATGTCCCCTCATAGTCCAGAAAGCCAACCTTATCCTGGGCTGCATCAAAAGAAGTGTGGCCAGCAGGTTGAGGGAGGTGATCCTGCCCCTCTGATCCACATAGGTGAGGCCTCACCTGGAGTACTGTGTCCAGATGTGGAGTCATTAGTACAGGACAGATGTTGACCTGCTAGAGCATATCCAGAGGAAGGCCATAAAAATGATCCAAGGGATGGAACACTTCCCTTATGAGGACATGCTGAGAAAGCTGTGGCTGTGCAGCCTGGAAAAGGGAAGGCTCTGTGGAGAACTAACAGCAGCCTTTCAATATCTAAAGTGGAGCTATAAGAAAAGTGGGATCTATTGTGATAGGATAACGGGAAATAGTTTCAAATTAAAAGAAAGGAGGTATAAATTAGATACTAGGAAGAGGTTTTTTATACAATAAGTGTGGTGAGGTACTGGAGCAGTTTGGCCAGGGTGGTGATGGATGGCCCCTGTCCCTGGAGACATTCAAGGTCAAGCAAGATGGTGCTCTGAGCAACCTGATCTACCTGTAGCTGTCCCCAGTCACTGCAGGGGAGTTGGACTAGATAACCCTTCCAACTCAGATGGTTCTATGATCTTAAAAAACAAAACTGAAAGCTTTTTATTCATGCAGTGCTTTTCTAGAACTATACTGGAAAGAAGTCTGGGATACAATATCCATAATATATTTGTAAATTTTAGAGCTGCAAATTACACTTTCTTTTTATTGTTTTCTTTCTTAAATGCAGACAACCAACAAAACAAATACACTCCCCTCACTCTCTTCCAATGAATGAAAATTACTCTTCCAGACTTTCAAAAAAATTATATTCATGATGAGTTATGTCATTCTTACAGTCCTTTCCTTTTTGAGCTTGGCTAAATAGAAATGAGAATGTCAAATAGAGAGAAAAAGTTTTTCTTACCTCCTGTTTCTGGAGGGCAGGATAACAAAGCCTGAAAAGAATGCCCTTCAGTTTCTGTTAAGTGATCTTAAAAAACCTGCTTTATGATTTTACCATCACCAATGAGTGGCTGCCTTACCCATCCAGTATTGCAGATGATTCATTCAGCTGCGCTGCATGGTTCTCAGCTTGTAATACCTTTTCTGGAAGCATTTTGTCTTGAATTTCTTGAGATAAATCATCTATTTTATCCTTCAGCTGATCAGACATTGACTGTATCTTATCTGCAACACTTTCCACGTACTGACATAAAATGATATAAATAAGACCTTTAAGTATTTGAATGCAAGCGTTCTGTAGCCCTTTATACATTTTACTTGGAAGATATTACATCATAACTTACACGTGTTAACACTTGAGGGGAACTGACATGGAAAGAATAAAGGAATGGTTAGACTGTAGAAGAGAAACAAAACAGTATACCACAGCTACTTGCCCCTCAAGTTATTATTTTACAATTAATAAACTACAAAGTCTAAGTATTTATTACCTATAATTTGGATTTATATCTTAAATATAGATGCATACGTAGCTATATCAATTCATAACCATCCTCCCAATAATAACTAGTCAATGACAGAAGTTTCATGTTACATGACCATTTGATTGACTCAAATGTATTCCTGAATATTAAAATACCTTAGTAAGAATTATGCTTTTGGAGATCTGCCATTTCTGTCTTAATAAGATGTCTCAAATTGTTTACCTTCCCATTTTACCACACAGTTTTTTTCCATTCATTATAACAATTTACAGTCCAAGATGGAAATATTTCCAGAACTAGTCATATCTATGTATTGGTAAGGCTGCAAACTCCATTGATAAAACCTTTAAGGTAAAACTTTCAAAAACATTGTGTAAAATGAGACTGCAATTCACTCACCTCTCTGATCTATCTAGATTTAAAATTGTTGCCACAGGCAACAAATTATTTCTGAATTTTCCTTCTGATATGAACACAGTCTTGGTACAGATAAATCTACATCTAGATCACAGAGTCACCGTGAGACTACAAACAGGTTTGCTGCGCCTGCAATTCTAGGGACAAAGTCAGTACCACAATCACAATACCATATCTTCAAAAGATATAGTGAAAAATGATGGGCTACTTCTTTGTGTAATCCAATGAATCATTTAAATCTCAAACTTTATTTTTTCTATATACCAGGTTTGATCTTCTGTCATAAAGCAATAGAAAAATGATTCCTTCAAATGCAAATATATTAACATTGATAAATAAAAAAGAAAAATAAGGAGTTACTTGAATTAGATACTTTATTTCTGTACTAATTGTACTAATTAGATGATAAAACACCTACCTCTACAGCTACGTTGATTTCATTTGTAAGGTTGTAGGCTTCATTAAGGATATCATTCCCTTCCTGCAGACTCTTCTCAACACCTTGCCTGCCATCTTCTACAGCTTGCTTCTTTTTCTATAGGATGTGTTCACACAGATGAAAATGTGAGTGCTGAAAGCGATGCCAGTGATTGAAACCAATACAGAGTGTATTTTGTCATCATTCCATGAAGGTCAGACTTCTGGAATTCTCTAATCTTCCCGAGCAAAGACAGTAACAGCAACAGAGCACATTTAACGTAAGACGACTTTCCTTCCCTTCCTGTCCCCAGCCTTGCGTCCTCTCCCTTCCATGTGGTACATTTTTTGTTGCTCTATTATAGACGCTACTGACTATAGTACTAGGGTAAAATGAATCAGACAGTAATTAGAAACCCTAACCTTTACCTAGATGTACAAGTTTCTCATTTTGACAATTATCTACACTGGTCATGAAGGCAAAATTTGTCAAAGTATTCTGTTGCTTTCATCTTTATGTCCACTGTTCTTACACTTAATAATAAATATAAAAATAAAAGGTGATGGTTTAGAAGAACCTTTGGATTTTTGAGTTTCTAAATAGTAGAAATACTACATATTGTGTAATAATGGTGGTTTTCTGACTAAGCAACTGGTGATTTCCTGTGTAAGATCCATTAGGTATCATAGGTGACCACGTCATTGTAGTCTAAAGAGCACTATAATGCTCTGTTGGTCAAAGCAGGGGTAAAAGAAAAGCAAAAAAACCCAACCAACCAACCAACCAACAACAAAAAACAACAACAACAACAAAAAAACCCCAAACACCCAACAACAAAACAAAAAAACAACCCAAACCAACAAATCTTCTCAAAACCGCTTTTTGGACAAGATTGCTGAAAGGGATGTCTTAGGCATTTTTGTACTGTGATACAGATAATATTTTAAAAACTGATATACAGCAGATCCAGCCTTTCTCTTTTTACCTTTGCGAATAAAAGGCAGAGAACAGAGATCACCCAACTTACATACAGCACTGTACTGCCTTAATTCAATCAAGCCCACAAATCTCGACTGAGAACTGAGATCCTGCAACTCTAACCTCATCATTTCATGTAAGGTGAAAGCTCATCAAGATATAAACAGAGTGGAAAAACTTATCTTCATTAAGTTGACTCTGCACTTAATATCTCAGTTAAATGCTTGTTAATGTACAGTATAATGTGCTCTTTGAGTCTGTGCAATTTAAATTAAATCAAAAGCAGACCTCTCTGCAGTGAGGGAGATAATTTATAATGACTACTAACTATGGAAGATAGAGTTTGATTAATTACTATGTAATATCTGCATACTCTTTCTAGGGGTTGGAGAAGAAGATCAAAATGCAAAGTTCCCGGGAGTAAATATACAATAGCAAAGATTTTAACTGAATTCTATTTTGATCTTGCATGAATACTCATACTTGGATGAATTCAACCTCCCCCAGTATAATAAATTCAACAACATCCCCCACTCAACATATATAAGCAGTAAGTATTACTTTGGTAGGAAAGCTGTCAAGGAACTCTCCTTTTACAAGCCAATTGTTTCCTGATTCTGAAGAATACATTTGCTTATATTTACATCAGATTTAGTTATATTAGAATAATATTTTTGTTTTACTTCTTTTTTTTTTTTTTTTCTTCAAGATTTAGTTACAAAGTGTTTATGCAAAGTTTCAGACTTTGATCAGACATTTACTTAGTCAAGGATACAGCTTGTCAGCACTCACCTCTACCATGGTCATGTTATTTTTGTTGACTGCAGATAAACGATTAGCCTCTCTAATTTTATTCATAGCATCTCTTAGAAGATCTCGAGCATCGTCAACTTTGGTGTGGTAATTTGTTAGCTTGTCCCGGACTTCATTTTTGAGATCCTCATTTTTCTCACTGGGTTCTCCAAATAATTTCTTCACTTTGTTCAAAAGGTCTTCTGCATTTCTGCAATGCACCATAACATAAATATACTGAATTCATATTTCTTACACCTAATAATCAAAATATTCTTAATATCATGTAATGAAATGGACTTTAAATCTCACAGCAACTTTCAAGAGAACACATGCTTAATGAAGTGGAATGATGATTGTTCTTCAGAGCATTTTTTTGGGGGGGGGAGGTGAAGGGAGGTAAATTGATGTTATCAATATCTGGTGTAAAATAAGATTTTCTGAAACATTTCATTTATTTGTATTAATACAACACATGAGACAGACAGATATCCTTTTTATAACCTTGTCTTGTAGCACAGCACAAACTGCTTATCTAACCAGTAATCAAACTCAAGACAACTCACCGGTTTCTGTAAAGCTAACACTTCCACTTTGACCTCTTATGGATTTTACTCTCTGCTCTGTTTAATGAAATACAAGTCGAAGAACCACAGAATCACAGAAGTTGGAAGGTATCTCAATAGTTCACTGAGTCCAATTCCCCTTCTAAAGCAGGTACCCTACAATACCTGCATCCAGATGAGCCTTGAATATCTCCATAGAAGGAGACCCCACAACCTCTCCAAGCAACCTGTTCCAGGGCTCCATCACCCTCATCATACAGAAGTTCTTCTGCACGTTAATATGGATGTTCCTATGAAAAAGTTTTAGGCTATTACTCCTTGTTCAATTGCTACACATCATCAAGAAGAGCCTGGCCCCATGCATCCGACTCTCACCTCTCATTAGATATTTATAAACATTTATCAGATCCCCTCTCAGTCTTCTTTTCCCTAGCCTGAACAGACCCAGGTTACTCCATCTTTCCTCATACAGGAGATTGTCCAGGCCCTTTATAATATTTGTGGTCCTCTGCTGGACTCCTTCTAAAAGACCCCTTGTGTTTTTTGGACTTGGGAGCCCAGAACTGGACACAGTAGTATAAATGTGACCTCACCAGGGCAGAGTAGAAGGAGAGGATCACCTCCCTCAACAAGCTGGCCACTCTCTTTTTAATAAACCCCAAGATACCATTGGACTTCCTGGCCACAGAGGCACAGTGCTGGGCCACGGTCAACCTGTTGTCCATAAGGATCCCAGAATCCCCAAAGTCCTTCTCCATAGTGCTCCTCTCCAACAGATCATCTCCTAACCTGTACTGATGCTTGTAGTACAAGTCAATGACTGCTCCATGTATTTCTTTGTTTTATGTACTAGAATTTCATTGTGACTGGTCTGTATTACATCTCCTGAAATACTCTCTTTTACATTCAAGCTGTGCTACTTTCACTTGATATCTTCCTAGAAAAGATCCAAACTATACTAAGTATTTGAAGTATTAGAAGAAATAATCACAGGTCTGGCCTAATACCTGAAATGCATCATGATCTCGATCTATCAAATCAGTATGAGGAAACAAAAGAAACATTAGAAACTGCTGATAAAATATTCAAAATTAAGCTGTATCTATATGAGACACTAAATATTTTAGAATTTTTCTATGTATAGAGGAAATTATCTAACATAGAGGCTTATAAAATCGTGAATGCCCTGGATAAGGTGATCAGTTGTCCAATGACTCTCCAAAAACAAAAGTGAAAATATCAGGAAATAAGGTCAAAATGCAGGAGGCAGCTTTTAAAGAGTATGTGGATGACTTATCCAATTCACTACTAATAGGAAACTGTATATAACAGGAGTTTGCAGTAGCTTAAAAATGATCAGGAAAATTAACGGATGAAAAAAACACAGACTCTAAGAAAAAAGCTATGCAAGCACAACAACTAAAAAAGCAGAATTCTGGCCCATAGCATCATTCAATACAAACTCAGTAACATTTATAATACTATAATATTGAAGTGTTAGAAAACACTGAAATATTTATTTCAGAAATAAGAAAATTAGAGGTCTAGGACAGAAACTGTTGTATTTTTAACATGATATCTCTACAGAGAAAATATTTACTAATATGTGATTTTAGTACAGAAAGGTAATCAGATTACAGACGTGATTTGGAAAGATTGAAGGAAAACAAATGAGGAAAAAATCTGGAAATGGAAGAGAAGTTTTAACATCTCTGAAAGTAAGAAGCCTTTACTTCATCTATCTTCCTTATTTAACAGACCAAATCCTGAAAATTAGCCAAGCAGAACACAGTCCCTGCTAAGAGATAAATCACCAAAGAATAAAGATGATTAACTACCTCAAAGTGATAAGGAAACGTTTAGATATTCATAAATAACTATTCCTAGTTGCGTCTGTAAATAATATGAGTATATTGTTCCACATGTGTGCACACACATACATATACACACACAGTTTTAAAATTGACTATTTTTTCTTCGTACTTTTTCTCCTGAAAGTAAACATTCAATATACTATCTTACTACATTACTTAAGCAGTCTTAAGTCATTTTTCTTCAAAAGGCAGTATCAGACAACACTGTCCACTGATCTTTACTTCCTGCCCTATAAGTTCACTATAAAAATTTCTTGGATCTCAATAACTGCATCATTAAGAAACAGCCATTGGACTTTTATTTAATTCAGTAAATACTTTTACGTATTTTTATTAAAAAATGCATTCCTTCACCAGGAATGAAAACATTTGCTTTGCATATTTCAGGAAGAATGGCTAGAAGGAGAGAACGAAAAAATCCAACAGCACTGCATTTCCTGCTCTTACTGTTGGATTGATTTCAATCTGGCATGACAGTTTCACATTGGCTGCAGCATTTGAAAACTAATAACATCATGTTTGAGAGGGTTTCCCCCAGACTGCCAAAAATTGCAAACAGCACTTTCTAAGGTTTGGCTACATTTTTCTCAGTCCCACTTTTTCAAGTCTTATTTCTGTGTGGGAGTAGAAAACAGACAAAAAAAAAAAAAAAAAAAAAAAAAAAAAAGGCTCAGCAAATCAGAAGTAAAAGCAATAAATCAGCAGTGAAGAATACATTTTCAGTATACTCTTTCTCAGTGAAAGAAAATAGAACTATCAGAAGTATAACAGAAATATTGTACTGGTAGGATTTTTTGAAAGTATGTTTAAAGTATGAGATAGACAGTGCAAATCTGATTCCATACTGCTTGGAATGTCCATGTTATGTGAAAAACTTTACAAGCAGATAATATTTTTATTAGACCAATTAGTCTTCATTCAAACAAACAAAATAAAGAAAACACATAGATCCCAGATTTTTTTTCCAAGATCTTTGGTACTAAAACCTTTCATCAGATGTGAAGTAGAAGCTAAAAAAACGGAAAAAATTGCTTATAATTTTATTATAAACATCACTGGTATCTGTGGAGTAAACAAGTAATTTTATAGGAAGCGTTTCTATTTACATAAGAATTTCAAAAAATGTGAGTGCTACATTAATAGATGGGAAATGCTGAACTCTGCTTTCCTTCACATTTGTGTAAGCCCTAGCTTGAAAACTTGGTTAGAATGGATGACAGTTACAAGAATCAGATATTATCACCGAGAGGATGAAGACAGTGGTCTCTCTACTCACTTGAACTCATCTTGAGCTATTCTTTCTTGCATATTCATCTTTTTACTTCTCATCTCCATGACCATTCTGTCAGCCTCACTCTGCAGTTCCGGAAGACTCTTCTCCAAGGTCTTGTCTGGGGTTCCAAGTGTCTCATTCAGTCTTATAGCATCTTGATTTACAGCTGCAAGTGGGCAAAAACCATGCATGGAGGGAGTTAGTAAATAGAAAGGACAGAGAATCTGTAAGAACTTTCATATCAACTCTATCAGCAAGTCAAATGCAATTTGAAATGGTTATTCCTGCTGTGAAGTAAAAAAGTGGTTAATCCTGTGAACAGTAACAAATGAGAGATATGTCTCATAAAAACTTTTATTGTAGTTCTCTTTTAAGCACAATAATTACAATGAGAAAGATTTTATATCCAGTATAAGAAATGCATTCCTCTTCTTTTCCTCCCCTCAGAAGAAAGAATTTGCAATTAACATTTAAAATAGCAGAAAGATAACCTAGGATATTGCTCACAGAATTAAAGAGCAAACAGTGAAAATGAGATTTTAAATTACTTTTGAAGAACTTCAGAATATTTCATTTTTAGCATTCAGATTTAGCAATCTGAAGAATAAGTGATTGGGAAATTTGGGAAAGAGACAGAGGGAAGAGGAATGAAAGTCACCCACAGATAGAGAACTCATGTTTAGAAGCAGATATACGGAAATGGACAAAAAGAGTGAAGGATATAGCTATGCACATGGTATCATAATCAAGAACTGACTGAATTTTTCTACTATATCAGACTATAATATATTAAACTAGGTAGTTCCAGAAACAACTGGTTTATGACAATCAGTTCTATCTGCAATTTTAAGATAGTACTATTGTCTTTCCATAGGCAGCAGGCTTCCAAGTAACTACTTGCTTCTTTGAAATAAGAGTTCCTGGTTGCATAGGTACCTCTGAATATTTTAAATATTAAAATGGAGAAATCAAAACCTGCCTTCCAAAAATCAAATACTATTTCATCCACGTTTTATAGTTTAAGAGCAAATAATTAAGAGGAAAACTTTAATGGTATGATGTTTACATTTTGCTGGTTCAAAGAAAAGCTGTTGAGAAATAATTGTAAAAAGTCTTGCAATGACATCAGTTTGCTCTTTGAGTATCTCAGGACAAACCCCTTCAGGCCACACGTGCATCCAGCTACAGGAGGAAATCCCACAAAAGATGGCTGGAAGTTTATTGTTACCACTATAGTGTATCCCTATTTGTGAGGTGAATATCCTGACCAAGAAACAGACCAGTGTTATTTCAGGCCCTCCACTTCCTATTAAAACATTTTAAAATAAGCCCTTTTTGTTGTCTCCTACAGTACAACTCTAATTGAGCTTTAACTGCACAGATTTTCTCCCTACAACTGGGAACAGCATCTCTGTAGTCCTCCTTTGTCATCCAAACTCAGTTCCAATGGCCATATGCTTCCTTTTTCCACTTAAGCCCCAGAAGAAGATCCCTGATCAGCAAAGATACCACCTGCATGACTTATGACATTTTGAAATTGCCTGTTCCTGTGCTATTATGATGTGGGACATAAAAAATAACCATCACTAATGGACCCCAGTGCCTTCAAAAGGAGTTTACATGGGCACCTTGATAACTAGTTCCTTGAGCAGCTTAGTCTCTTCTTTCCATATCCAGGGTTGAAGATTTGGTGGCAGTTTTCCTCCCATCACCAAAGATTTTAAACTTAATTACTTCATGGCCACTATGTCCAACAGTCGCTACTTCTACCATGGTAGCAGAATGAAGGATCTCCCAAGCACACAGTGCCTCCAACTTAGGCACACTGTCCTAAAGCTTACCAATGGTGACCCTGGTTTTGTCCCTTCTCCCCTTCAAATCCAGTCTAAGGCTCTATCAGTTAGCCCTGCTAACTCCTGTTATAAAACCTTTTCCCCACTCTGAGAAAGTTGCATGCCATCAGTAGCCAGCAAGCCTGGTATTATGTAGGCCATCCCATGACTGAAAAACCTGAAATTCTGTTTTTGGTGACAACAGGGTTTGCCTGTTCCTTTCAATATTGTTCCCTGCTACTGAAAGAATAGAGGAAAAAAGCTATCTGTGCTCCATATATTTAATCAATTGCCACAAGGCCATGAAGTCCCTTCTGATTGCTTTTAGACTTTCTTTGCTTCTTCACCACCACCAGCATGAAAAACTAAAAACTAGTAATGGATACTAATCAAAGGACCATATGGGGCTAGTGAGTTTTCTAGAAATAGCTCTTACCCAGACCCAATGGAGACTTTCCTACAGATCAGGTCTAGTTGGCATTTTGGCCTTCTGCTCCCCTCAGGAAGGAGTCATCTAGGACATCACACCTTCTTTTCCTTCCTTGACGGACATCATCATGATATGGGGGATAGGCTGAGTGGCCCTGAGTGATCCCTCCAAATTATTTACACCAGAGAATAAGATTGGAAAAAGAACACATAATGATAAACTAACTATGAATATTTTTAGCCAGAAGGTTTTTAGAAGGTTTATAGCTATCAAAAGAATTCTGAAACTGCTTTCTATTCAGAGTCTATGTATACATGGGGGCTGCTCTGAAAATGCATGGTAGAAGGTTTATGTTACCAATGGAATGGATGCAGTGATCCAGGAGGTAACTTGCAGTCCTTTGGCCCTATATTTAATCTATTCTTAAAATGTTGACTTGCCCACTAGGCAAACACATTGATTTTAAAGTCTTTGTTTACTTCTAACATATTGCATTCACCCCTCAAAATCTGTTAATTCTGCTCTTGCCATGCTTAAATCTGCTTGATAAAACTTTTATATGGGCTCAAAACACTAGATAAAAATTCTGTGGAGCAAAAAATGTGTTTAGCCATTGTTATTCTGAATTCATCAACTTTTCAAATTCAGCTCTGTCTTGAAATATGGAGAACCATATGTTCTGTTAAAAACCTTGTTGAAAATTCCGTTACTTCCTTATGTTGTTTCCCCATATTTATGTAATGTATAAGATGCACCTCCTAAGATAATTTTAAATTTCTGCTTAGTTCAATTACAGAAAACATATTGGGATGTGTTACAAGACAATATGAAACTTATAACTTATAAGTATATAACTTGTACTTTGACAAAAGTGGATGCTTTCCCTTTCAACCAAACCAACCTTTAGAATCAGAACTCTGAAGTTAGTACTGCATCCGGAGTTTTGAAGAATTAAAAACAGATCAGTATTTTTCAAATAAAAAACCTGACTACGATTGTCAGTTTGTCATTTTCAATTATTTTCCACCATTATCTTATGTAATAGGTCCATACCCACCCTGCTCTGATAGCAGGAGGGGGCAGCAGTCTATTGAAACAAAAATAGTAACCACCTTCTGCGACAGTTGGAGGCAGAAACCCAGACTGAGGAGCTACAACCATCTGATCTGAAACATGCACCCAGACCTCCTGAGGAATTAAAGATCTGTCCAGACCTTTAGTTGTGTTGAACTCCAGAATCTGGATATTTCCCAAGGGACTGGCAGCAAAGCAGAATGTCACAGGTACAGGTGAACTCAGCTCAACAAACTTTACAAGCATGTGGACAGGTTGCACAAAGAACTAATTGGGCAGCACAGCATTCAGAAATGGAAGAGAGAGAGATTGATGCATGATACTGTGCTGTTACACAGGCAGACCAGCAACCCTGTCTTAAGTAGCAGTAAAGGGAAGAAACCATGCCAGCTTCTAACTTTAAGGAGGAAGGCCATAGAAACAGGCAAGATGAGGGAAATTGGACCCTTGTCTGCACTCAGAGCAGGAGAAGCCTCCCCCTTGTACCTGACATGTCCCTAAGCAACTGATACAAGGCTCTTGGGATGGAAAGAAAAGAGGGCATAGATAATGATTCAGACTCAGGAAGGGACAACCACACTAAGTTGCTCAAACCTGAGTCCTTGGTTAGATCAATTACCACCAAAAAAAGGCAAAACATTAATAATCAGGAACTCTTCCCTGAGAGGCACTGAGGCATCCATTTGCAACCCACATAATCCCTCTAGAGGGGTTTGCTGCCCGACAGAACCCTGCATTTGTGACATTAAGAAGAGGCAACGAAGGCTGATAAAGCTAGAGGACTACTATCTGCTCCTATTCCTTCAAGTTGGATCACATGAGGTTGTAACAAGGAAACTACAAAATATTAAGAGTCTTTTTGTTGAAGGGATCAAGAGTAAAGGTAGGGTACTGGGGACTGGTACTCAGGTAGAAAGTAGAGGATGGGTCAGTTGAGTGACTGGCTAGGTTCAATGGGGGAAGGGAATCTTCTCTGGAGACATCCAAAATACACTTGGACCCTTTTCTCTGCAACTTAACATAAGGAATGTGCTTTAACATAAGGATTAGACTAGATGATCTCCAGGGGTCCTTTCCAACCCCTGTGATTCTGTGATTCAGTATTTAGGTTTTGCTTCTCAAAGCCATCTACAATACTTTTACTCGTAAGTTTTTACTGCTTTCATACACACAGAGAATCATCTTGTGGAAGAAAGATGGCTCCATGCCACTCCTTAAGAGTCACTTGCAAATTCCAAGCAGAAGATGTTCATTAATGGCAAGCAGTAATGTATCTTTGAAGTCATTTTGAGGAAATAAGATGAAATCATAATGGACCAAGTGTTAAAATTACATCATGCTTTTTATGAATCTGTATTTGTAACTGCTTTGTAGAGAAACAAAAGCTAAGCCCTGTTAGTTACTTCCTCATAATAGCTTTTGTCCCAATATCTGAAAAAATAATGAAGAAACATATTCAATATTCTGCTAGTCAGTGTTCAGTAGAAGCTTGTTTCTTAATGAAGTGTTTCAATCAGACTACTTTTTTCAATGGCTAAACTCTTACACACTGACAATCAGGCCATCTTCCCCACTATCATTCAACTTTCTTGAGAAATAATTGGCACATTTTGCTTTTTCCAATACCTTCAGAAGCTTGGAGAATGCCTTTCATGAACTGCCCGAGAGATCTTGCTCTGTCATTAGTCCTCTCAGCATCCTGCTTTGTTTGCTCACCATCTGCTGTCACCTTGGTAGCCTAGTGAACCAAATTCAGGAAAAGCTCAATTAGTAAACAGGACAAGGCTTCACTATGCAAAATCCCTACTGGTTGAATTTACATACAAAACTTTCCTCAGGCTAAAGGCAATGGATTATTGATCAGATGCATGGGAAATGACATGTTCAGTACAATTCCACAAATAGTTTTACCTTTTCTTCTTCATGGAAATTGGAAGGCTTTACTTCAGGTTCTTAGAGATTTTAGTTATGTGCCACAGCACACAAAGAGACAAGGGATGAAAATTTTCACTAGATATGCTCAAAAAAACATTGTTCAGAAGCTTTTAATAGAGTCTTCAGGGGATACTTTCCATAGTTTCACGGTTATGAACTTTACCATTGACAATGTGCAGCAGATATCTTGACCTCTTTCTTTCTTACCTTGAAGAGCTGTCATATAGACTATGCCAACAAGCAAGGAGAATTCAAAATCCATACATTACTTAAACTAAGAAAAAGAGGAAAAGAAATGAAATAGAGTTGTTCAGCTCCAATGTTTGAAGCTGTTGTCTTATAACTTATAGTGTTGCTAACATTTAAGCTTTGTGCAATTAAAGACTATAATTTTATTGAATCGTAACAGCAGCATGAAGCAGTATGAAGACAGGCAACTGCTGCATACCTGAAAAACATGTTGAGGAAAGGAATTATGTGAATGCTTTCTACTTAGTTCTTCAAGATCTGTATTTGCAAAATTGACCCATTTTTATTACATGTGAGCTATTTCAGGCAACAGAGCTTTGTTGAGATGTATTGTGAAACAAAACAAAACAAGACAAAATAAAATAAAACAACAAAACACCTCCTTCTCTCTCCTCTTTAACCAGTGGTTGGGTTGTGACTGTCCAAATTGCACTCCCAAGATAGAACTAGAAGCAAAGCATTATGGCCTTTCAGGTCCATGGGAAATGGCAAGGAGGCCAATAACTCCAAGCAAACTGACTTGAGCTGTAAAGAACATTTTCTAGGTTACAAAAAACAAAATAAAATAAAAATATTCATACATAATTATATATATGTATCAATAATGATCAAAGAGACATAGTATCACTTTAAGACATTTATTTTCGCTTGATTAGCTTTTACATGAAAGCCTTCAAGCTATGTCAGGACAGCTGGGTTTCTCCAGTGAAATTCTTGTCATTATCATATTACTTACCATTTTGGTTTACTTCGGAGTTGTTACTGTGCAAGTAATTTATATGGAAACAATTAAACAGATGACACCAGAAGAATTAGGAACCCATATAAGAGTGGGGGAGTTAGTTTTATTTTTGTCCTAGATTTTTCATATTTATGCAGCTTTAATCATGTTAATGCTTACTTCCTCTAAGATTTACAAAATCTTTTACCTACCTGTATGTGGAGTTAAAATATTGTTATAGTGAGTTGTAAAAGGCGACAGACAGAAAAAAGGCAGAAATACAGAACAGCCTTGAGGTACCACTTCTCTAGCCTAGCTTTCTATTTTCAATGTAATTTCATTCCTCATGTAATTGATAACAGTTTTATTATATAGTGTCTTATCCTTCCCAATCTGGCGTTTATTCTTTGCCTTGTATTTTTATTTTTTATTTTTTAGAATTTTCACATTCACATTCATTATATTATACATTTCTACATCCTTTATTACAAATGGTGATCAAAAACTTGCGTAGACTTCTCTTATTTTTTATTAACTTTTGCATTCATGTTAATTCCAATTGGCCACTTTAAGCTCTCTATTTATGACTGAGTGGCATGTACTAAATTTTCATGCATATTAACCTGTCATCAAACAGTTTCCATTTTCACTCTGTAACAGTTCTCTTTGGTACTTAAATCTCATCCAATCCACTCCATGCTTTCTATATTTTGCCATAATTGCTTTGCTGAAAAATGAACTTTCACTTCATTTTCTGGTCTAGCTTTAACTCCATAAACCAAATTAAATCACAAACATCTTTTACACTGCACCTAGCCATTGCATGGCTAATTGAATCTTTCCATTTATTAATAAAATCCTACTCATTTGCTATATATTCAGTTTACAACTGTTCATAATTTCCATAAAGTCAGACTTCAGCTGCTGCTAATGTTTAAGTTTAAAGAAGCAACAGTCTCTTTCTGGGAGAAGAATAAGAGTCCAGCAGACTTGGCCCAGAACAAGGGTTTGGAATGAATCTATCTGGACACAAATGAGATCTCTTTGCATAAAGGAGATCTCCACAACAGAAATCTGATAAAGCAAGAATTTGAGACCAGTAAAGCCTGCATGAGTGACATTCACTGCTTGTATTTAATGATACAGGTTCTATAGGATGCCCTGATCTAACGTGAAGACTATACTAATATTAGCAGCTACACACCAAACCATGAGGAACTCCTCAAGATGGCATTGGGAGAAGCCCAACATGCATTTCTGTGGCTAGTGAGCTGCAGACAACGGAGAGAAGGCAAACTCAGATGCCACTGTAGAAATGGAAGCTCTTGGCTCACCATCTATATGCTTCCAATTGTTGCAATCTAGGTTGCCTCTACTACTACTTCCACAATTTTCTGAACTTGACAAATTTAATGGCAAGGGAGAAATGAAGAAGTTTACAAAATCAAAATAAGTCATTCTTCAATTAAAAAGATCTCTGAAGGTACTCTGAAGGTATGAAATTAGAAAGGGGGAGGTGTTTCTAATTAAAAATAGAGAAATGAAAGATCTATCTTAGGTAACAGATGTAGGAATCAGTATGCAAGTACATAACAATGTAACCAGTGCAAGAGAAAGAGATGAGGATCTTGTGTATGTCTTATAATGAAGATGTGGTACAGTTTGTCACTGAAAAAAATTAAAATTAAAAAAAAAAAAAAAAAAAAAAAAAAAAGAGAGCTGCATTGACAGATGACTGGTTGAAAAGTTTTTTGTACTGAGTAAATAGTAAATACTGTTTCTACATTTTACCTTAAAAATGTTAGCAATTTTTGCTCACATGGGAATTCCCCACGAATTCCCCAACAATCCTCATCCTTATCACTACTGCTTTCACTTTGACAAGCCTGAAAATCAGATATGAGCAGAAAGTTTGCTACCTATGGTTGCACTGTGTGCATTAATTACATTTTATGTCGTTTTATGCTATGTCTTTGTTTAGGAATGAGACTTCAATATTCTATTCGTCTTTCTGAAACATTAATCCTATTTACAAACATAGAAATAGAAGGGTAGGACTTAGCACAATTTGATAGTCCCCAGATAAAAAACTAAAGTTCTATTCAGTTAACATTTCTCTACAAGCTAAACTAGAGATCATAAGGCAACTTACTCACTGTACAAAGGAAAACAGCAGAAAGGAAAATGGTTATAACCTGGCTAATTTCCTAAGATCACATTTTCAACAGTTTTCCTTTCAAGACTGGTTCACAAAAATTTAGAATTTGCAGCATATCTTAGGTAATTTCCAGGAGGGATTGAAATATACATAAGCTTGGTGGCATGGACAGAGAGCGTGGAGGGAAGTAGTTGGAAAAGGCTATTCAAAAGGGCAACTGTGCAAAAGAAAAAAGTTTGAGAAATCTTAATAGAAATATACTTTTCTATGCTTGTAGGAGTCCCGTGAGTTAAAAACAAAATCAAAAACAACAACAACAAAAACCCCACACAACCTCTAGACTTAAAGCTATAGCAGTTATTTCTGGCAGAAAAAAAAAAAACAACAAAAAACCATCAAGCAGAAGTGAAAAAAGAAACTTTCCATAAACTCATATGCATTCACATTTAAATATATGCATGTGTATATGTGGAAATGTGTACATACACAAACAAATGAGCATATATATGCATACATTAGCTATAGGTACTTTCTTATCCATCCAAGTTTTCACAGATATTTTCAAAATTGAATATATCACACCATTTGCACATGAATTAAACCATTTGCTTTGGTTTTACAGAATTTTGGTTCTGTAAGTATGCCAAAACTAAATGGGGTTTAGCAAAACTCTCTCAGGAGTATATATCAACCTCACAGCAATGAATATTTTGCTTATGTTGCTATTTCAATGCCAGGGTGCACCTAATCATTACCTAGTCATCACATTAATGAGATAACTGTGTTTTTATTGTTTGTTTCATTTTCCTATTTTTTATCCACTATCTCGAACAATTTATATTATTTTCTCATTGACAAAAAAAATGTTTCAATATTTCAATATAAAGAGTAAATAGCACATTAACTGAAATCCAAAATACTCTCAGTTTTCTCATAAATTAAAAATAGAATGTGTATGTTTAAATAAATACACACACCCTCCGCAATATTCTTCTCCTTTGACTTCTCCTGTCCCCATTTCAATTACTCATTCACAAACTCTTAATGAGAACAAGTTATTTGCTAAATGAGGAATTTCACTATCTTGCAACAGAAGTTGTTAAAAAGAAATGAATCAGACAAGGCTACCATCACCTCTACAGCTCCCAGAAAACAAACAAACAAATAAACAAACAAATTAGCCAATGACAACATATGAATGGAAAATAATACTATAAAATAATACTAAAATAAATCCTATAATGGGCTTGAAATGGCTGGACAATAAGTACATTTGAGTGAAACCAGGCTACTTGCATTGCGACAATCTTACAAGGGAAACAGACTAAGAACTATCTTGAGATAGTCAGACTCAGATTTAAAAGAGGGTATTATGAGATGGTGTTGTTAATGCAGAAATGAGATAGCCTCACCAGAGATCACACTAAAGTTCAGAAGGGAACCAGGCAACCCAGCTTCCAAAAGCCCCAGCTAATCAAAGACTCCAGCCATGTGAGAAACTACGTGGTAGGCACTCTAGAGTTTGAAATATAACCTGCAGTTGATATCAAGACCTCTATTTCCTTTGACCTCAGATTTTCCAAGTAGGCTCATACTTGGAAGCTCTTTATTAGTTCTGTCTTGCATTATAAAGCTTTACAGGAAATATATCTCAGTGAGTTGGCTCACAAAAAGGTGTTTTTAGAGAAGCTGCTGCCATTTCAAATATTGAGACTGAGAAGCATCTTATAATTCATCTATTCATACATGTTTAATTCATATTCTGTCATTATGCAACTTCAACCAAACCCATAGACCCCAATGTGATCATAGACTTACTCTTGTCAGTAGTTCATCCATTTCTGTCACCAGTGTATCCAGATTTTCCTGAGCTAACTGAAGAAGTCTCTCTGGTGCTCGCTGAGGTGAAAGTAAATGCTGTTGGAAAAGGACAGGAAGGAAAAGTCTGCATTTTATGGTTCTCCACGCTTCCAAATATTGTACAGAAAAAAATAAGCAGCATTTCCTTTTTGTTACATGATGCAACTCCCTTTTGTCTTTTACCCTTTTTGTCACATCCATCCATTGAGTTTTCCTCAGAAATCTTGACAGCTTGGCATACTTTAGTGAAATATCTGTAAGCATGGTAGGCAACATAGCTTGTACACGATGCATAGCTGCCCTCTGGACAACAAGCATGAACACTATTTTATTTATATAAAGTATTGCTTCTTCTGCACCTGCAGTATAATGCTTGCATATATGTAAACAAACTACTGCTTACATATTTACAAACTTACTATATTTATAAACTTATATATTAAAAAAAGTCAAAATAAATAACTTTAATAACTACTTACCAACTAAAGGAAGTTTGAAGACTTATAGCTGCATTTTTTGCACAGATGTATGTACACTTGTACTGGAGCATCATTATTTGTGTATATGAATACAAAGCCTTTGCACATATGTGCATACATACCTTTAATTCCTGCGTTGTGTTTTCAAAACTGTACAACAATTTATATGGAGCAGGCAGTGGACCAGTCAGGTTAACGCTCATGATCATCTGGTTTAGTCGATCAAGGTCATTGAGAAGGAGTCCTGTACAATCATCATCACAAGCTGGGAGAAGAACAGAAAAATTTCATTTCTGATAAATGTTTAAGGCTCATATTAAGGCAAATATGTCTGAGCAAGAAATATTTTACGGCACACATTCTTTGAAAATTAATGCTCGTTTCAGATAATTTACTCCAAAAGCACAATGTGATAAAAAATGGAGACAGCAGCTGGGGAACAGGAAAGATTTCATTGCTTGGAAGTTAGTAATACGACAATATAATATAAAATAGAGGGCAAAATTGGTAGGTTTACCTCATAAAAAGAGGAAAAATTAATGTTGTCCGTTACAGACTAGACTACATAAAATTCTAACTTAGACAAGCAATTTGGAGAAAGTCTGAGAAAAGTGGACAGGTAATTTGGAAAATCTAAGGAGCAGTCATGGATTTGAACATAAGATAAACAACAAAAATCTTACACTTCACACATTTTATAGTCAATAACAGCATGGCCAATCATGTTTAAATTGTAATGCAAACAGTAAAGAGAGTCCGGGAAAAGATATTGCCAGTTTTTTTTTAAGAAATGCTTTTGCCTATCTCCTGAGACTAATCAGCTTAGAAGTTTTTCATGTATGGTTTCTTTTTTTGCTTGCAAATACTCTTTAACATGAAAAATACCAGAGGAGGCTGCATGTAACAAAAGTAGATTGCATTTCCATCTCCTCTTTGCCTTCTATTAACTATCACAAGACAATCTCATCACTAAAAACTCGTACTATGGATGCTGCAGAGAGGAAAATTCCTCATCCAGTCCAAAGGAGTTGTGGGAATACCTTTCTGTTTCCAGACATAAAGGTGCTGCATATGGCTGACAAAGTAAAGCAACATCTCAGAACATGGAACAAATTGTGAAGCAATGAATGTATTCTCCTAGATAGTCCACTGACTGAAAAACAGTGAGAAATACGTATGTGTTTGAAGAAAAAGATAAGTAGTTTTCAACAAGGAATTTTGGCTTTTTTTCTGAAATCTCTTGTTCACACAGACACAGTTTTTAAGGTTTTCAGCCACAGCAATCTTAAATGCATTTCTTATTAGGTAGAATGACTCCCCAATACAGTGAGACCTTGAGTCAAATACAGAAAAAGTAAATGTCATGAATACTAGTTTAATACACTATGAAGGTTGTGATGACTGAAAAGGAGACAAGATAGATACTGCATTAATGCAGTAAGAAGTGGATGCAGAAAACTATATAATGTTATTTTAAGATTTTCTTTTGCACTTTCATTGTTTCCATTTCAGATTCCTTCCTCCTATATCTCTGTATTTTGTTACACAAACTGAACTGGAAATTTTCTGTAGTCATTAAATGTGTTCATGATACATTCTGATTCATTCTTAACAGGAAATACATAAATAAATAACATTAATACCACTCTAGCTCTTGTCATCTGTATGTTTGCTTTCAAAAATTAGGGAGAATTTATGCAAGTTTTACAGAAAATTGAATGCTATATATAACAAACACCTGTTCTGTAGCTGGTCAAGAATGCAATCACTTTGCATGATGCAAAAAAGTAATCCTGGACCTAAAAAGAGTTTTTTTGTTTGTTTTTTTTTAATTATTCTGATACATACTATTTCACTCATAAAACAAGACAGATCTATTAGCCCTCAAAATTATCACAGTGATTGGTAATAAAACACTAAAAATTTGTTATATGTTGACAACAAACTTAATTCACATCAATAATGACAATAAAGAAGAACATCTTCTGAAGACATGAAGTATTCTCAATGAGTTAAAAATTGGCACTCTGTGGTGAACATTCAATGTAAATTAACCAATTGAAAAGATGAAGTATGTCATGTGATGACCACAGTCGAATAGATGAGACAGAACTAAGCTACTCCAGTATGCAGCCTGCAAGGCAATAGATCTAAGGCAATATTTCAAGAGCATGATTATATTTTATGAGACAAAATTTTTTCGTGTCTTTATCTATAAAACTGTCAAGATGAATTTGTGTCTAATATAAATAAATGCAGCACTAAATTCAGATCATTACAACGCTGCAAGCATGTGAGAAGCAAATCATGCAGTCAATAATACAATACTGCAGTGAGCAGCTAATGGAAATTACTTTTCTCTAGTTTTACCATATTTCCTCATGCACAAGAAGCCCTGTAAATGATTTTGACTTACCTCTGCGAGGAGTATCTCTAACATTTGCATGCAAACAAATTTTATTTGAAGAAATAATTGATCAAGAAATAAGACACTACAAATGAATGCATATATAGCCACTTATTCCATCTTACAAAGAGAAAATAACATACATTAAAGGAAATGACAGAGCAACAGTACGTTTCTCCACCTGGGCAATTATCCTTACAGAATTTTTCTTTAATACATTTATTGTTTTTAAAATGCATAAGATGCAAAGTGCATCTGTGCTATGACTAGGTAACATCTGATACAAGGGAAACCATGAAATCTCTGATAGTAGTCTTAATTTATGACAGCCTCTAACTCTTAAGTTCTACTATTTCCTGTGGAACCAATAAAAACTGCTGATTTTTCACTAGCCTTACCTAACTTTTGGCCATTACCCTATTTTTCCCATTTTGGCATTGATTTAAAGCCAAAAAACCTTCTTTCCACTCCTCATTGTGTACTCATTTTGTCTGGGATGGAGATTATTTTCTTCATGGTGTTTCATATGGTGGTGAGTTTTGGATTTGTGACCACAACAACATTGATAATACACCCATGTTTTAATTCTTGCTGAGCAGTGCTTGGACAGAACAAAGGCCTTCCCTGTTTCTTCCACTGTCTCACAGTGAGGAAACTGGTGGTCAGCAATAGAAGAGCTGTATACTCCCTACCAGACGACATTTTGCTCAGCAATAACATGTGGGGGAAAGAAGGAGAAGGAGGTTGATCTTTGGAGTTATGGTAGCTGTCTTTCCAAGCAACTTTTAAGCTTGATGGAGTCCTGCTCTCCTGGGGATGGCTGAACAACTGCCTGTCAAAGGGAAGCAATGAGTTATTTTGCTCTGCTTGCATACACAGCATTGTTTGAGGTACTAACATGTCCCAGTCCACACATTTTCTTGCTTTTACCTATCCAATTCTATTCCCCATTACACTGTGTGGGAGCAGGTGAGCTGCTGAGTAAAGCTTCAGTGCCAACAGCAGTTAACACAACAACAGCCTCCCTAAACACAGCCCTGGTAGACTGCTAAAAGCTTAAGGTATGGTATAAGGTATAAAAGGTATGGTATAAATGTAAATATATATATATATATATATATATATATATACATATATATATACATATACATATACATATAATGGTATAAAAGTATAAGGTTAAAATGCTGCTGGTTTCAGGGGGTTTGTGTGAGTGATGTATCTCCAAAATTTAAGTAAAATCAGTATCTAAAAGTAATGGCTCAGGTTTTTTTACTTTTGTTGTTTATAAAACCCCATTTACTGGTTTTGATACATATTGTACTTGTTAGGTTATATAGTGCTTGAGAAGGGCAAAAGACACTGGGATATGAGTATAAACTCAACAGGAGTTCACACATCATAAAACCAAAGCAAAACAGAGAGAACCACTGACAAATTGTCAACTTCTGTGCCAAGTAGGAAGTGCTGGTCCCATATTGAGCTCATGCAGACAGAGGAACAGCTGGCCAGTGAAATGAAAAGCTTAATTCTTACCTCTGTGTAATAAGGGCTCACACATTCTGTTAAACTCACAACATAGCAGAAGCTATGCCAGTACTTCACAGACTTGATGTTACATGCTATCATTTTCAGATCAGCCTCTGAAGGCTTGCAAGAATTTTCTAGCTCCTGCTGAATCGAGGACTGTGTGGGAGCTAGATGATGTTTGTTTTCACAGATTTTTCAAGATCTGCCTCTGGAAAGAGACAGCATCTCTGCCTAATTCTGAATTTGAGAGGGCTATGATCATGGAGCTACTGCCCATTATAGAGGGAAAATCTTGATTCTGCAAGGAGTAGAACGGTAAGTTCCCTGAGGCAAGTGGGAAAAACTCCCCCTCCTTGCAAACAGCAGTCAACTTGAAGTACTATATTTAAGTGTCCAAGACTGGGCAATAAGAGAATCCCACCCATCTTTGTCTGACTATGCAAATTCTTCATTTTACCTATAAAGAAGATTTAAATTTGTAAAGGTTTAAGCTTGTGGACTGTAGCAGAGCTGAATGTCCTTTTTTTTTTTTTTTCAAGACTGAATTTAAAAAAAAAATCCTAACAATAAAATATCTGTTATATCTCTATGTCACAACTGATTCCGTTTCATCTTTACTTTTGTACAGCAGAACCAAATTGACTGCTCTATACTGAGATTTTGCTTGACCCTAAGGAAAACCTATTACAAGAGTATACTTCTGAGGAAAGGTTTCTGTGGTTTGTGTTCCAAATACGCTCAAAATACTAAAGCCAAATTCTTTATAAGTCTCCATTGTAGTTATGACTGGTACTCAGAAATCATTCAGAAGGTGAGATCTGACTTGCCATATATTCAACAATAAAACATTGAAGTTCTCCCCAGGATTTATCCTTTTTTCTTTTTCCCCTGAACAGTAACAAGAACAGTCATTGTTCTGACAGCACTGCAATTTAAGGGTCTTCATTTTACGTGCTATAAACAACTGGAGTGTCACAGGGTATAACAAAAAACACACCAGAGAAGTACTAATATAAAAAAACGCTGCACAATTGCTACAGGCTCGAGATTCAACCTTCTTTTAAACTCCTTCTTTCATGGATAAGATCAAAGGTCTCTAGAAAGGGCGAAGAAGGAGCAACACGGATTTTGGCTTGTTTCCATAATGTTTGCATGCGTATGCAAAACACGGGTTAGTGATCTCAGCCTGCTTGACCATGCTAGTCATAGATGAACAGAGAAGTGACTGCTCCTACTCATCATACAACTCACCTGTGTTCTGGATTGGAACTATTGAGGTTTAGGAAGAAATTAAATGTCTTCAATACTATGCTGAGTATAGGTCAGTCAGCCATTGCCTCCTGTTTATAATTTTCATCAGAATTAACACTGAGGTGTTCAAATCATGCTCTTATTACAGTAAATATGACAGTGATGCATAAGGAGGTATCAATCATTTAGAGGACAATTGATTTGTACTTATAAATGAAATTCTAAATCTGTAAATGTCAGAGCAGATTTGCGAGAACTTCTGTCACGTTTAAAATTAAGCAAGGATGTTACCAGAATTACTAAAATTAGTTTGTAGTCACTACTAATTTTCCTACTGGCTACTGACTGTTTCAATACAGAAGTGAAAGCAAGCCTAAGAAGTAGATTAATTAAGATAAAAATTACAGAGAAATCCTCATCAAATTATTATGATTACATGATGATCAGTTACTTTAGCTGGGAACGAATCCAGTCATTAACAACAGCAATGCAAAAATGTACAATCTTTATGATACATTGTAGATCATTCAGACCTTTGCAAAACCTATTAAAAATCTACTTTTTGATATTTCTTTCTGTCTTCTAAATACACACAAGAGAAAATAATGTTCTGTTTTAAAAACATAATGGACTGTAAGTTCTCTCTGTGACATTTACCAATAATTATCTTTCTGCTGTTACTTAGCAGTAAATAAATTCTTTCACACAGGGGCTTTTAAAAATATATTCTCTTTCTATTCTACCTGCAGTTTTCTAAAATACAACTGTTACAACACAACACTGAAACATGTCATGCAAAAAGCAACTGAAAAATGGCAAGTTAGAAAACAGTAAGACTGTGATAAAAGAGATTTTAAGCTATATGAAAAATAGATCAGTTTAGTCAGTATGAAGGTGCCTGCTGAACTTTTTCTTTTTAATTGTAATTTTTTACTCTAAAACCTTTGGAATACTTACAATAAGGGATATATTTAAATATTAAATAATATGATTTTATAGTATTGTGGGTTAATTCTCTCCCTGATTTGATTTAAATAAGTATTTTTCAGCTTTTAAGTCTTTTAGCTTTCTGTACAGTGTGATCTTTGACAGAATTTTCAAAAAATTTTTTATTTAAATGCTTGTTCTTTGCTAAATATTCAGATTTTTTTTCCTCTTTCCTAAACATAATATTGAATAGCTTAACCACAATTTTATATTACTTGCAACTAAATTCAAACATTGTATTTGCATGCATTTTCTTTCAACCAGACCATTTTACTCCCTAGCGAGGGTTTTTTCATACTTCTGACAGCTATAAAGCAATTGCACCAGTATTTAAAATTAAACTCTGCAAATGAACAAAACTAGATACGTTCTTGCAGCTCATTTGAAGTATGGAATGCAAACAGGATTCTACATACGGCATTAATTTTCTGTACATTAAAGTACTTAATCACTATTATTATTATCATTAAGGCTTCATTACACCTGAAGCTAGTCAGAAGAGTGTTTACCAAGTAGTTTGGAAGTGGTTGATACACAAAAGTAAAAACATACTGTACACAGTACCAAATTTTCAGCTGCATTAAAATCAGACTGGAACAGTGAAACATTATGGGAGTAACAGAAGAAATCCTTAGGACTTCTCTGAAAGATGTTTCTAATGTTTTTTTGACAGCAACTATTAAAGAACATCAGGGGCTGCAGCAATGTATCTCTAACAGTTAAATAAAACAGGGCTCTGTGGTCTGAAGCCTGTGACATGAGATAGTGTTAACCATGGACAGATTTCCACCAAGTTTGTCCTTGCCACAGTACCCTTGTCTAGCACAGTACATGTGCTCCAAAAGGGGTTTATCGATCAGTCTGTGCCAGGAGTATTGCCCTGCACTAGCAAAGGCAGATTTAGAGCTATATGAGGTCGAGGAATCTTTAAGCAAAATAAATTGCATGTAATGAGAGCAAACAATCATGAATTTTCTACTGAAATATTAAAGCAGCTTTTGCAATTCATGACAGTGATGTTATTGACATAGTGCCATAGTGACTGGTTTCTGTGTTACAGGGGAGAGTTAGGTGCCTCCTATCTACTTCTCTAGATGGCTCTTTTTTTTTTTTTTTTTTTTTTTTTTTTTTTGTGAACTACAGAAAGAAATCTCTTTATTTGCATCCCCCTTCTAGCAATGACATGAAATGTCTGTATACAAAGTCAAAGGATTGTTTTTTTTCAGATGAAAATCAATTATCTAGCAGAAACAAAAATGCTGCTCCAGGTACCGCAGATACATTTTAAACCAGCACACAATGCTGCAGTTAAATCAGAAATTAAAGAGGGCTACAACTTTCAAAGTAAAAAGGTGGAAAATTGGATTTGCCTGCGCACAGCTTTTCCTATCTATAGTGAGATTTTTAACCTTATTATCCACACAATGAAACGGTCTGATTAACAAACTGGAAAACTACAAATGAAGACTTTCACTTAACCTGTTTTATAAAAAGAAACTCTTCCATCCTGAATAAAACACATACTGAGGAGTGTCCATGGCTGAAAACAATGGCTAGTCCTGGAATTAGTCCTGAACAGATATTCAAGATGTAGAAAAAAATTATTTTCATTCAGGTATCACTCTGGAAAACAGTTATTTAAAAATTTTGTAACTGCAAGAGCTAGGAACTTAATTCATGATTATATTTGTCCTTGGCACACAAGCTGTGAGACGGATTTGAATGTGTAGCTACTTCTCTGAAAGTCTAGTCTATTTGCATTCATTTTGAAGTAATCTGAAACAGTGTTTAAGATAAAGAATATTAAGTCCTAAATTACATCAAACTGCAGGACACTAGAACTTTATTTTCCTTAAGTACAATCATATTTCCATTAATGAACTGACACCACATTATTAATAAAAATATTTATGTATATATTCCAAGCAATTTCTCTGCTCATTTTCAAAAAAGAATTGTACCTAAGACCAGGACCAATAATGTGAGAGCACTGAATTTAGTAGTCACACTTAGAAACCCAAGTCACTATCCAAGAACTGATCATAAAAATTAAGCTGAGTGAAACTGTGTTCTGCACTCTATAGCCCCACATGGCTATGTAAAGCCTTACTTGGCTAATAGCCTCCTGCTTATCCACTCAAAAAAGCCACACATCATTTTTGACAGATTTGATGTTTTTATTCATTTTTAGCACTTCCTGTGTTTCTCTATTTGCCAATTTGTCTTTAAATTGCTTACAGTTTGCCGGGGCTGCACTAATCGATTTTAATGTTAGAGAGCTGTAGACTTCTCAAACCTCTGGGTATTTAGACACAGACTGACCACATTCTGTGAAAAAGAGGCTGCATGTATGATATCTATTTGCCTTGATGTTACATGCACATCTCACAGGCCGAAACCCCTACAAAATAGAATAAGCTTTAATTTAAATCCTATTGTAGATAAAACTTAAGGTAAAAAATGTGAAAACTAGTTAATTATTCTGTTCCAATATATATTAAAGATGCATATAGTAAGTATAGCATACTGTGAGCTTACTGGATCTGTAGCTATATTCTATTTTAAAATGAAAAATGTTAGCCTTGAGGGGAAAAGAAAAAAGAAAGGATATCAAAATTAGTTTCTACTCAGGGTACGGGAGATGGGGAAGAGGAATGGAAAAGAAAATGCCTTATTTTTTGGTCAAGATTTATTATGCATTCTAGAAAAATTTTGCTGCCTGATTTTTATTATTATTTGATTGGACATAAGCATATAATATAACAGGAAAAGGTCTGTGTTCTCAAAAACAGCATTACTCAATTAATGGGAAAAAAATCCAAACAATAATAAAAGACAAACCAATCAGTATATATCAAAAGCAAAGGTAGGGCAAAAGATATCAGTACTGTAAGATGAAACCTGATGTTTTAGGCTAAATCAGGTATTATTTTCTTTTTTAGTAAAATATATTATTTGTTCCTGTATATCTCATGCTGCCACATTTGGTTCTCGTAAATAATATAAATGTTTATTGAATCAACATAACCAAGAAAACTTTGATAAAAACTTTCCTGTTTCTCTATGTGACTCGTGACACAAAGCACTGCAACTGCTGGTTAAACATTTAGGACAACACTAAAAAAATCACTAAGAGCAAATATTTTATCTTTCACAACACTGATGCCAACCCTTAGCAAAACTACAGACTTCAAAAGGCAAAAGAAAAACATCCTTCCAAGTTTTGCTGACAATTTTCAGTGAGCATTTTAAGAATTATTGAGAATTTCCCTAACATTTCAAGGCTTGTGAAAAAAAATAGACCAGAATGCTAAAGTAGTAAGAAACATGTCAAGCATTTTCAAAGGAAGCCACACAACTGACTGCTGCAATAGCAGGATTGAATTTCTGAAATATGGAAAACAATCGTGTATTCTCCAAAATTGTGTTAGTATACGTACAAATGCATTTCATGCCATCACGTGCATGTCGATGTTCACAGCCAGCACACTTCCACCCTGTGAATCCAGGCTTGCAAGTACACACTCCAGTGGCAGGGTCACAGGGGACAGGCATGGAACCATACTGATCACACTCACATTCCTGGCAGGATCCTCCTGGGGTTTGTGGATTTCCTGTGTAGCCAGGAGAACATCTAGACATTGCAAATAAAAAACAAATTTGGCCAACAGAGAAGCATAGTGTATTATAATGAATACTTAGCGAGACTGTAAACAAAAAGTATGGGAAAAACAATTCATGAACCATTAAAAAAAAATAAATCTGTGGCAATATATCACTCAGCATGCATTTGTAGGAGAAAATATTGCAGATGCCCCAATGCAACAATGATGGACATAATCTCATAACCAGGACATGGAGCAGTCTAGACAGAAAAAGTATGCAGAAGTGATTTCAGTTAAACTTCCATTATGCCATGACACAGAAGTTCCTACATTAGCTATGTATGTGCATTAGCTATGTATAATTTATAGATCTTTTTCTCCTTCCATTAACTGCTTGTATTTTGCATTAGAAGTGAAGTCACTTATTAAATGAGATACAGACAAATAAGGGTAGTTCTGGGGCCCATCCTGTTTAATATCTTTATTGATGATTTGGATGAGGGAATTGATTGAATCCTCAGTAATTTTGCAGACAACACCAAGTTGGGAGAAAGTGCTGATCTGCCTGATGGAAGGAAAACCCTATAAACAGATCTGGACAGGCTCGATTGCTGGGCTGAGGCCAGTAGGATGAAGTTCAACAAGACCAAGTGCTGGATCCTGCGGTTTAGTCAAAACAACCCCATGCAACGCATGGCTTGGGGCAGAATGGCTGAAAAGCAGCATGGAGAAAAAGATCTGGGGGTGCTGGTTGTCATTTGGCTGAAGATGAGACAGTAGTTTGCCCAGGTTGCCAAGAAAGCCAATGGCATCTTGCCTTGTATCAGAAATAGCACGGTCAGCAGGACCAGGAAGGTGACTGTTGGCCTGTACTCAGCTCTGGTACAGCTGCACCTCAAGTGCTGTGTACAGTTTTTGGTCCCCTATTACAAGAGAGGAATCAAGGCCCTGGAGCATGTCCAGACAGGGACATTAAAGTTGGTAAGGGTTCTGGAGCACAAGCATTACACAGAGAGGCTGAGGGAATGGAGATTGTTTAGTTTGGAGAAGAGGAGGCTCAGGGGAAACCTTATGGCTCTCTACAACCATCTGGAAAAGAGGTTGTGACATAGTGCGGGTCATCCTCTTCTCTTGCAAAACTAGCGACAGAATGAGAGAACAACCTCTAGTTGCAACAAAGGAGGTTCAAATTGGATATTAGGAAAAATTTATCCCCAGAAAGAGTGAATAAGCATAGGAATGGACTGCTAAGGGAAGTGATGGAGTCACCGTTCTCGAGGTGTTTAAGGAATGGGTAGATGTAGTACTTGAGGACACAGTTAGTGGGCAATATTGCTGTTGGTGAACAGTTGGACTAGATGATCTTAGAGGTATTTTCCAATTCTAATGATTCTATAGTTCTGTGAGATCATAATCCTATAGTGTTGCTATGGATGAGACAATAGCTATCTTCTGGATTGCTAGTTTTCAGTTTTGCCATCAATATATTTACATATAAATGTTTTTTGCAGTTAGTGTCATGGGGACAATATAATCACTTGAATAAAGGATAAGGATGACATTAAGTCATGCTATTAAGCATTGCATGTAATTTTAGATAAAAGTAGTATATATACACATATGTATTTACTTCTGTGGTCCAGGGGAAAAAAACAAAGACTAAGACTATATCAATGGTATAAGTAACACAATTCACAGTATGTAGGAATGGTCTTTTGCAGCTGAGTTTGAATAATATTTAAAAAGCAAATAACTTATTTGAAAGTATGCATTTAAACATCAATAAACATACACTCATAGCACTGAAGGACATTGCTTTCCCTCACTCATGTGTTACTTGCCTCTTTTTTCATTCATCCTACCTTTCACAATACTGGCCTTCATATCCAGGTGGGCATGCAGTACACCGATAATCACTAGGTCCTTCCACAACACAAGAAGGGCTAAAACTAAAGCAAAAGCAAATGAAAAAGTAACTGTTTGTGCTTTGTTGCATCATATAGCTTGTGCTGTAGGAGGGTCAGTGGCAAGCTTTATGTTTCAATGCAAATGACAGCAGTTTCTTATGTGCTACCTGTGAGACATTCTTCTTTTTCAAGAATTCTGCAAACTTCTGGCAAAATTTAGACAGATGCCAGAAGGGCAGAATCAAAAAGATGGGAATCCAAAGAGGCATGTGAGTCAGCAATACCCATGTTGTAGGACTGCAAGGCTGAATGGTGCTGTCACTCACAGTGATCAAGAAAGCAAACTTAAGGAAAGGATGTGCAAGATGGAATTAAGAAACTGAGCCATCAGATATCTAGTCCTTCCAATCTTATTTAATGCTAGTTTGAATATAAGGAAGACAAAAGACTGCCTACAGTCTGAACAATCTAAAAACTATCTTCTTCATGATTAAGGAATGGTCATATTTTAATCAAAGATGACAGCAACTTATTTTTATTAAGTCATGATATATATATGAATAACTAGTGACATCAGTGTGTACCCATGGGAACTGTGTAAAGTAGGATGCTGCATTAACATTTGTGTATTAAGTACCTACACAGTTATAAAAACAGAAAAACAGTGCTGAGAGGTAAAAAGAAACAGAATATAAATACTGTGAAAATCACTCAACTATTTGAGGAAGTAGAGCCAGAAAAGCAGAGATTGCTAGTGGCAAACCTAGAGTTCCTTCTTGTACAGTACAGTCAGCATCCTATCATAACTTGCTTATACTGCATTAAATCAATAGTGCTCGAATGAGTAATAAAATTACACTCCTGCAAAAAATATAAACAAATTGATCTACTACTCGCACATTCATTATCCAACAAATTTTCAGCTCCATTACAATTGATCCACACTCCTATAAACAGTTCATTCTCTTTGCTTTATACAAAACTATAAAACAGTATTTAAAACTTAAAACTTCAATGGAATTCTGTAAAATTTCATAAATAAAAATAATTGCATCACACATTCACAAATATTATCATGTCAGCCACGGCATAATAAACAAATAAGACAGCTTATTAGCTATGTGCATTTCATGCAGATTATGATTAATCAGCTACCATGGAATACTTGCATTTAGTTATTTTAATTCTTTTTTTTCCCTTCACTAGTATTTTTCAGAGCTTTTACTGAGCTACACAAATAGTACAAATTTTATGCGTGATACTATGGTTTTCTGCCTAATAATATAGCTTTATGGAATAGATTTATCCCACCTAGTTAGGCATGGAATCTATGCCAACTCTTCAGGAATCATCTATCAACAGTGGAAACATGGAAATGTACAGACAGATTGACATATTCATTAAAATCTGTGGTGATCTCCATTTTTAACATGTGTGGGGTGTATATTTTTCTGATGCTTTCTGTTTCTGTTCATTGACTCTACATGTATTTAAATTGTTGATTTACAGCTACAGAAGCAGTAAGCCCCACCCTCCTGCCTACAGACATCTTAGCAAAGCAGTACAAAAATAAGGAGCTCTGTTTCTGGACATGCTCACATCTGTGTCCTCTTCAGACAACCACTACAAAACTGAATGACTATGATAGTAGCATAGCATGTTTCTACTAAGCTCATAAGTTTTATTCACTTATCTCCTACAACAACATTTAAACAAAAAAGGCCAGAAGATCACTTTTATACAATCGTGACCCTGACAACTTCTAGGCTCATGCAGACAGTATGGCTGCAAGAAGAACAGGTACTTTGTTTACCATCCTTCTCTCATCCTGAGGCAGCTCTGTAGTTTGCCTATTCACCCAAGGCACACACAGAAGTTAGTCTTACTCTCTGTGACTTGGATGCCTTTTGCTGACATCAGTAAGTAAAACAAATAACCAAGCTGTAACAGAAAACATGCTTGTGAAAAAAGAGACAACAACAACAACAAAAAAGAAAAGTCCATAGTCAAGACTATGCTCTAATTTTCTAAGATGAGGGGAACTTTCTTAATCCCTTTTTATAATTCTTTTGGTTGCTTTCTTTTTGGTTTTTACAAGGTTTGAAATTTTTCGGTTTGAAATTTTTCGTAAAAAGTACTTGCTTTGGAGAAAAGATCACAATGTGTTTAGCAATGGATGTTTGCAAAACAAATGCCCTGCTTCAAAAAAAAATTTAAAAAAAGAAAAAAGAAAACTTCAAACCATTTAAAAATGATAAAATGAAGACAGAGGGAAAAAAAAAAAAACCACAACACTTCAAAGATACACTGACTGAAATACTCCCAAAACATCCTAAAGGTCAATCAAAACACAGAAAAAAATGATTTTAAAGAACACTTGCAACCTTCCAATGGAACAATCATTAAACACAAACCTTTGCAGAGCAGAACTATGATACGATTCCAAATAATGCTAAGAGCTTTTCAGCAAAGCAGGAAACAAATCTCAAGTGCTAAAGCATCATCTATTAGGAACACATGCAGAAATATCATAGCCAAGCTCATTAGCATAAATCGACCAATAAAATTTATACTGCAATAACTATATTGCTTTTAAATTATTCTATCTTTCAAAAATCATCTAAAACTCATGTAACATTAAATAAGGAATCAATAAATTCCATAGTGGAGCAAGAAAAGCACTGTAATACATTTATAACCCACATAAAATATGAGCATAGGGCTTTTTATAGCTCCTTTGTGGCCATATTGTACTTGAATTCTGATCTAGCTGAGAATACCTCTATAACACACATTCATTATCTGTTGAATATTGCATTTTCTACCACTTACTAATTTATTAATCAAAAATTAACAAGGGAGCAATTTCTGACATTTAAGGGAAGATCAATTAGCAGTGAGTAGATACAAAACATTTTAGTACGACTCTCTGTGATGCAGTCCTCCTGCAGCCATTTGAAAGAAGACACAGTGAGCCCTAAATGAAGTTATTGCTTACTGGAAAGGTAATTCTTTGTCATACATTTGCATGCTTACTTGTTACTGGAAATGGATAGGGGACAAGCACAAGGCTGGCAGTCCTCTGGAGATCCTCGGACAATGCCATAAAATCCCAGTGCACATCTCTCACAGTGCTGACCGGCAGTATTGTGCTGACAATTCTGCAGAGAAATGAGCCAGAATGAAAGCAGCATTTGATAATTACAAAAAAAGCAGACAACATTCTGCTCCCAATCTTAGGGATTCAAATGAATTGAGATTCAAAGTTATAATTTACTGTTATTTTATATATTGATATATTGATATATATTATAACTGTTATAGTTATATATATCACTCCTGATATAATTCACAGCGGGGCCACTTGCTTTGAACATCTATCAAACGTGTGCTGTGATACATATGGCCTTACAAGGTGAATGAATGGAGATCTGTAGCTGGCCAAATGTATCATAAGGAATCTTTTAACCCATTCATCCCTTTATGTTCTAGTCACTGAAGGAGGGAAAATGATCAATTAAAAGTCAATTTTCCTGTATCAGGTCGTGTGTGTTATTACATTTAAGAGCAACATTGTGTTTATTGAAAGACACATGCAACTTTGCAGATTATTAATCTGCAGGCAGTCAGGCTTTTACATAAGTAACAATTCAGAAGCAAGAAAGTACTGCATAATCTTAAATTAGACAAAAAGAAAACTTTCAAGATGAACAGTTCACTTTTTCCATTCAGTAAATTGGCAACAATTTAAGTAAAACTGGATTAAATTATCATCCTCTATTTTAATTTGGTTCATTTACACAAGATTAACCTATATTAAGTTCACAAATGTACCTGACAAACTGATGTTTCAGGGTCACACGTAGCACTGTGCCCATGACATTGACACACAACACAGGCACCTAGGGACTGACTAGTTATCCTTCCTCCATGTGAGACTGGAAGCCTGTAAAATCCTGGAGAGCACGACTGAAATAAAAAAAGATGCACAGGAAAACAGACCATTACAGAGTGAACGGAGTATAGGGAGCATTGCAAGCTTATCTTCCCAATCACCAGTTTTTACAAGATGTGAAAAGAACCTGACAGACTTCCACCTGTGTTACAAACAATATACAGCACTTTGCAGATAACAAGAGCCAGCCCTAATTGGAAACAGTGCTGAAAACTCCCTGGAGCACTCCACTGGCACCAGACTTTTCATATTACAGCTTGAGAGGCCTTTCATTCAAATGCCAAACACCTCACTGCTCTCACTGTGCATCAAGAAAACTTCCTTTCATTTCTTAAGAATAAGGTTTGTTTTTAATAAAAAATTTTTGCATGGACTGTGGAGAGAAAGCATGAGATTCCGTTTCCTTCACCCTTGGTGAGTTTTTCAGGTTTGACAAGCTAATATCTGCCTACATACTGCCTGATGGATAACAAGCAAAAACCAGATGACAATCAAAAAATGACTGCATGGCTGCATTATTTATAGCTATATAAGGTAAAGTCTATAAAAGTAGAGAATTTGAAATATTAAAGGTTTTCCACATCTTGAGACTATTAGCCCCATATCTTATTTATCTGTCAGAGTCTCTCCCACCCAAGTTTGGCAATAAAATTTTAGGAGTAACTCAAATATTGTTAGTGATGCTGACACACACAAAATCCAGCATTTGATCTTTATTTCAGGCTTATTATGCAAACGTATTAAAGTGTCTACATAACTCCCAGAAAGCATAAAATTGGAAACAAGTCCATTTTGATATTTTAGGCTATTAGGGTAAGTCACTCATCCCATGTATAAACCCCCAGTACCCTCTAGGATAGACCAATGTGGCTGTTTCCTACCACTGACCTCAATTTGTGCTTTTGGAACCTTCCCATACAGCAATACAGTGGATACAAAATAAAGAAAAGAGAATTTGGAGTAAGTAATGTTTTATTATCAAAATCTGGATTCTCCAATCAAGTCCTGCCTGACATACTCTGTTGTATTCATACAACTCCACTCTGACAGTTTTATAATCATTGCCAAAACATCCAGGAGTAAGTCATGAAAAAAGCATAAACACAATTATTTTCTTTTGATCACATGGAAAGCAAGTTAACTCACTTCTGCTTTTCTCCTTTATTTTGACTTAGACTACATTAAGATCCCTGAAGCATAGAAAGAGTCTATCTGCTTTTTCATGGTTTGCAAGGAATTCCAATTTAGATAAATAAACTCATATGAAAGTAATTTTGTTTCTTACTATAATTTATTAATTTTTTTTCTCTGTTCATCCCCAAAGAAGTCCTTGTCCAAATATAAAATATTACGTAGCACAGGTTTACAAGTTCAGTGACTTTAGGATTGGGGTAAAAATATATGGTACATTCTCAAAATAAAGTCTAACCTCTAGCTGTATTTTTTCTTCTGATAGGCAGCAGACATTCTTGTCATCTATTTTGATGCAAGCATCTCTGAGATGAAATGGAACATTTACAAAACATGAAGTAGTTGACTATATTTTTCATCGTTAGCTTGGAAGTTTTTTAGAAGTAGCCACAAGGAAAACTCTTACCACTGTTTTTTCAGCCTGCTTCTGAATTAAGAGAAAAACAATATAGGAAATTTCTATTTTTTTTCACTTTCTAGTAAAAAACATTCTGCACTTAGTCCTCACAATGGAATTGCAGGATAAACCATGAAATAGATACATGCACTCTTTCAGCATTTGCTTAAAAAATGCCTCGTTATCAAATGCTTTTTCCATGTTGAAATTAAATAAATCTTTCAAAAACATACCATAAGCTTTACCAAGAACACTAAAAATAAACTAAGTTATGAGCATGTGAAGATTGCACAATTAGGCACAAAGTATGAAGGCTGCAACTGATATATTTATTCTAGCCCCTGGTGTGAATTGAAATAAAGTTCTAATTACATTATCATATGTTTTCCTGGGAAAACGTAGTCTATTTTAGTAGTTTGAAAAAAAAACAACCCAGACAACCAAAACCCAACAACAAAACCAACAACAAAAGAAGAAGTCACTTCAACTGTACTTTAGAGCAAATTTAGTTGAATTTCTTGTGCGTGTGCATTTACATGCATTCAGGTGTGTGGACATAGAGACTTCTTGCATTTTGTGCTTCTCCACAGATGCTATGAATCATGGCCTTGATAAAATGATGCCTATAGTTCCGTCTATAGACAGACATGGTATTATAGATGTATTGCATATAATGGCCTCACTAAAACACAACAACATAGTACAATGTGTTGTACATAAATACAATAGTATTAAGCTCTCATTTGCCCAAAACAACTTGGTCAGCCTCATTCACACACTGTGACTCGTATTTACTTAATAGGAAAAAAAAGGGCTAAAATTCCTTGTAAGATAGATATTGAGAACATCTATCTCAGTTAACTGAATCCACACAATAATTGCTAGTCACACCTTACTAAGAATTGGAACATAGAGGGCAGAAATACTTCTACTGAAAGTAAAATTATTAATGTACCTCACAAGACAAACCAGAGTAACCCAGTGGGCAGTCACATTGCTCAATCAAGTTAGCCTGAGGAGTCATTCCAGAAACAATGCCACCTTCAGCAACTTCCATTGAGATCTCAGAAATCCTGAAAGAAAAAGGGAGCAACCATCTTCAGTAAGAGTAGTGAACCACTAACTCAAAACCAGTTCATCTTGTACGGTGGAATATTGCCTTACTTGGCTTTCTGTAGGCTTTCTGGCTTATAGGAGATAAAAGAGCACATTTTTGCTATTCCTAATGCTTTTTTTTCCCTTCATCTCTTTTTAGTGAAACTATTAACAATAGCTCAAATCTGATTTTTCATTCAGAGGGACTCATTAAGAAATCGAAGACACACATTAAATGCAGTTCCAATTCATGACAGGTACAGCAATAAAATTGTTCACTAAATGAGCTTTTAATGAGGCAACTATTAAAATAAAATAAAATATATATCCAGCAAATAAAGCAGCCTAATAAGCTGCTAAACAGACTTTGAAGCACAGGTTACATTTGCTTTTTTTTTTTTTTTTTTTCCCTTTCAGGAATTTTAAGATCTGTAGTCAGATAACTTTTTTTTTTTTTTAATCTGTAGGATCATCTAGATAATTGAAATCTAGCAAACAATTTAAAGCAAACAAACAAACAAAAAATCCCACTACAGAACCATCCAGTATTATCAAAAAGGGTATGTTTCATGGTAGTAACTTTTGAAATACTTGTTTGTGTTAATAATATCCTTGCCTCCCGATAACTCTGACCTCTCCACTACTGAAAATCATTGATAAATAAGAAGGGCAGAATGGGGGACTCCAACATAATGTCCACATAAGAGAAAATGTCAAAAAGCTTGTGAATAATTAGCTGAATAATTATAGATAGTGCTGCTACAGCCTATATATGTGCCTGTGCATAGGTTTAATGTAGAGAAAGTCAAAGAAATGCTCATCTCTTGTTCACATTCACAGTCAACTCATTTACTCCCAAACACTGATTACTGAGTTGCACTGGCACTTTGGCCCATAGGAACCACTGCCAACGTGACTATGGGAAAAGTAAAAGCTCACTGTTGAAATAAACAAGACTTTTGAGACTGAACTTAGTTGAATAGAGATGTACCTTTTAATATCCTGTGTGAATGCAAAATCTCCAAATCATCTAGAAACTTTAACCCTGGGCTCTCTTCTTACTACTTGAAGAAATGAGTTCAGTAGAGCAAAGAAATTGAAAGAACAAATAAATGAAGCCAGATCAAAAAAGAAGACTGAAGAGGGCAAAAGCATTTAGACATAAGGAATAACTTTTTCTCTCAGAGAATGGTCAGGCACTGGAATGGCTGCCCAGGGAGGTGGTGGAGTCGCCGTCCCTGGCAGTGTTCAAGAGGCGTCTGGATGACGTGCTGCGTGATATGGTTTAGTGCTTGTAGTGGCAATGGTGATGAGGAGATGGTTGGACTAGATGATCTCATAGGTCATTTCCAACCTTGTGATTCTATGATTTAGATCTGATGTGTCAATACAAACTTACATTGAGATCTCTGTACATTAAATGGAAAAACTAAATGAAATTTGCCTCCCCATCATCTTCAAGGCTGAGGCAATGGTCGGTGTGCTGCAAAAAACTATTTTTGGTCAGAAAGTTGAGTTTACATAATAATATGCTCACAAAGTTACATGTTGTTTCTGTGAAAATGTTTCTTAAGGACTGTCAGGCTTGGCTGGCTCTTGGAACATGGCTAATAGGAAGCAGACTAGCTGCTACCTGATCAGTGTTGGGGATATTGAAATAATTCAAAACAGTCAAATTGAAAGTGTATTTCCAATTGAAACTAATTTATTATCACAGCCTGGTTGCCTGAAAAGCAAAATCTAATGAAAGAAATGTTTCAACATACAGTACTGAATGTGAAAATGAGGACAACAAAATGAACACTACGGGAGAAAAATTGTGGCTTTATATTCTGAACAGAAATCTCTAAATCACTAGTAATGCTGCAGCTCTGAAGCAAAAGTAAAACAAACAAACAAAAAACAGCAAAAAAACCCAACCAAGCCTGAAACATTAGCATTGCTGCTATGCAATAGAACTAATACATTGCCAATACTGGGACTAAGCTATTTTTCTTTTCTCAGCTTCTGATACTAATTTGAATTTTAAATGCTTTTCCTATAGCTTATCATTTATATACATCTTTTTAATCTGAAACTGAAATAAAAGAACATCACATATGGTATGTTCTCAATCCCATCCTCATTTTCTTTACCTTATACTTTTCTATTATGCACAGTCAGAAAGAGAAGTTTTACCAGTTTAGAACCTTATTTAGAAAGTATAAGACACTATTTAAACATTTGTTTAAAGTAGAGCACATACCTAAATACTGTCCTCTAGAGGGTCTCACAGCCTGCTTTTAATATAAGCTTTCAATTCTTACTCAAGTTAATATCCCACTAGTTTCTATGAACATTCTGAGGAATGTACTTTGTGATCTTAAGCAAAACTGCCTTAAAAATCAGTCAAGGTACTGCCTTGAAAAAGAATTATCATATACTCCTGATGATTATTTTCTGCTTAAAGACTCAAATGTCATGGGATGAGCGTTACTTACATAAATATATGTAGATCATAAAAATCTGTTGCAATATAACCACCTACAAAATCCAGACTGATGTTCTGTTACAGGTTTTGACTTCAGATGGAGAGTTGTCAGAGAAAACAACTGAACTATTCACTAAGTCCTGCTATCATATAAAATGTTACACTGTGAAATGTGATGCTATAAAAATCAATTTTGGTTTGGTAAGTGCCACTCTGCAAACCTGCCCTGAAACAGAAGTCATTCTCTGTTCTGTTACATGCCTCATTAACTAGGTAACCCTGATGAAATAATGGTATACTACAATGCAAGTGTAGCTCAGGTATGATTATCTCATGAATCTCAGAACAAAATCATTAAGCTGGAAGTCCATTTGAATAACTTTTATTGTAATCCTCGAACTCAGATAGCATTCAGATTTTTCTTCCTCAGCTGACCTAGAATCTGCAGTTCCTGCAGGGAAGGGTGAGCTAAAGCAGATACAATACATGGAGAATACTCCTCAAATTTTTCCATGTTATATTGGAGTTACATACCTCTTTTCCATAGGTATTCCTTATAGTTGTAATACAGCATTCTAAACAGATTATGCCAAAAACAAATGAAATCTCAGTGTAAAACTTTTATGGCATCTGTTATTAATACTTAGCATCTGCCTAGTGCAAGTCAGACTCAAATTCAATTTCTATGTTTCCTGTTAGTACTGCAAAGATGCATTATACCTGTTCCTACTATTCACTCTCATGAGCTCCAAAGGCAATGTTCTTATAGACAAATTTGTAACCTAACAATCTAGAAATAATTTTAGCCTATCACTTCTATGACTTCTATCATAGTAAGGACTTCTGGAGATCTCTCGGGTTTATCTCCAATTATCTCTGCTTCCTTGCTATTACATTTTTTGCTTATATAACAATTTCCTCATCAAAAAATTCAAGAATAGTCTACACAGTCTATTGCAGAACTTCTTTACCCCCAGGAAATTTTTTCATATGTCCAATGCAAATCTTTCATTATGAAGATGAAGCTCATTTCTTTTTTAAATGTGAACACCTTGAAAACAGAGAATTAATTCTTTTCTTTCTTTTTGTGGCAACATTTTACGCATCTTAAGAAAATGTCTAACTTCTGCACAAGTTTGGTTCTTTACATCTTCCATCACAGACCACGTTTTGTGATCTCTGATGTTGTTCACTCTTCTCAGAATGCTTTAATCATTATTTCTTGAATCAGAGTATCCCAAACTGGATGCTTTGACTTTACTGGTGTTGGTTTTAATTAAAAGATTAATTCTTTGTACTTCGCAGAATGTTCCTGCTTATATTTCAGGTACAATATTTACATTTTTAGACAATACCATTACTGAATCACATTCATCTGGCAGTATGTTGTAAACAACAGATCTCTTTTCGAAAAATAGGTAACTAAGAAGTTGTTCCTTGTTTATCTATTTTGTTTAACTGACTACTTCTTTCAAAGCTTAAAATCTTATGCTTGACCTTTAGATTGCAGCCCAATTTTGGTACAGTGCCTATTATTTTGCCATCCAATATATTTATACTGCTTTCTAATTTCTTGCCCACTTCAAATTTAGTAGGCATTCTCTTTAATCATCACACTTATTAATGAATAAGTAAAAAAGAAAATATTGAATATAATATAGTGGATTAAGTTCCATTTTGTTAAAGGAACACACTGTTCCTTTTTACTGTTTAAGTTAGTTTCAACTTGCAAGAGAAAATTCTTTCATTTATGTTTAATTACAACAGCATATTTCCAAAAAGAAGATATTTATTCAAAAATACTTCTGGATTGTTTCAGGATGTGTATACTTACATGTGTTTTCCATTAAAGGGTCCAGAAAATACAGATTTTGTTTACTTATGATGATTTAAATTTTCTACCAAATAGATATTCATTTCCCTCAGTCTTTTGTTATGCTGAATACTAAATCCTTCCACTCTTCTCAGTAGCTGCTTATGATTTGAATAAAAATTCTGTTAGGAAGTTCTATCGCTTTATCTCTGACTACTACACTATTTCAGACCACTGTATGAAGCAGTTACCTGCTTTGCCTCATGATGTTGCCATGAGTAGCCTTAATAAGAATGTAATGCACATCATACAGCACATTCAGGAAGTCTTCCCGGGATACAACTCTACTCGGCCTTGAGTCATCTGCATAATGTTTCCATGTGAAATCTGCCTGAGATATGGTCTTGTTTACTGTTGGGTCATCCTGATATTCCCAGGGTACAATGTTTCTCACTCTTTGGCTATCACCATAATATTCCCATTCGTGCTGAAAAACAGTAAGAAAAAAAAACCAGATTATTAGGACTATTAAACAGTACCCAGTGCTTATGATAAGGTGAAAGAGCAGATAGGAACATTACCTCTGTCAGCTCTATCTCATGCCTTGTTAGCTGTCCAATCAGAGGGGCAGCCATGTGCCGGACAATAATTCTTGTATGAGTGGGAGGGCCACCTCTGATGATCACTTGGGGGTAGTAAGTAGTAAAACCTGTTTCTTCCCGTGCTTCAAAGTAGATTGCATATTTTAGTTTCCCTCCATATGCAGTCAGCTAACAAAGCAAAACACAAAGTACAAAAATAAATCTCATTTTTGGCTAAAAATAATTCTCAGGGCATACGTAGGAGCTAGATACATTCAGCACCTGTACACAACCTGATTAATGCATGTGTGATACAAAATAGCACTACATGCTTGCAGAATCATCTGGGGATAGGGGCTGCGCTTGAAAGGACTGATCAGTAATTTGTTATTCTACAGTGCTATTAAAAACAAACAAAAAAAAGTGCTTGTTCTTTCATTTTATTTGTCTTTGCATTCCCAATTATTTATGTCTAGAGCAAGGCACATGTAAACTCTCTTCAACCAAAGAGTACCAAAAATATAAAATAAATATCAGCACCATGGTGCATAATAATAAGCCTCCAATAGGAGGTTTATTTCATTCATTTTCTCCTGCATAACTTAAAAATACATGGCATTTTATAGAAGTGGCAAAATGGAGAAAAACAAAAAGTTGCAAGAAATATATTAGTTAATGAAGCTTACTTTACTTAAGTAAGGTTTTTATGAGAAAATTTGTCCAGTAGAAAACTCACACATGTTACTGACAGTAACTGTCTATTATAAAATAATGTTGATGTTACAGACTAATAGATTTCCATGATACTGGAGACAAGTTCTTTCCACAGTGTAATGACATGCCCAGAAGATGAGAAACAAATGTATTGTAAAATACAAATATAAAAAATAATTAAAAAAAAAAAAAAGCCACTACATATTCAGTGGATTTTAATGTTTACCTTTCGTCCTTCAAACTGCTCTGGAAGCCTCCAGTAAACAGGTTCTGAACGAAGAATCTGCATCACCTGCTCTATATTTGCTACTATTTCAGGAGGCTGGAATGCAATCCCTGAAAGAGTGCTTTGGTGAAGGTTTTCATCCACCAGTGGTAGAACCATTTGCTCTGGCCTCAAGGTCACCTATGTAAATTCAAAATAATAATAAGAAAATCAAATCTATTTCTCCCCACGAAGGAAATAAGTGTTTGTCTTTAATTTTTAACACTTTAAAACACATACATACACATAAATGCATACATACACATAAATGCATACATACACATATGTAGTTGTTTTTCATTTCTCATCACTAACTACTTGTCAAAAAACAGGTATGGAGAAATACTGATAATAAAGATGTCTTTTTCAAGCATTTTGCACTCTGCCCTTGATCTAAAAAGAATGTATTAGCACTGACTAAGTTTCTTAAGTGAGATCCCATTAATTACATTAATATGATTATATTATTTTCATAGTACTATTCTAGTCTTGGGCTTCCTCTGTTCTAAGTAGGAGAAAAATGAATTACAATGCAGCATACTTCTCATGAACACTTGACTGTGGAACACAACATCTGACCCTTTGTACCTCCATGCAATGTTATGGGTAATTTTGATCAAAAACTCTAACGTGTGTCTTAGTAATTCTATTCAGACAGAAGTATCACAGGAAATGTGTGAACACAAAAAGGACCAATATCAAAATTGCTGCCTCCTAAAGAGTGAGGAAAGAAAAGAAAACTAATGTAAAATCTTATTCCTAACAGTCAGTCCATCAACAGGATGTTCAAGGGTTTGGAATCAGGTTGTGAGAAATTCTCCCAAGCTCTGTGCTGTATTTACGGTATTTCATTATTTCCATTTACAGTGTGGACTGACTGGACAAGAAACACCCCTGGCAATTGCTAGCCCTGTGTGAGATTTCCTGTTTTCCTGACATAGCTGTATTTGAGACATCAAGAAAGGGGTCAACACATTTGAATTTCTGAGAAGTCTTATTGTCATATAGGACAAGATTCTTCGCTGGAAGAATTCAGTGTCAATCAAAACTCTGAATCAATTCCAATTCTGTATTACATCACAGAGACAAAAACCAGATGAGCTGTGTACACACACTTGCTTAGATGTGAGTATAAATATGAGAGGAAATTAACTGAGACAAACCAGATCATCAGGAGGTTTAAACAGTGCTATTTCTTTTTGCTGCCACATGTGATGTGATGGACGGTAGTGATCTCAGTGTGTGTTTTGCACTCATTGTATCAATTGGAGACATTCAGTCTGTCTTACTTGACAGTCTAACATAGGTCTCAAGATCCTTTTACACATGAAGGTGGAGAGCTCTTTTTTTTTCTCCAAGGGATTTCCATTCCCAGATCTAAACATGGCAGCATCTTCACTAAGCACTTTTAAAAATAACAATTTTAGGAAAAGTAATGGAAATAAAAAGATTGGACCATAGCAAATCTATCCTGGACAAGTATCTATGACCCTTGAATACATGTGGATAAACTGTGTATCACATATCAGGGATTATGTTACAATGCACTGAAATGCATCATTTCCCCATACACAGACAGACTAACTTGTCTGCTCCCAGATTTTAACAGCTTTACATTGACTTGGTATCTGCTAACATGTCACTAGTTTTCTTAGCTACTTACTTGTAATGCTTTGACCCTGGTATTCTAATGGAAGATACTACTCTTCTCTCAAATTATAAAGAGGAAAATGACTGCTAAAATGTTTGGCTATTTTCTAGCTAATTCTCAGTGCTTGATTAAAATATGCCAGCAGGAAACAACATTATTTCATTACATGGCTCAGCAGTTCCCTACTCACCCACATGCGGATAAGCCCCTTTGCCTCACTGCACTGTGTAGTCAAGCCAAAGCAATAGCAGCTGCTGCAGCCAAGTGGGTTTCTGGCAGAGAGGCCAAATGTGCCAGACTTGCACCTGTCACAGTGGACACCTTCCACATTGGCCTAGAATAGAGAGAACATTAAAAATAATGGAAGCTTTAATTAACAGGCTATAATAAGAAAAAGAAAATGGAACAATATTAATAATGGTATAAGTTGAAGGAGTTACCACTAGGTAACTTTTAGCATCCACTGGCTCCTTACTGATAATTGCATACACAGAAAGATCAAATGGTACTTTGGATACAGCAGGCTAAATAAATGACTGATAAGAAAACAATATGTCCTCATGAAACTGCCTGGATTAATCCAAGCTTTTGTTTAAAAGGAATCAGTTTTGACTAGTTAGAACATTTAAGCTACAGTACTAAATATTCTTGCTGAGAAACATACTTTAATGGAAATATTGTGGAGAAAAGCTTTACCCTCTTCATCTGATTGTTTTCCACATCACTGAACTGTATTAGCAAGGCTGAAATGTTTTGCTGTTATAATGTCATTGCTTTTATTTCCATTTTTCAATTAGTCCAAATAAAAAGCAAACCTAGATAATCTAGATAAGCATTAATTTATTCATAGCCTTTTAAAGCCATTTTATACAGACCAAGGTACTGAAAAAAAATCGCCAGTATGAAAGCAGTGATCTCTCTCTTTCTCTCTTTTTTTTTTCTTCTCCTTTTCTTCACAGTAATACCAAGAAGTCAATCTAAAAAAGAAAATCAACTTTCCAAACCTTATAATGGAAACCAACACTTTCCCTGGGGATTTACCATTTTAACCTCATTTCCACGTGCAACTATGAGCAAACGTGCTTATTATATATATTGTATTTATCTTAAATTTTAATGCTTTAAGTGGGGGCCAATAAAGAAGATTCTGAGCTTTTGCAAGTCCATTTTCTCCTGCTATAACAGCAGGTTTCAATGGCAATGATTATCCCTGTAAAAGACCTTCCTCCTCCAATACGTAAGTCTTTCAAAAAAGTTAGTCAAAGTTAAAAGTTAACCAAACCTAGATTTAAACTAAACTGCACCTAATCCAGAAAAGGGACACCAAGATGGTTAGTGGAGCTGAAGCACTGAAGAAAGTCTGAAAAAAAATGAAGAACTTCTATTTTTCCATTTCTGTGGATGACATAGGACACATAGTACTGCTCATCAGTCCAAGAAACAGCTTTTTCCTCGAAAAATGCTTATCAACATTTCACTTCAGTTTCCTTATGGTCCTACCATCCAATGAATCAGTATTTAGAAAACAGAATAGGACATGTTCTATTCAAATGTACCAAAAAACAGTACCGTGGCCAAGGAGTTCTCACACTGTTTACAGAATCTTCATCCTTGGAAATATTACCTCAGCAGTCTCCTTTAAAGAAGGAGATGACCTTAATAGTCTCCAGAGGTACATTCCTCTAATTGATTTTATAATTTCTCTGTTGAATCTATGCTTTAACTCAGAATGAAGTGAATGTTGTCTAATTAATGAAATAATTACCTGGCAATTATACCTTTTGAACTTACCCATGAATTTTGCTTATTCTTCGTGTCAGGACAGTCCCTGAATCACAACTGCATAAGCAATCTCTTAAGGCCATTTTCGGAAACCTCTTCCATGAAGATCAATACTAGATCATGTTAGCAGCTAGTCAGTACATATAATGTCAAAGAATGAGGATTTCACAACTTTTCTGGATAATCTGTTTGATGACTGCCCTAATGATTTTTTTCCCTAATGTTCAGTCCAAAATTCTCAAGTTGCCATATGCATCTGTTGATTCTATAACACCTTTTGCTAATATCAAAAAGGACTTGATTCTACCATATTTGCGATTACTCTTTGAAGTGGCTGTGGGTTACTATTACATTTTCCATCAGCTTTTCTTCCTTCTTCAGAGTAGAAGAGTCCAGTTCCTTCTCCCTCAGTGCATACTTATAGACCATCTGCCTTAAGTCTCTTTTTTTTAGTCCTTCTCTTATTCTTCTTTATTTTTAAATCAAAATTTAAAACTGCCATTTCCAAGTACTCAGAGTAGAAGAGGAAGGAACATAGAATCATAGAATGGCCTGGGTTGAAAAGGACCACAGTGATCATCTAGTTCCAACCCCCCTCTCGTGGGCAACTACTAGAACAAACTGTCCAGAGCCTCATCCATCTTGGCATTGAATGCCTTCAGGGATGGGGCATCCACAACCTCTCTGGGCAACCTGTTCCAGTGCTTCAACACCCTCTGAGTGAAAAACATCTTCCTAACATCTAACCTAAATCTCTCCTGTTTCAGTTCAAAACCATTCTCCCTTGTCCTATCACTATCCACCCAAGTAACCAGTCATTCCCCCTCCTATTTATATGCTCCTTTCAAGTACTGGAAAGGCCACAAGGAGGTCTCCCCAGAGACTTTTCTTTTCCAAGCTAAAAAAGCCCAGTTCCCTCAACCTTTCTTCCCAGAGAGCCATCTGATCATCTTAGCGGTCCTCCTTTGGACTTGTTCCAAGAGCTCTTCTGTGTGTTTCTTCTGCTGGGGACCCCAGGCCTGGACGCAGTACTCCAGATGGGGCCTCACAAGAGCTGAGTAGAGGGGGACAATCACTATCCTCTCTCTGCTGGCCACCCCTTTTTTAATGCAGCCCAGAACACAGTTAGCTTTCCAAGGTACAAGCGCACACTGCTTGCTCGTGTCCAGTTTCTCATCCATCAGGACCTCCAAGTCATTCTCTGCAGGGTTGCTTTCAAGGAGTTCTTCCCCCACTCTATACATATCTCAGATTGCTGCAGCTCAAGTGCAACACCTTAGGATGAGACTTCCCTTGATCTGCTAGCCAATCTCATCTCAAACCAAGAGGATTTTCTGATTCACAATGAAAGTGAAAAGTTGGCTTATATTTGATTTGTCATCTCCCATAACCTATATGTGCTTTTCAGTAGATACCTATTCAGCATTTTACCTCCCAAATTGTACTAACTCTTGGGGTTGTTCCCCTTCATGTTCTTACCATCTCCCATGCCCTTGCTGGAATTCATGACTTTGTATCTTCAGTTTTCAAGCAGCACACAGACTGTATTTCTACTATTGAGACATGAGCCTTGGTGTATTCTACTTGCTGGCTACCAACTGTATGTAAAATTTTTCTTAGGTCCAGAAATCCAGCCAATTTTCAATGTACCTACGTGTGCAATTCTCCTCAGAACAATTTCAAAAAAGAAGGCTGTGGGTGATGATACCAAAAGTCTTACTGAAGTCACGAAGTTAGTTTTTTTAGTAGTCTTACACTGTACACAATTTACTCAGAAAAAAATAGATATTGCTGCAGTGAATTCTACTCATTTTACCTGTTGGTGATTCTCACTTAGTAAACTCACTAAAATAAGCCAGCACTGTAGCATATTGTTATTACTGATGTTTTTTCTTTTAATTTGTAAGATGTTTGAACAAGTGTATTGAACGTTTAAATTAGAGACATTTTGTTCTGCAAGACCAGGAAGAAATACAAAGGGAGAGGAGAGCCTAAAGATAACGAGTGTTAGCATGTGAAAAAGCAATAGATGAGTAGTAAAATCTTTATGTTAGACTCCCCTCACAACAAATAGCAAATGTACTATGACAGACAACTAGATTTGTTTGCACACACTGTAGAAGTAGACAAGTATAAATGTCAAAGAATTTTGGAGTAAATTTCACAGCAGGTATGAGATCAGCTTATAGTCTTCATTGCCCTACCTTGCAGCTGCATTGGCCAGTATGATTAACGCATGAGCATGTGCCCAAATCTGTATCACAGCTCCGTGGATCAGTGCCAGACAGGACACACTGACAAGTAATGCATTGTGGATAATTCCAGTAACCCAACCTGCACTCAGTGCATTTATCCCCAGAGAATTCAGGGCGGCAGAAGCAGCAGCCTGTATTTAAGTCACACTGAGAACTTAAGGCTCCAATGAGGCTACAGTCACATGGCTGAAAAGAAGAAAAACAAGAAGAAAATTGCAGTTGCGCATGTGAAAAAACAAACAAACAAACCCACCAGAACAAAAACGTCACACATCTTTCAAGTACTGATAGAATTCTTACACTTCCTGTGTCCAAAGACAACATCTGAATTATTAAAATAGGCTTTTATCTTTATTCAACAAAGGTCAAGCAATTACACTAAATAGACAAAAAAATTACACTAAATACACTTAGAAACACTCTGTTCTTCCTGAACATATTTAATCTATCACTAGTAAATTCAAAAGTGAAATGAAAAATCCAACAGAATGTAGTGCACTGGCATGCTCTGCAGGTAAAGTTAACTTATGAAGCGTTAGTGACCTCCAAAAATTCCTTACTATGAATGTCTGATACAGGACATGTTCAGACACTTTTGCTAAAATTGGAGACTCTCAGGGGCAGTGGTCCCGGTGGAATCTATTGCAATGATTATTACTAAGGCAAGGCAGGTAACTATCTTCTTTTTACTAACAGGACTCTTAGATAATAGCAATTTAAATGGCAATTGACAGATATTTTGTCTTCTGGTGTAATGAGAAGTAAATTTGCTTACAGAAAGAGAGTTTCTGCAGGGAAGTAAGGAAAGAAATAGGTGATTTGCCAAGGGGTCTAGATACTGAGTACAGAAGCAAGTACCTGGGAAAGCTGCAGTCTCCCAAAGAACAGAAAAATCCTTCAGTACTATGACTGTACAACAAAGTTAGCCCAGGACATTTACTCTGATCATTGACGTGACGAGAATTTCATATGAAGAATTTCTGCTTGCAATAGCAAACCCAGTGCCAGCAGTACAGGTTACCACAGTAACTGACATGGATAGACTTGCTAAAATTAAGGATACAAAGCCGAAAAAGAGCTGAAGAAAACGCGGATTCAGTTTATACAAAGAACTGTTTATTGTATGAATACTTACAGCATGTTTTTTTCTCCTCTGAAATGACCATTTCTAAAGAAGGTAATTATATGTAGGAAAAATTCAATTTTTACTGAATGCAAGATAAACTATTTAACTACTAGTTACATATTAGACATATTAGACTGCTAAACTACTATCTAACCTAAGAAATAAAACCTTCTGCAAGAAAGAACTTTGTTCTGCAATATATATTTGAAAGTAAAGCTTAGAAAACAAATTCTTCATCATACACTGAAGTAGTTCAGTGTGCAATATCAATACCTAAACTGCAATCAAACATCATGTTTGTTTTGCAAGTAAACAATTCTTAATGCAACACTTTCTACTCTCTTGAGTTACAGCAGCACTGGAAATCTGCAAAGAGTGTGAGTAGGAGATCTCACTTTGCTGAAATTTTAGAAATTACTGAAAGAGATGTAGGCTGACAGATCATTATTAATTTAGCCGATGCCATGGAACTGCCATATTAATGTGCCCACATAAAAGACAATAAGAGGATACACTCCAGAGCTCAAACAGAGGTCTTCAACCTCATTATAGGCTGGCTTCAGAAGCCGGGAATCTGTATCACAGCAGTGCAGCAGAGGTTTCACAAGAGGAGTTTTCCATACATATAGAAATAATTAGTTTGCAACCTGAGCTACATGACAGTCTTTTAAGAAAGCACATTAGTGGTATATGACCATGTTCAGACAGAATAGCTTTTCTGAAGTAATTGCAGCAGTATATGAATGCCTCATCATTAATGATAAAGGCAGAAAGAAGGAGACATTTAAACTTGGCACAGTATTCACTATCACTAGTATTCAACCTCAACCAAATACAACTCTGTTCAACTTCAACTTGACATTATCAACAACTTTCAAGACCTATTTGACATATTATTATTTTCCTTCTTCTTGTCCCTCTTTACTCCCCTTTTAAGACTTTCATAACTGCCAAAAACTAGAATAAGAAGGATTTAGAGGAAAGTAAGAAGAATTATTTCCCTTTTAAGGAAATAGGAAGAAAGTATATTTTATGGGTAAGGCAGCTGTTTCTTTTCTTCTCCACTGTCTCTTTATGCACAAGTCAAAGGCCTTATAAAGTAAAATTCAAGTATGTCTTCCCACTAACATCAAAACTAGGGCCAAAGTAAACTTGTTCTGCAAAGGTAAGGTCAATTACTGCAGTTACACATTTCTGCATTATATAATACTGTGGTGCTGTGGTTTAACCTGACAGGAGGCTCAGCACCACACAGTCATTTGCTCATTCCCCCCAACTTTCTATTGGGATGGGGAGGGAACGAGAAAAAACAAAGTAGGACTCACGGGCTGAGATAAAACTATTAACTAAGGAAGAGGAAAAAGGGATAATAGCTATGACAATCACGTACATAAATCTCTCTCTTTGCATATATAGATATAATAAGTGATGCACAAGCTATTGCTCGCCACCCATTGACCCATGCCCAGCTAGTTCCTGGGCAGCAGCAGCTCAGCCAATGAACACTTCCCCCACACACACCTTTTTCAAACTTTTCTTCTTCATGACGTCATACAGTATGGAATATCTCTTTGGCTAGTTTAAGTCACCTGTCCTCATTCTGTCTCCATCCAGCTCCTCCAAGCCCCCTTGTTGCCAGGACAATAGGAGAGGCAGAGGAAACAAATGTCCTTGGCTCTGCACAGCATTAATCAGCAACAGCTAAAACATTAGACTGCTATCTACATTGCTTTTCTCCTAATACCAAAATGTAGCATCATACTAAACACTATGGGGAGAAATAATTAACTCTGAAACTGATAAATATGGAAATCTCCTTAAACATGTTAAATTCAGCTGTAGCTAGAAAATCAGTATACAAACTCAGCATGACAGCTCTACAGTATAAATAGGGTGTATAAATAGAGTGTTTGGTGTTACAGGCTAAAAACCTGAGAGAGGGAGTAATTAAATACAACTCAGTAATTGATCACCAACATTTATACCATAGTTTGATTGACACTAAAACCTCTAATGGAGGAACAAACAATGATTTACAAGCCTAAATTTTTATTCTACCTACAAACTACTATATTATCCGATGGGAATGAAGTGACAGAGAAAAGAGAGATCCACTCACCTTGCAACCATGTACAATGTCATGGCCCCAGTGATTTGGTGCACACTTGTCACACATCCCTCCAATAGTGTTGGGGGGGCAGATACAGCGGCCACTGATGGGATCACAGTTATTACCAAATTGTGAACAGGCACAGGCTTAATGGGAAACAGAAACAAAGCAAAGTGAAAGTTACCCCCTTATATATCAAGGACTTCTTTTCTACTACAAGCTTTATCAGGAGAACGGTGTTTTCACATGAAACTGTAATTCTTGGCAGATGTTATTCAATGAAACGAATTTGGTTTTCAAAGCAGTTCCAAAACGGGCCTTTGATATTAAAGCATTATTAGGTGAACAACTCATTGGTGACAAAGATTAAAAGTGTATAAATGAAGAGGCACAAGACACTTCATCATTCTGAAGAACAGAACCAGTGTATATTTATTTTCATACTCACCCTCAACATCATCCCTGAGATCACAGCAAAAGTATCACAAGCAAACTATCACTCTCTGAGTGTTAATCAGCCCCTTGGTATCAGGCAGAGTAAAATGATCCCCTATTGCAGAGGGCTGGGTTTGTGTTTATTGCCTTTATAACTAATATTTTGTTATCCCACACATCAGTGTTGCCCCATGAGGTCAGTGTTCAAAAAGACATTTGAATACTGCCCACAGTAGTACATATTTAACCCTGGAATGGACTAGATGATCTTTGAAGGTCTCTTGCAACTCAACTATTCTATTCTACTCTTATTATCTAGATTTACTTGGAAGATGTGCATAGATAGATCTCATATTCATAGTTCAGATAAGAACTGATTCTTTACCTTTCCCCATAAACGTTCCCAAAATGAGGTAACTGATGCAAGTAAGTTTAGACCCAGTCATGACAGATGTGATATGAAAACGTGATACAGTCTTTTGGCACATCAAGATGTTTCAGAAGTACATCTGTCATTGTGAGACTGAAACTTTTGCAAACTTTATGGAAGTACAGTTCTTAGACAAAACTGGTTCAAAAAGTATGGAGCAGAAAATGTAATAGAACAACATTTCTTTGTTTGTACAAATATAATTATTTAAAAAAAAGCGGAAAAAATTAGTTAAAGGGAAATTTATTTTGTATTGTTTGTTGCTAGAGTGTCAGTAATAACTGATCTAACTGATGAAGCTTCAGGGTTTTTTTTATTGCCTAAGAAAAATCAACTTATATTTCTTTTGGATAAATGCTAGATATAGAAGTCTAATATTTTATTAGATACTTGGCCGCAATTCTAGTATTCATTTTTGTGCACTTTCTTCAAGCATGATTTGATATACTTCCATTACATTTCTGAGTTTTCTCTGCGATTCATAATTCCTTTTTCTTTTAAAATAATATATAATTCATAATTCCTTTTTCTTTTTTTCTTTTCTTTTTTTTCTTTAATTCCTTTTTTTTTTTTTTTTTTTTTTTTTTTTTTGTCATATGAAGGAAATAGCAAAAGACTTACTAAAATAAACATGGAACAAAACAGCAGTTTGAAAAGAAAAAACCTTTGCATCTGTTATATTCACTTTGAAACTTCTAAAAATCTGTTGAGGTTATTTAAAATACTTGATGAACTTAGGCAGATACATTTCTATTTAAAATATTATTTAGTTTTGCACTAAACTCAGTCTTTCCATGTTTATCAGGAAAGCAGTTAAAAACGTAATGTGAAAATGTGTAAATTGCCTTCTCATCTTCCCCCCTCCAACTGTATGAAATTGGCAACATTTTGTAACATTTCACAATGAGTGATGTGCTTTTAAATTGCAAAATGTTACTATAAGAGTGTAATCATGAAGATCATCTACATCAATTTTTTCTCTCCAATATGTGCTAAGAACTTTAGGACTTCACTTATTGTTCGCAATTTACTTCCAGCTTTCTCAGCAGTAAGTTTGTGAACCAATCTTTCCCTTTTCCATAGTGCCAACTTTACAACATGGTAAATATTTTCTTGCCCCTTCCATCACATGTCAGACAATACCATAGAGTAAAATTTTGAGTTGTGAACTATAAACCACTCTGGCTCAAGTCATATACTGGGGGAAGAAGAGCAACAGAAATGGACTTGCAGGTCCTGGTGGATGAGAAGCTGGACAAGAGCCAACAGTGTGCACTTGCAGCCCAGAAGGCCAACTGTCTCCTTGGCTGCATTAAAAGAGGAGTGATCATAGGGAGAGGGAGGTGATTATCCCCTCTACTGAGGGGATACTACTCTTGTTAGGCTCCATCTGGCAAACTGTGTCCAGGACTGGAGCCAAAGGAAGGCCACTAAGATGATCAGAGCGATAGACTATGAAGAAAGGTTGAGGGAACTCGACTTGTTTAGCTTGGAGAAGAGAAGAGGAGGGGGACTGTTTACATGGGTGGATAATGATAGGGCAAGGGGGAATTGTTTTAAACTGAGACAGGAGAGATTTAGGTTAGATGTTAGGTGGAAGTTTTTCACTTAGAGGGTGTTGATGCACTGGAACAGGTTGCCCAAGGAGGCATTCAAGGCCAAGCTGGATGAGGCTCTGGGCAGACTGTTCTAGTAGTTGGTGATACTGCCCATGGCAAGGGGGTTAAAACTAGATGATCTTTGAGGTCCTTTTCAATCCAGGCCATTCTATGATTCTGTGTCAATAGAACAGATGAAATTGAATTTTGCTGTACAGGTATGGGTCTCAAAATGCAGATGCTTCTTCCATACTAAAGCTAAAGAAGAAAGAAAGGCAGAGAGCTAGGCTTGTTACTTGTGCTGCTATTCCCTATGGAAAAGGAGGAGGATTAGAATACTTGGGAAGACCATTCCTGCTGCTAGAAAGAATACTCTACAGCTCTGACCTGAAGAAAATTAGCAGCAATATCCTCAGCTTGGTAGCATTCTGCCATCAGCAAGGAACATTGTGGGGCCATTGCCACTCTGGCATGCCAATACTCTAGACAATTAACTATGCCTCCTGTGACCAGATCTAAACTAATTTATGAAACATTAAAAGTAGAGACCTGTTAGCAAAGATAGATATTTCTCTGTGAAGGAACCAGTGGTTAGATTCTTTTTGACCTAGCCATCTGCACTACTTTAAGGACAGGGAGTGTTCATTTCAGTGTTTGACCTTATGTCCAAAAAAACAAACACAAAGTAGTAACTGGAAATATTTCATGATGATGCTATAATTTCAGCATCTAGAGGAGAATACTTCTACTGTGCTTACACACGGAACATAGCAGAGGTATTTTTGTGTGCAACAAGGTTTTCAGATAAAGTATACAAGTAAACAAGATTCTAAATATAACAGAATTTAATAAAAGAGAATCAAACTTGTAAGGGCAGTGCTTGGACAAAAGGACACTTCTGTTCCAGCTATCCATGGAAGATTAGACATAAATTAATTTTAAATTAGCAGAAATACCTTGGGTCTTTTGTTCTTGCCAGTTATTCTCTTTGCCAATTGACAGATTTACAGGGCTGCCCATGAAAATGACTGCCTGTCAGGAAAATTTATTAGGCAATCCACAACCAGCCAACTTAGTAAGAAAATGAATACATATATAGATAAATAAATAAACTTGCAATTGGCCATGAAGTATTTACATACGAGTACAGCCTCCTTCTTCAAAGTTGTAAAATCCATGAGCACAGCGGTCACACTTCTTCCCTGTCACTCCTGGCTGGCAGTAACACTGTCCATTTCCATCACAATCAAAGGATTTGGAACCAAAAGAGTTGCAGTTGCAGGGAACACATCCTCTGGAAGACTGTAAGCCAAACGTTTCAGGCTGCCACCAAGAAAGGAAAGAAGAGCAGTTAGTACATGGAAAGATTACTGGGAAAAGATGAAAAGCTGAGTGCCTGTGGATAGCAGAGTGATTTTTTCTTTTTCTGTTGATTCTGTAATTCTTAAACAGAATTGTAGAGGTAAAACTGGCAAGGGCACTAAACAGCTACACAGCTCAAAAGGACTAAAGATTTCAGAGTGTTAACTGCTATTATAACAAACGTTCTCTAGACAGTACACTTTGTACAAGGTTACATTTCCATATATACAATTTCAAGAAGGTTGTTATGTACAGTCTTCAGACTGGCTTTCAGAAATTTCCTACTTAAATAGAAGGCCTGAGTCATCTATGTGCACTGTGTCAGGATTGTAAGATTATGTTAGGCAGGATTGGTTACTAAGAAAGTGAATTCAAATTCTCTGCTATAAACGGACAGTGGTTCAACCAGAAAGACTCTGGACAAGAAGATTCTGTCTCCTTTGATCAAGGGCACTACCTGTACACATTCTGTAACTCAAGGGCATTTCTTCTGAATGATTCTTAGGAATAACTTTAGATGAACACAGATAGGATGTATTTGCATTACAAGCTATTAAGAATTACCTGTTTTTAAAAATAATTAACTGCTAATGATTATAAACGGACTGAAGTGAAATATATTTATTTTTACAATGTGCTACTGGGCAGCTCAGCCATTTGCTGTTAGATTTTTTGCCTAGTACAAATCGGCACAGATTTTTCAAATCAGTGGAGATGTACTGACTTAGATTCTCATGGATTTGTTCCCACAGTTAAACTCCTAACCTGCGTAGGTGAAATCTCAGAGACTTTGTCAGGGTTCCAAAGTCCACAAATCTGAACTCTAAGATTAACATTGATGTTCCACATTCCTAGAGGGAATCTATTGATATGTATCAATAGATCAATGTAGGGATTGTACCTACAGTCAGAATTTGGCCTGAAGAAACTTAGAAACTAAGCAAACACTTTATTATGCATATAATAAAGAATTACCCTGATTCTCATTTCCAGTTTCTACAATGAAATGCTTTGTAAATTATATACTTCAGCATGACAAAATACGGTGCATCAGAGAGAAAAGATTATTCTAATCCATGTAATTAAACTTCAAGGTTCAATTAAATATACAGTGTATCTCTGAAGATTTCTATTACACAAGAAAATGTACTGAAAGGTAAATATGCAAAATCTTCAGGACAGACAATCAGATAAATAGTGAAGCAACAAATGCACAGCATGCAGATCAGCTCTCAAAAGAAAGTTTGATAGGATGTAATAAATTCTGTTTATAGGGTGAAAAACAGAAAAACAGCCTGATCACTAGCTCTCCACAATGCGTGAATGAAGAAAAGATCACCAGCATACTGGGTTCTGTTCAATGAAAGACATTTTGATCAGTCATGCAAACTACCAAGATGAGACTCCAGGCTGAACCCCTGGCCAGCCTTGTTTATACATAAATTGAGAGTCACATCTATTGAACGATAGGATCATGGATGACAACAAGGAAACATAATATCTTCTGAATATTGTACTATATTTGGTCCTGCACCAGCATATTCTGAATATTTGTGTGGTCAATACAGTTATGTTAAATGGGTAAAAGTTCACATTCTCCAAAGGAATCCATATGAGCAAATAAAGCATGAGTCCTTGAACCTGACTGAGGAAAACAAAATGCTGGCAGTTATTTTTCAATTTGATTTATGGACGTCTTGGGTTGCAGGAGGAAAAAAAAGCAAACTACTTAAAACACTGCTCAGTTAGAAGCAGTTGTACCATAATTAATATATCATTTTAGGAAATAAGCAGTTTTGTTGACATGCGAGGAGGAATATTTCTATTATTTTGGGAATCGTATTCAAATAGCTTGCACTTGTTCTGGTTAAAAATTAAAACTGTCTGAAGACTGCCCATATTCACAAATGAGAACTTTTAACACCTGTCGTATTTGATATTTCAAGACTAGATCTTCACATTTTACCTCTGGTGATGATTCTTCTCATGAGCTCCTAGCCCTTTATTCTTGAATCATTAGGGGAGGAAGTCTTGCTCTATTGAAGGCCAGGAATATCCTACTGATTACACTGATGTATGAACAGCACCCACATATTTCATGCACACTACTGTTGATTGTGCTGCTTTTGGAATTATTCTGTTATTTGACTTCTGGCCTGTTTGGTTAATTGCCCTATGCAACTTTGGATGTGGGGAATACCAAGAACAGAGCACTGTCTTTCCTTTTTAATTCTGTGTATCGAAGCACATTTCTTTAAAATTAAGTGGAAAAACAAACAGACAAACAACCAACAACAAAAAAAACACCACCACAAGCAAATACGAAGTTTCAGCCCATGCGATGCACACAGTTTCTGATTACCGGAGCGGCAGGCTGGTAAGCACCCCGTGGGCACCCACTGGCACTGCTGAAGCCCCATCTCCGAGGGGGGACTCGAATCTGCTGACTGCTTCGCGCACTTTCTTTCAATTTAGGCACCTGTCTGCTGATTTCACAGCGTTTGCCTGTGAATCGTGATTTGCAGATACATCTTCCTGACATATCACATTGCAGTGACATGGATCCTACGGCACTGCAGCCACAGGGTATACAAAATCGTTTATCTGGGGCCCAGAAGTAGCTGGGCTTTAAAAATGAAAAGTAAACACTGTTAGAAAGCAGAGGAAATGAAACTGCACCAAATAAAAGAGTACAGGAATGTAGGCAGTAATAAACAAAGACTAATTCCTAACAGCCGCTGATTTTGTATTACCAATAATTATTGGCATATTTTATGTGTATATTATACTGTATGTGGCAAGTTCCATTGATACTACTGATATTTCTTCGAATAGACTATTTAAATAATGCTGAAATGAAAGTGTGCTCCCTTAGAATACCACTTCAAAAAATTATGCAGCTTAAAGGGCGAAACAATCCTTTTGGTTTTTGCACAATTATTTATGTGCTTTAAATCACACACACAGGGTGTTCTGAGGACACAGACTTAACCCGTGAGTCTTCATGCTGAAACAAAGACACGTTCAGCCCGTTATAAGATATTCCTGAGCAGCCTAAAGAAATCTTTTTGTGAAAGTTCATGAAAGACATTATTGGGGTTTTTTTTGCAGTGACTCACACGACAGCAAAACAACATCAAGACAAAAGATATTTTCACCAAAAAAGTACATATTTGAAAAATACCAAAAGAATTCCTGAGAAAAAGAATGTAAAAGCAGAATATTCACGGTAAGGATAAACAATCAATTTGCTTTTTTTGAAAACCAGATTCTAACAGATATTTCATGATTTTCTTCACAGAAAAATTTTTCCAGACCTGCAATATTCCTACTTATTTTTATTAAACATTCTATTCTAAATATAAAATATATTTACCATACAAAAATACGTATTTGTACATACAGTGAGGCTTATTTTGATTGAGTGCAAAGGGAGGTTTACTTTTGTTGTTTGTTTCTTTCCAGAAAAGCTTTGAAGAACATTAAGTAGCCATTTTCTATATATTCTCCCCATACATAAAAAACAATTCCTATTTGTTCCTTAAGTGAAACAACAACAACAAAACAAAAGAAACCCATTTTAACACCAGACTGAAGCAAACTGAAACATCCACGGTTCCTCATCACTCACCTTGCACATGTCACACCGGCGCCCAATCACGTTGGGTTTACACTCACACTGGCCAGTCTGAGAGTCACAGATCTCTGAGATGGATCCATTGACATGGCAATGGCAGGCTACAGAGGAGAAAGAAGGAACTGTTGATATGTTTCCAGTACACTTACACTACTGATTCTGACTTTAACAGCCAAATTTTAACAGCGTGGTTTTTGCCATCTGGACAAACTCAAGAATGCAGACCTGAGGAATGCTCGGACACTGACAATCAGCATTTACCTACCCATTGAAATGCAGAATTCTACTCCAAATTATTGCACTGAGAAATTTTGTTTCCACTTCATAAAAAATCTCCTCATATGCCACTCCAAGTATCTCTGTTCCAAAACAGCATTAGGGCTCACAGAGGAAATGACAAACAACCAGTCCAACCCATGACATAAATCGCCTAAGGATTTTTAAAAAGCAGTGAAAAAGAAACTTCTGTTTCTTACAGAAAAAAAGTTTTGCTTCCTGCATTTTCATATTTGAGAAGAAGTTTTGGAGATGCTTTCTATCACCCTTTATGCCCTTAGATCACAAATCTTGTAGCTTGCAGCAAACCCAGTAGGGAATGGAGAGATGTTATCACATGTCACAGGGACTATGACCATACAGACACCAATTCCATTACGATGAGCAGGCTTCTCTGTCATTTTTTCCACAGAGACATGAATCCTCATCGCTATATTTATTACCAGTCTACTTATTTGAAACAGGCCCAGCCCACATTTTCCCTTCTTGCACTACCCTGACTATGTGTTGTCTTTTTTTCAACATGACAGCTTTGTTTTAAGAAGCACTTAAGCATCCCAACAGCAAACACATGGTGGTCACATACTTGCACATCATAAGGTGCCACTAGAGTTGTATTTTTTCCTATAGATAGATCCTCACAATAGGATCTTCACCATGACTTCATTGGACTACATATACTGTAAACTGAAAGGAGTTCTTCCTGCCATTCCCTCTATTTTTGAGGTATTATGCACAAGTCACTTCTTTCAAATGAAAGTGATTTCATATTTTTCATATCTGTTCATGGCCTTATTTTTCAAACATTTGCAAAAATATCTCATATCTCTGAGAGTAAATAATAATAATATAATAAATAAATAAATAAATAAATAACAACTGAAAATAATTATGGGCTCTCTTGCCAATCTGGTAATGATGTTCATCCTTTTCACCCTCTTTCAGATTTCTTCCTTCCCATTACCATAATATAGATGTTTTAAAACTATTGACAATCCAACCTGAACACATAGAACAGTATGTACATGTACACATTTGCATTATATTCCAATTATAATGGTCACTAGTCAAATGCGTAATCCCAAACCCACATAAACATTATCAATACAAATTAACAGCTGTATTTCACCAACATGTAAACACAGATTTCAAAGCCCAAATATATTATTTGAATCTTTTTTTCCTTAACCAAGAACATAAAAATCACAAGGATCCTGACGAATAAATAAATAAATAAATACACTGTCTTTGTATGCAGGCAAGCTTAACACCATATGTAGATCACACTGAAAGTAAGGTCTCTTATTTATTTCCAAGGAAATTGCAACAGATTTGAACAGTATAATAACACTGTTTGATTAATTCTCATCTACAAAACACAATACCATCACCATTAGCTCTGCATTTTCATCAGCAATAAATAAGAGCCTAAATGCCATGCCAATCAAAATTTGCACTAATAGAGGTGACCCACTGTCACTGTTGCTACTGCTGAAATGCACCACCCACCACCTCACTGTCCTTGCATCCGCTGTTTGGTCTCCATCAACATTCAGCAAGCATCAATGAATGTCACCGAGAGTGATTTTTTCTGCATGGAGGAATTAAGGGACACCCTTTTTGCTACATATATGCTTCCAAGTCAGAAGCCATTTGATCAGACTGCCCTTCTACTGCCATCTGTCACAGCAAGAAAACATAATGGAATACTGTTGGGAAGGTTCAACCTCTACTGCCATACTGCCAACATCTGCCTCTGAAGTCACATGCCAGAATATTACAATAAAGGTACTACTTTCAGAGCAGGCCTCATACCTTACCCCAGGTGGAATGTCATGTATTCCTAACTCAGTCACAGATGACAGTGTGCAATACAGAGGTGAAACAGAATTTGGAAATTAAGACTTTGATTGTTTTCCTGGTGCTGGCAGTATGTACACACTGAAGAAACATGCAGTCAAGGTTATTCATACACTTAACTGTTACTCAATCTGATAAATTACATTTATCTCACCTAAACCTTTCTTATTCATTCATCTCTACTGGAAAACCAGCTATTGTCCCAAATTCTAAATGTTTACTATAATACTATACAGCCTGTTAGAGAAATTTGTCTTACTTTCTCCCAAAATGACACTGGTTAAGACTTCTCTCAAACTCTCTTGATTTGTATAAATATTTATGAGTCTGTAATTATAATGAACCCACACACTAATTCCTCTCTAACAGTGATACTGGGCACACATAGGCACACTTGGATACTTGCTTTAATTAATCTCATGTCATCTAGCTCTACCATCAGCACAACCTCTAGCTATTGGTTCAGCATACTGTGCTGTTTCACAGCAAAAAGCAAGCTACAAAATTGAAATCAAATAAGTCTAGGACATTTGCTCTTAGATTTATTATTTTGTACAGATAAACCAAGAAATTCAGAGAAGCTACAGTGATATAAAGTTGTACTGTCACTTGAAATGGATAATGCATATGACAACAGCACAGTACTGAGAAAGAGCAAAGAACATTTCAAACAATAATTTGAGAGCAAAATTCATGCTTTGCAACACTCTCAGTTTTGGCTTTTTAATAATCAAAGAAATTGAAAACAACAAAGTAAAGGCACGGTCCTTCTGATATTGTAGCTGCAGGGCAAAATTCATGGAAGTCTGCAAAGGAAGTAAAAAAATCATATGCAAAAAAAAAAAAAAGAAAAAAAGAAAACCCACATGAAAGACAGAGAGCAGATGAATGTAAGGTAACTGTGAGCACAAAGCTATGAATACATTATGGGACTCTCCTTGTCAGTGATGCTAAAAAAAAAAAAAAAAAAAAAAAAAAGCAAAGCTTGTAATTCTACATTAAATATGTATTTATTTTTAATACTTTTTGTATTTAATTGTATGTTTTTGGAACTCTTCTCACACTACATCTCTTTCCCATGCAGTTGTCACAACTGTAGAAATGCTCAAAGCAAGAGCCCCATCAACGCTGCAGAAATGGCGATGAGCTACTTGAAGATATGATTTCTGAAATGCACTGCTTTTAAAAATCAAATTACACACTCAACACCCTAATTGATATGACATCATAATGATTTTTAACTAGTGCAAAGAATGTATGTGATTGTCCAACTTTTATTTAGCACCACATAGGTACAGAACACATTTATACAGCCATTACTCTCCACGATTGTCTATTAATTTACATATAACCATGTTTATTAGCCTTAACTGAGAAAGCTAGTTATGTTCTAAATCTCTGGAGCAACCAATGCTGTCTTAGGTAGTCAAACATTATCTTGTATTCCAACTGTCAAACTGCACCCCACTAACAAAGCAAATCCTTGAAATTGATGCCAGTGGATCAGAATTCTGTGCTTGCAAGACATCTTGCAAGAAATGGTTCCTGTGCTCCTAAGTGCAATAACATAGTGCCCAAGACATTTACCAGCATTTTACATCTTTGTACTCAGTGGAGTCGGTCTGCATTTATTCCAAAGAAAGAAGAGGATTTAATTCTATTAACAGAGAAATAAAGTACTCTGCTCTTTCAGAAGACCTAAAAGTCTTTTTTTATTCCATTCCTCAGACTGACGGTGAACTATATGTGAGTATTTTTAAGCTAGGATTCTAAGTGCTATGTTTTGAATTGTGCCAGGAAGGACTCAGTAAGAGCTACTGCCTTCTACAGAAGCAAAAGCTCCTGCTCCTACCAGCTCTTCTATCCACCCTCCACAACTTCATGCAATCAGTGTGGAAGTCTGACACTACATTTGCAGCTTATACTTAAGCAACATGCCACTGTACAACACTGCTGAGAAGTGGTAGCTTGTTGCTGTGGCAGGCACTGTTCTCCATAGCACCTCAGAACATTCAACAGAGTCAGAAGACTCAACTTGGCAGGATGCCTCTTCCCTGTAAAGCAGCTTCCAATACGAACTTAAGTCACATAGGTGGCAATAAAGTCCCAAGTTTTGCCAAATTTGCACTCTTCAGTAACTGAAATATCTTTTCCTCCTCATTTCAGTATCAATCTGAAATGACCAATGGGATGAATGAGATTTCTCTGCATATCATAGTGCATTTCTATTTATTTATATTTATTTTTGTAGATCTGACATTTATCATAACCTTTTGCATCCATCTAATTTTCCACTCTCCTATATCTGTTCCATGCCTGTTTCGTTATTGCTTCAACCACAGGAGGAAGCTTTATAATAGGTTTGTCATTCTATTTACCTTGAATTCACCCATTCCAGATGCAGATGCAAGTAAAACAGTATTCTTAGAGGTGTGAGCACACCATATCATTCTCCTGCACATGCATACAGAGGCACATTCCTCCTCTCAGAAAGAAAGATATAGAATAGATCAATTCTGTCAGAAGTACTAAGAGTTTATGACTTACGTTGACAGTTCCTTGCATCAAGAGCATCACCAAAATATCCATCAGCACATCTCTCACAATATTGGCCTGTTGTACCTGACTTACATATCAGGCAAGCACCAGACAAGCTGTCACAGCTGCCAGGAACGGAGAAGTCAAGGTTGTTATTACATTGGCAAGGTTGGCATGATCCCCCTGGTATTAGAGGTTGTCCATAATAGCCTTCTGCACACCTAAAGTAAAAGAGATCATGAGTTAGGACCCTTAAATAATCTTATTAGAAATATTCAATTTTATTTCTCACTAATCACTAAAAATTACTTGATCTTCTTCCAAATATTTCTTAACTGCCTTTTCTCTCTCCCTCCTTCTCCTTTTTAACAATACTGTAGATACAGTACCAGCTGAAATCCTGCCAGTTCTGCTAGTAATTAGATTTCAGTGGGAGAAAAATCTTGTCACTGGCACTGAAGACAAGACAAAGCATAATAAGAAATCTGTCTACTGGCACTGTAGAGGAATTCAGGTTCACGTTAGATAGGCTTTGTATTTCAGCACATCATGTCTAGATATTCTTGTGCACTCATTTCCCAGCAAGTCTGTTGATTTTCTCCCTTCACATAAATAATGTATTTGCTATAGTTTAGAAAATGATACAGACATAAAATTGTTTACACAACATGATCCCCCACTCACATTGCCTTCCGCTGGTCTACTGCATGGTCACTTAACTATTGGTTGCTTACTTCTGTTTATAGGAAGGCAGCAAAAAGATACCTAGAAATCTTTTGAAAAAGAATTATAGGATTCATGGGGATAGCGACTTTCTAGCATAGTCCCTTCCTTATTTTAAAAGATACGTTTAAAAATACCACCTTTTCCACCTTGGCCACCTGCAACTTGCAGTTAATATCTTGTAAAATGGGTTAGTGAACCTGACTTAACACAAGTGTGCATTTAAAGAAAATTTGTACGTTTCAGTCTATTTCCCACTTATATTTTGGGTTGCTTTCCCTTTCTATTACATTTGTGCACACTTAACAGTTAAAGCAATTAATTGATAGCGAAAAAGGAAAAAAATGCACAGTTCCAGCTAATGAAGTTATTTGCGCTCATCTCAGATGAACTTGAATTAATGTAAAGAGGAGACAGAGTACATAAATCACATAAATTAACATTTCCTATTATTTTAAGTTGATTCAAATACAACTTTAAACAATGCAGATATTATCCTCCCTGCTTTGTACTAGCACAGGGTAGTATGGCCCAGAAATAATTCTGGATAGCACCCTAAAAAGGAAACACTCAGGTCCACTACGTTTTTACTCTTTTCCACTTATGCTCATCAAGTTCATCCTTTTCCTTTCATCCAGAATGTCTCATAAAATTTCCAGTCTGATCCCAAACAAAACAGTCTAAACATTTTCTAAATATTACTCAGTATCAGTAGCAAAAGTTATCAAAATGGATGACAGAGTAGGGAGGAATTAATAGCTAGAACTAATCAGTATTTTTCAATAGTAGGATGTTATTCAAAGTAAAATTGTTTCTGGTCTTTAAAAATATCCATGATGCAGACCTAAACAGATGCATAATTTATACAAACAGTCCAGTGGTTTGGGTGAATGTAAGTACTCATTAACACGAGCACAATTTTCATAATCTAGTCCACTGTGCTCCGCTGCATTCACATAGCCATCTCTCTCAAGTACTTCCCCATAACAACAGTACATCAAAATCCTGTCATCAGAATAATCAATGCATTTTATTTTCAGAACTTGTGAATGTAGCTACATATTGTACCTCTTTGTATTATTCCCAGAAAAGAAATGGATGTTTCTTCCTTATTAAGAAGGTCTTAAGAAGGTACCTCAGCAATCACAGAAGACTAATTTTTAGCTTACTTTCGCAAAGACAACTTGACATTTTTTTTCCTCCAGAGATCTCAGTTACAAAGGTCAGGAATCTCTCAGTACATGTAACAATTAATAGCTATGGTTGAGAAAAGCCAAAGTGTAACTGGATAATTAAGACAGGATCTTATCTTACTCAAAAGAAGAAGAAGAGTAACATGCGAAGTTCACCTATGCTTTGCTGCAATATTTCTCATTTACCACTTGCATATTTGTCATGAATCTGCATTTTTTGGTACTACTAACCAATCTGACTTCACTTAATGTGCACTCATTTTCCATTTTCCCTTTCATTTAAGAATTAATTCAGTATCTTACAGCATTCCTATAAACTTAACCAAGCAGTTCACAGAAAAAAAAAACACTCCAAGGGTTTGCAAGAAACGTGTGGATAATCATTTCCTTCTATTAATAGCAGGAGACCTTGATAACATTTTTTTTTTTCTCCTCATCAATTTAGATTTTGCTAATTAAAATTAGCGAAACTCACCCTCATCACATAGATTCTACTTAAATATGTAGATACTCTTGAATCTAGATTCAAGATGATTAGATCCCAAAATTAGGGAGAAATGAGGTAACCTTAACAGAATACCATATGCACATATCTATGTGTGAATTCTTCAACATTTTCTCCCACTTCTCATGAAGTTGCAGATGTAGATTAAAAAAAAAAAATATCTACTTTCACTAATCCCACCCTTAAGGACATTTCTATTTCAGCTACTCTTCTCAGATTCAAAGCACTACATGTTTGAGAAAGTTCACAATAAAAACTCAAAAATCTATGTGGCATGGTAAATTACACATATGGATTAGAGAAAACACATATCATATTAATTAACTGCAAAGTACAACAGAATACCACTGAGATGAGGAGAAAGGAAAAAAAAAAAAAAAACAACAACAAAAAAACACCCAACAAACCCAAAAGAGAAATCAACCAACCTATCAGAAATAGGGACAGGGAACAAAGACATTCAAGAATGGTTCCATTTAACAGTCTCTCCCCTCCCCCCCAAATTCCTCTGTTTACCTCTAGCCTCAAATGCAGATGTTTCCCATGAGTGACAGTTTTATTTGGCATAATTGGTGCCAAACACTGAGCTAGTATAAAATATATGTGGAAACGTGTGTACTGTCTTTGGATGAAATTGAATTAATTTACTTCACCACAGCCCATGTGGCTGTGTGTATGTACACAGATATGCACAAAAACACAGGCCTATTGTATACTATGTCTTTATACTTGGGAAAAAAAACAAACCAAAACAAAACAAACAAAAAAACAACTTTGAGACAGAGTTAATGTGGGCTGTAAATCTAAATATTTGAAAGTATGATAATAGTATTCTCACAGTTGCTCTGAAAATTATGTGTACCCAATTCATGTATGAAATTGAGTAAAATTCCTGTGGGGAAACAACCTGCGAACCTGCTGTTAAAAATTTTACCTCTGATGCACAACACAGATATTACTGTTCTATGACCAGGCATAAATCTATATTGCATTTTCTAATATCAGAGTGCTTATCTTTGCAATCTGGAAACAATCCCACACAGCACATTTAATTTATAAAACATTCTAAATGTTTGTTCCTTTTCCCAACAGCACTGCATTACAGGTTTGTAATACTGGCACAGGGGAAAGAATTAGATTAGCAGCAGCAGCATACTGAACCCAAGAGACTCAGAAGGGTCTACCTAGTGGCAACCTGTGCTAGATTTGAGGGATGCTGGGTTGCAGAGGGGAGGAAGCATGTGAAACAGTTCGTCTTTTTCTTCCTACTAAAGTTACACAGACGTTTCCACACCTATTCCTGGAGGAAAAGATTTCTCCAACTATATTCATAAATGAAGGAGCGCTAAAGAAGAAGCTAGACTCACCCACTTCGTTTTTTTTCCCTATGGAAAAAAAAAAACAAACTGGGCTTTTCTCAATAGCAAGACTGTGCACCTGGCAAATGCATCTCAAAATTCTGTAAATACCTTGGGCACAAAGCACAGCTTTTTTGACATAAACCTTTTGTACAGAGATAGGAGAGAGTCTACTGTACCCTGTACTCACCGGGAAACTGAGTAAAGGAAGAACATAAATCTCATTTACTGGGGAAAAGGATTAAACAAGAAAATGAAGCTTTCTCTACACTTAGAAATAAATGATAATTTAGGACTGTTCAGTTAGCCAACTGCATGACACAGATTAGTCATCGCTATGCAGTTGCTAAAATGATCCAGAATTCTACATTAACACTTTCAGCAATTATAGAATCACTATTAATAATAGCAAAAGGCAATGTGCTTTCTTCCGTTCATTATTATTGACAGCTGTGGGCATTTCCAAGCAGCTTGTTATAGATGAAAGAAAATCATTCCATGAGCAACAGAATTAATGGTTTAATTTCCAGTGGATTTATATCACATGGTTACAAGGCTAAGGACTGATTATTTGCAGCAGGATGTTGCTGTTCAGCAGTGAACAATCCCTCAGGCTACAGCAGTGCCTCTTCCTTGGCCTGTAAAATTTTTCTTATGGGTAAAACATTTAATAAACTCTCTCACTTGCTCCTACTCTCTTGTGCTTGTAATCTCTGCAGTTTAATTAGGTGTGAGATCACACAGTACTCTCTCTCTTAACTATGACATGTCCTGATTTACTAACCTCTATTCAGCTACTTCTCACGCAATTTTCAGGAACAATTACTATCTGTGAGATTTTCTACCTTCTGTCAAATTTGGTTGGAATTGACCTACAAGTTCAAATGCTTTTGTGGGCAGACAGACACGCACTAAAAGATCACACAAGCCTTATTTCCTTAGGAAATAATGCTAAAAATCCAAGCCTGCCACTTATTCAGATTCTCTCGTACTGCAGCTACAGCCTGTGCTCCACTCAGAAATAGCACTTGTTGCTAATGGAAGCTGTCAATGACCCTGCATTGACAAACTGCCACCAAAGTGCTCTGCACCAAAGTGATTTATTCCTGCCATCATTAACTTCACAGCCCACTAGCTTAAAGAAAGGTGACGACTTCCAAGATAGACAGGAAAAGACAAGCAGAAATAGTACTCAGCAGGAGCAGTCTCAGAGATTATGGGTGGAAACAGGTGACAGCCTACACTCTCACTTTAGGACAGATATAGCACAATAGGGAATTTCAGAGGAAGTAGTCATAAACGTAATTTGGAAAGATACAACTAGAGGGTGATTCATGGCATACAGGCAGGTTTCTGCTTTTCCCGGCTGGCTCTTTCTCTTGATTCACTCCTACTTTCCCCATCCAGTACTTCTCCCTGACTTACAAAGCCTTCATTTAGAAGCCTTATATTTTTAGGATATACGTTGCAAAATGCTGCAAGCAGCTCATGGAAGTGTCAAGTGGCAGAAACCAGCTAAGATACAAAAATGCCATACTTTCATTCCATACATCTATTTAGCCAGGTGATAGACTGTTATCTGGATCCCTCAGACCCTCTTAAAGAAGGTGTTAATCGTAGAGTCATGAGGGATGTGGATCATGGAGCCAAAGCAAGTGCTGACTCATTGTGACCTCCAAACAACTAGCAGCAGTACTCTGGCAAACTGACTGCTCTTTAAAGTTATTCTATCCACATGAAATCTCAAAAGATAGGAAGGTGCGCAGATACAGCGATGATTTCCCGTCTCTACATTCTCACCACATGTGGAAAGGGGACCCTAGCAGTTTAGCACCAGTGCTTCTACTATCCTTCTGTTTCACTTAAATTCTACATGTGACTCTTTCATAGTAATAGAATATGAGAAGGCAGATGGGGTTATCAGTGAAGGGAACTTCCTCTCTGAGTATTAACATGTCATTTGGACCTATCATAGCCAAGAAAGACAAAACATGAGATTTTTTTTTTTTTTAATTTGCCTTGTTGTGTAAGTAATAACAAAATCCATGAATTATGTTGAGCTTTTCTACATGTTTAACAAATAAAGATTCTCTGTTGTCAGTAAAACCTTGTTGTATTTGCTGCAACAGAAAACTAGAAGTAACAAAGGTAAAATATTCTTTTATAAATGATTAAAACCAACAAATAACTTATTACAAGGATTGTGGTTTGATTGCATATTACCTCTTCAAGAAGAGGGAACAATAATTTACTGAATACTTGATTCACCATGCTTTAACTATTCAAGTGACAGAAAGAGACAAAATAATAAAAAAAAAATCTCAAAAGACTAATGAAACTGCTAAGAGAATAATTTTAAAAAAGTTTCTTACAATTCAACAAATGCTTCTTTGAAGCTTTGTAATTTACCATAAAGCAATAAAGCAATCACTTTTTTAGAGATAGGATGGAAAGTCAGATAAAGACTACATAAGTATGTACATACATGGATGCAATGTCAGAGTAAGTTGAACAGGAATTTCTTCAGCAAGTTTCAGAAAACAGGAACAGATATGAGAAAGGGAGGCAGCAAAAAAAGAAGGAACTGTTCCCTGTGATAAATACTTTTGATTCAGATCTCATACAGTTAAAAACACAGTTCTCACTTACCTTTCACAGCGTGGTCCCACATATCCAACTGGGCATTCATCACATATTAATCCATGGCTTCGGTCAAAATGGCATGTTGGGCTAAAGCTGTGTTGTTGATATTGGGCAAGAAGAGGGACAAGGAGGAAACATAAAGAAAAGACTGTCAGGATCATAGTTCTTGTCCCACTTCAGAGATTGTTAATTTGCAAAATAGTGCCCTAGAAATGTGATTCTAGTGTAGCATGGAGCTTAAGTTAGACTCCAGCAAATAAAATTTGGAATGACTCTGCTATTTCTGCAACACTGAATATAGAGTAACAGATGGCAGCATCCCAATAGCCTGTTATTACGGGACCTCAGCCTGCCACTGAGTGGCCTAGATAGCATTAAAAAGTCAGGAATGTACAGCTGTTTGTTTGTGCCCCTGAGGGCCTGGCAAAACAAGCTATGTCATAATATGTCCCCAAAATAAATATTTCTGAAGGATGACTGATTTGAACTTCGTGTATATGGGTCTGTGAAAGGAATCCAGTGAACAAGAAAGGACTGGGACAAAAGGGATATAGCTGGTGCAGGTTCCAAGTGAGTGCATCTGAGTGCCAACAAGCTGACACATCAGACCAGACCAGAACACTGATGTTTAAGAATAGCTTGCAGAGTACAGAGCTTTACCTCTTTGCTATGCTTTTCTTATTCCTAGCTGGTGGATTTTTTTGTTTGTTTCATAAATAAGGATACCATAGGCATTTGCAAGCTCCCCTTATCTCTGATCATATTCAACTTCAAACTCTGCTCCTTTGGTTTTTAGCATTGTGCTCTCTTTCTCCCTTAACATACTTCTGTGAGTAAACAGTCTGACTCTTTGAAACAAACAAACAAACAAACAAACAAACAAACTCCATACACAACAACAAGCTCACAGAAGAAGCAACCTGCTCTCCTATCATTCTGAAGTGATCAATAAAGACACAAACATTAACATCTTTATAGAGCTTCATCTGAATAACTGAAAACAGTTTTGGTCAGTCTAACAGAAAAAGAAAAGATTGGGAGTAGATGCATTGTGGAGATCACAAATGGAAAACAAAGCATCTAGCTGAAAAGAAGACGCTGAAAATGGCTTTTATAACTTAGGACAACAGAAGTTGGGGAAGAATATAATGAACAAATACTTCAGAAAGAAGTTATATTCAGGTAAAAGATTATGCTACTACAGTAACAAATAGACATCATCTAACCTTGGATAATTTAAAGTAGGATATATAATAAAAGTTTCTGGAAAATAATGGGCACGGGGAGGCCAGAAGAGCTTAATTAGGATCATGTAACATAATTACCTGCTGATGATTGGTCTCTAATACTCAGAGTCACCCATCCTATGATCTGAACTCAGTTACTCTCCCTTTTGTTTCTACTATAGAATAGTTTCACTTATAAAGTTTTATTTGTCATAAAGCAATAAATCAATCTCCCATAGATAGAAATCAGTACGAAAAATGTGGGCAAGTCAGTTCTGGTAAACACAGATAGGTCTTAGGACATTCTTAGGATTATATTTGTGTTATGTTGCAATGACATTCAATTAAAAATAGATTCAGGAACGTATGAGTCCATTAAAGAAATAATTGTTCGTTCTATTTTTACATAGCAATATATGCAGTTTTAAACTGAAGTACACATTATCAGTAAATTGAATCAGCAGCACCTGCCTTTTCAAATAGGATATGGTCATCCATTCTTATCTCATTCTTTCATAAGAATGACATGAGAAAGTTTTATGGAGATGCTATCAAAGTTCCTTATAGCATTGCTTAAGATTGACTGCTCCACAGATCCACTGAGAACTCTGAATTCAAATGCATAAATTGTAGAGATTATAATAACTGAGTACTTATTATCACTAAGCAATGATCATTAATAGCATAATTTCTATATTTTAGGGATTATGTTCAGACTGAGAGTTCTTCCACTCTTTGACTTGGTACTCAATTTACATCTGAGCGTTAAACATTAATATATTGAGAAATTCCCATTTGCGTGCTATAAAGGAAATGTGTGTTAGCAAGATGAAAAAATGAGAGTTTATCTTACTGAGATTTAGAATCTCATTATTCAGTAGTAATAAATGTTAACAAGCAGTATGTATTGATTTGTTAAAACAAGATTCAGAAAATCTTAGTCTCTCTCAGTTCCTTATCAGTCTTTTCATAGTGTTACATAAAATTACAACAGAACACCAGTGAAGACATAGTATCAGAAGCACTATAGGTATGTTATTGGACCACACTGGAAGACAGATCTCTAAAAGCTCACACAGACTCTGCAGAAAACACCTGTTGGGAGTAATTGTATTTGCAATTTTATGTAATTCTCCAATAAAATACTAACATTCTGAAAGCAACCAGATTTCCTAGTTCACATGCTATAATGCTACTTGTTATCTGCACGGGCTCAGCAAGATATGTTCCATTTCAATTCTAGGGACATAACATTTAGTATTTTCTAAATAAAGAAAAACAGAAAACTTTTTGCCACTTCAAGAGAAAAGCAGTAATTATCTCAGATATTTGCATTTACTATGAAAAATCATACGTAGAAATCTGATCATTTGTATGAAAAAGAAATCAGATTATTTAAGTCTCCATAAAGACTGTCAGAAGAGTGCTGAATTAATGAAAAGAAAGAAGTCAAGCATGCATTAAATATGTCAATTAAAATACAGATATTGATCTCATTTTATGGGCATGGTGGAGTGGGTTAACGATTGGCTTAGATGATAACAGTGGTCTTTTCCAATCTTACTGATTTCATATAAGTACAAATACAGAGATTTGCACAAAATAAGAAGATATATCCCAGTATCTAGAAAACATGATTTGCTTCTCCTAATCTTGCCCAGAGTTATCTTCTGTCATTTGACAAGACACTTATTACTGCTATGCTTTAGAAAAAATTTCATGATTGGCTTCAGGAATTACATAGATGGCATTAGGAAATAGAGGAGATAATAAGCAGCAGCTTATTATCAGCTTAAACTAACTATGGAACAATTCCATCACGTTTCTAAAATGGATAAACATTTCTCTACCTTGTACGGAACTGCAGAGGAAAAGACAGAGGTACTGTAAAAAACAGTACAAATATCATCAAGATATAAGATACTGTTATAAAAGTCAGCACTATTTTACTAGTACAAATAGATCACAGAGGTTCGTTTTATGAACAATATTCTCTGTGCATCAAATGCCGAGTATTGAGCTTAAAGAACTACAGATGCCCTGCTGTGCCACATTAGAAATTAAATACTATAGGAGCTAGAACATATCAACAGCCATTTCTAGGTATTTAGTACATAAATTATTTACTTGTTAGGCTGTGCAGAATGGCATAGCTTATATCACATCTCCATAGTGATATGTACTTGGTGAAAATTTCCCAATTTTTTACACAAAGGATGAGTTCAAGAATCTGAATAATATATATAACTTATATTATTCCTAACATATTAAGGTCACTACAAACTAAAGTTACATTATAATGGTAGGGTAGAAAAATGACTATTTTTAAGTCTTCAGAGAACACTTTAAATGTTTAAGAGACCCTTTTTTTCCCCCCTCATAAACAAATTTAAGCCTAGAACTGTTGAAGAATGAGAACTTGAGCTTTACAGTATGATTTCCACAAAGCCTGAGCAGGTTTACAATTTTGCTTTTTTTTCCATTTTAGTATTTCTAAGTTCTAAGCTATTACAGAGCTCTAATGCAGGGCTAAACGCTGTAGGGCTCGGGAATCCCAGACTTTCACACATTGACAGCATTTATATAGGTTTGGTACGTATGCTTTTCAAGAAAGCTAAATATTACAGAGAGTACTCTTATTCAATTTCAAAAAGGAAGAAAGCAGCCAGAACTCTGATGAATACATGGTAGAAGTCTCCAGGCATTTTGCCAATAAAAAACTTGAATTCGGTTTATTTGACTTGGTTTGTTGCACATCTGCACCAGATATAAATGTGATAAGAGTTTTTCCTGCTTTATCAGTACAGCATTTTCTAACAATAGGAAGATTAACTAACCATGCAAGGAAATTCTCAAATGTGAAAACAATGAGAACATCAAAGGAACCATGCCTGAGCAGTAAGCATAAATTCAAGTATATCTAATAAAACCAACTATGGAGCTGTGATGATAGAAGACTTCCATCTTACAATTCCCTGAAATTCCTGCTCGTAAACTGTCAGATTAAAATTGCACTGATCAGAGAAGGAATATGACACAATTCTATTGCCTGTGGCTTTAGCATGGACTACTAGAGAGTAAGAACTGATTCATCAGTGTTTCAGGTTGGCCTTAAACTGTGGATAGCAAGCAGCACAAACAACTTTTTGTAAAGAAAATTATTCTTAGATCAGGTATTTGAGTAGTGTTTTCGTGTTATATAAATGAAGCAACATGATCACAGAACGGTTTGAGTTGGAAGGGACCCTAGAGACCACCCAGTTCCAAACTTCCTGTTATGGGCAGGGGGTATCTTCCACTAGATCTGGATGCCCAGGAACACATCCAATCTTGAACACCTTGAGGGATGGGGCATCCACAGCTTCTCTACGCATTCTGTGCCAGCGCCTCACAAACCTTGTGTTAAATAATTTCTTCCTAATCTAAATTTACCCTCTATTAGTTTAAAGACATTTTTCTATCACTACATTCCCTGATAAAGACACCCTCTTAAGCTTTTCTGTAAATTCTCCTTCTCTTTAAATACTAGAATTCCGTTCCCTCCATCCCAGTTTTTCACTTCTCCAGACTGAACAAGCCCAACTCTCTCAGTCTCTCCGGATAGCAGGGATACTCTAGCCCTCTGATCATCTACTTGGCTGTGCTCTGAAACTCCTCCAACAGTTCCACATCTTTCTCATGCTGGGGGCCCCAGACCTGAATGTAGCATTCTATGTAAAGTAGAACAAGAGAATAATTTCCCTCATGCTACTAGCCACAATTCTTTTGTTGCAGTACAGGATACGATTGTTTTTTATCAGTCAACATTATCACTGAACATTAACTGAAAGAAAAATTACAAGTAAAAGAAATAACAGTCTTATCTGTTCAATATAATGTGATTTTAAAATCAATTACATATTAAAAAAAAATCATATCAAATTGTTAACTTCAACTTTAAAACTAGAAACAACTACTCCATAAAAAAAGAACAAAAACAGTGGTCTTTGATTCAGTGAAAAGATCAGTTATCCAAAATACAGAATTTTTCTTCCCAGGCTACTCTTGTCTAGCTTTAGTCTTGATTTTTGTCTCTCAGCAATGCTGAGCGTTCTATATGACTGCAAAATGAGAATAAAAGCCTATATCATAGAATATGTAATTTGGTGAAAGCACAAAGAATCTCACATATACATACAATGGTATAAATTCAAAAAGTATATATAATTTACTAAGTGAAAAAGTGTAATTTATAATAAATACACATCTTACTTGTTAGAAGGTATATTTAGTGGGCAAGCACACAACTGACAGTCTTCAGCTGTTCCTTTAGTAGGATCACCATAGAAACCAGGAAGACATCTATCACAATATGAACCACCTGTATTGTGTTTGCAATCCTAAAAAGAAGGTGGAAAAATACAAATTCACAAATAGAAAACATGCATGTGGAAAAGTTTCTGGATGTCATTCACCTCACCCATTCCCTCAACAGACTTGTAAGAAGCTTCTGAGATACATTCTAATTTTCTGTTGTTAGTTGAAAACCAGAGAAGAGCTGTAAGAATTCCAAAGAATTCCTACAGAGAATTCTCCAGAGAAGAGCTGTAAGAATTAGTGCATTACATGCATCAGCTTTTTGTACTACTTTGAATATCTTTTTCTTTATATAAAACAGAGAAATGTGCTAACATATAATTGTCACAATAGTGTTTTAGCTCATCTAAATAAAACTAGTGTTCGGAGTATCACAAAACAGGCTTAGCACTGCAGTCTTGCAACAGACTAGATATTTTTAACTGTTTTCAATGCTGAGCTGAGATGTAGTTCAGACAATGCAATTTATAAAAATGAATATTTTGCATTTATGCCCATTAATTCATTTTACAAGGCGTACATCTGGCAGCAAGCTAAATATATTTGTGAAGGGTAGCAGAGTTCGAATTATATTTTACAGGTAGAAACAAGGCTAAATGTACTGTATATCAGGTCCTAACCAATTTTTATTCTTTAATGTGACTAGGTCTTGTAATAAAAGAAATAGTTTATTCAACCATATGAAAGGTTAGGGCTTAGGAGCAGGAATCTAATTCACTCCTTAAAAATAGCAGAAGTAGATCTGTATTTTCATATATAGCCTTTAGCCTGATCTCAAATTAAATGATCTCTTTTTCTCAGAATGGGAATTAGTACTCTGAGAATAGATTTCCCATGCTGACTTGTAACAACACATGCTCTAAAGTTTAAAGAAAATTGTCTCTTCTGTTCTTCCCTTTCACCTCGAAGGATTAAAAAACCTAAACAATTTGGCAACATCCATCACAGGTAAATAAGTGTGTGGAAACTGCTGAGTCACAGCCTGAATAACTGATTGAGCACCTGGGGATAAGACCCGGTCAGCCCTTGGAGCACATGTGGAAGCAATTCATCTGTGCAACAGGAAGGGGTGGAGCCTGAGCCAACCCTTCCTTTGTTTCTTTTTAAATTTGTAGTCACAGTGAGGAAGAAAATGGATGTACAGGTCTGATTTTAAGGAGAGTTAGAAGGTACATGGAAACGGCTAGAGTTAGGTTGTAAGAAAATAATTCATCAAAGAGAAGCTAGTCAGCTCTTCATAATGTGAACTGCTTTCTCCGAATGGTTGACTGCTACTGAGGAAGGATTTCTTGTTAGGTATTCCTCATCTGTGGAGTTTTTTCTGTAAGCCTAGATCCTTAGAAAGAGGAGAGCATTTCTCCTCTTTCTTTCGTAACATCTTCCCGTTGTGTTAGTCCCTCTGTCAGGGACAATTAGATTTCTGGCTTAAACTTTTCTGTACCTTTTTTCCCCCAAATATTATCACACTGGGCTAATAGACTATATAATATTCTATGTGTGTGAAACTCAAGAGCATCCCTTATAAAGCAAACAGAGAAGTAGCAAATTTGGTTTTGACTGCTAAATTCTAACTTGATGTGCTCAGATATAGATGAAAAAGAAAATGACAACTTGAAAAGACCAAGGTGAAAGCCGTGAAGTAGATTTTATTAAATGGAATACAATCTGATGAAGTTTAGATAATGGGTAAAGCTCCAGATAATTCTAGAGTCCCTGGCTCTAAACTGCCAGACATCCTAAACTGCTGCTTTAAAATCCTTAAATTTTGTTAATATGTGTAGATATTTTTAACCTTATCATTTTAATCAAAACCATTTTGAAGAACATCTGCAAAACTGCTTTATCACTTACAAAAAGTCATGTATATGTGCTGATATGTTTGATGGTATTTATTACTGCCTGAAACATATCTTCAATAAGGGGTAAATAAAATGGCATTGCTCTAATAAACAGTTCTTTTTCTCTTCAGATTATTACCATATGGAAATAAATACTTTGCATTGTGCTCTGCAGAGCTGGTGCCATGTATTTGGGCAGCCGATTAAGTACTGTATTTTTTCTTTTCAGTCATAGGCACGCTGTTGATGGCAGCATTTGTCTTCAGAATTAGTATTTACTTACAAAGGGTGCATAGTTATTGCTTGTGTGTATATAAAATCTGCGTATCTTCGAAATAAAAGCATTAGCATATTAACTTATCAGACATTTGGAAGATTGTGCACTAATACTAACAATTGAGACTTAGTCAAATAGAAGTATGGCTGTGGATCCTTCAGCTGGATTAAATCCTATTTCATTAGGTCATTTAAGTCCATTTGACTGTTACTTTAAGTGCTATATTTGAAAAGCATCTACAGGCCACACTTAAAAAGTAACTGTTAACATTAAGATATGCTTTTAAAAGATATATATAAAAAAAAAATTCAATCATAGAAGGAAAAATCCTTTACAATTCAATTTTTTAAAAGCATTATGTCAAATTATTTGTACGTTTTCTGAAAAATAATGGATTCTTCTTTTATGTTGAGCTTTAAATAACCTCAGCCATATCCATATGTTTTTCAAGAATATGAACTGCTTATATGTCAAGGATCTTATTAAAGTGAGGGGAGCTAACACGCTACTTTAAAGCTTACAGAGTGGTATTTGCAGCTGCTTCTTTCGTAAGGAAAAAGAGAAAGCAACAAAAATCCTTAAATTTTCAGAGAAAGCAATTCATATTATAAAGAGCTGACTACTTTCTCTTTGATGAATTATTTTCTTACAACCTAACTCTCCTTAAATTCAGACCTGTACATCCATTTTCTTCCTTACTGTGACTATAAATTTAAAAACAAACAAAAACCCCAATCATATGTAGTGCCAAAATTAGAACAAATGTTGCATTGAGAGTTGAGCTCAGAAATAACAATCTTGTGCAATCTTACTTTTCTCCCCAATACAGTCTTGATTTTATAGGACAAAGAACAACATTTAGACAGTCCACCTGACACACTTCACCTGTTCAGTGATACACTAAATTTTATACTCATTTGCCAAATTTCCAGATCACTTTACTAGAATAGGTGAGTTATTAATCCTTCTAAAGTACAATCAGTATTCACAAAAAATCTGTTTCCTTCGTATTAACTGTTCTAATCTCAGTTTGAAACTTCCAAATGTACAGTAATGACTTAAACCTATGAAGTGTTAATTTCATGTTTGTAAGGACATTCATAATCCTTTAATGTATCATGAGACTGAATATAAAGATGATCATGAACAACTATCCCTAACTGCAGAATACATTACATACATATTCCCTTGAAAATACAATAATACAATGCATTCTAACACATTAAGCTTGTGGTTTTCATAAAATAAATAAATAAATAAAAAATCAGTGCTCCATTCCACAGATTCTTCGACTTTATGACCAAGAATTAATTTAGGCTGAAATCTTTATGCCATCAAATTCAAATGACTAGATCTGAAATTATTTTGAATGCATCAATTTTCTGGATCTCTTTTATATCCAAACACCATCAAACTTCACTTTGCCTCTGAATAAGCAAGATTGTGGAATTCACTTTCATTAAAAATTTTATGCATGAATCAGATTTTCTTGCCCAAAAGCTTAATTGCTGATGTCCTGGAGTGCATTTTTTAACACTTCCTACTGAGATGGCTTTCCAAGCTTGGAAGAAACCAAGTGGAAATCTCTATGCAGTGTCAGGGAAACTTAAATTCACACTGAAAAACTCATCTGCTTATCTGGGACTGCAGTTGAGTGTATGAATACATAAATTATTAGAATAGAGGGCTAGTGATGAAACTAAAACTTTAATCAGGGAGTATGTCCAACGCTTTGATCAGTGCTTTGGCATGTTGCAGCACAGTCTTGGAGTATATGTGTCACATATGCATTCAGGGAAGTTGATAGTTAAAGAAAATGAAGATATAGTTGGGTACCTATTTTAATACATTTTTCTAGTCATGGACTCATTGTTTTGTCTCTTTGAGAACATGAATGTGCTCTTCTGGCATTTTCAACCTACTGTAACGTCAAAATTACATCAACAATTTCCTTTCCTGGTATTATAAATGCAATCAGGAGTGTTGCACATGCTCTACATAATATTTTTCACTTGTGGTATGGCCCACACTGCATTTAGCTGAGGATCCATCACTTGTTGCTGAGTATCCAAAGATGTTGCTTGCATGATGAAAGCTTTCAAAAGCACAACTTGACTACTAGCTCTGACACTATCCTCAATCTACACAGTATGCTGCTTGAATCAGATACAAAATAGATACAACTGAGGACTTCCCTCTTAATAATTTCAGCACATCTTGAAGTGCAAAAGATATGCTTTCTCTTTTCTTACTAGTGAGAACGTGATATGTCGCCATGAATAAAATGCCTTGGAATATTTTTTTTACTCTTCACGAGGATTATGGTTCATCGATCTTCTAAAACTACCATGAATATATGTGTGTAAAATTACAGAAGGGTGTTTCCTTATGCTAGAACTTGCTCTGTGTACTGAAGAAGTTATGTATATCACAATGGTAATGAGAATTATATATTACACAGCTTTCGATATGGTTGCTGTGGGGATCAAAGGGCTTTACAGGTTACTACAAGATATGTGTTAAAATGAGCTTTTTATACAGGCCTATGTCAAAGCAGATGATTTGAGCTTTTATCACAAGTCAAAAATGTATTTCAGCTGCTTTTCAACTACATTTCAAAGCTAAGGAAGAGTAAAAAAAGTATATCAGTAAATTAGATGCGTAACTTGTCTGTTGTATTGCTGGAAAAACACCATGAATAATAATGAGGAGGCCAAAAGGCTGTGTAAACCTCAATAGAAAGAATGCCTTTGATGTGATATATTTCTCTTTTTCAGCATTCAGACTTCTCCCTCTTTCACTTCAAAAGGCTTATGATCCAAATTGAATAGCAGCATTTAATAGCCTGCATGGATACTAACCAATCTAACTTCATTTACAGTGTTTTCAAAGTAAGCTGCAAAAAAATCCAGACCTGGTCTAAGGCTCCCTGTGCTCCCCTTTACAGAATGATCTAGTGTAAGCTCAGACAGGAAAAAAGAATATGTGATAGACTAAAGTACATTTTCAGCTGGTTATTTTCCACTTCCTTCTCAGCATTGTTATCTTTACATCAACACACAGTATGTAACTCTACAACTTTCTCTCACATCCTGACTGGTGCGAGAGAATAAAATAGAGAACTTGTTCAAGGGCTAAAACTTGAGGATTCAGAAGAAAGCAACCTCAGAACTCCATTGGGCTACGATCCCCTAAGTAAAATAATCAGGAGTTACAATATAACTTAAACAGGATTTTCCCTTTCTTTTCTGTTAATAGAAATGTGTTAACACTATTGTTACAACTGTCATAGGTAGAGGCTAAAATCATTAACGTAATAAATTCTATCTTTATCAAGAAACACAAAACTCTATTACCCTAGACATAAATATTTTCACTGTATGTAATGGAAGAACTCAAAACATGACTGTTGTGTCATAAGTGGTTTTATTTTTTTTTTGTCCTTGATGCTTCTTTAAGTCTTACAGTGTAATTAAATTGAGAATCATTTTAAGCTTCTATTCATGAAAAAGTAATTTAAAAAACTCACTGATCTACACATTGAGGATGTCTTGTTTTGTCCTGCAGTGCAATTAGACATCCTGGATGGGGAAAACAGGAAGACCAGCAATAGTTCTAAATACCAAATTACATTTCAAAAAAGCCTGAATTTTCATTTTGGACTTTTTCCAACTGCTTTTTCTTAGAGAAATAAGAGGAAACACTTAGAAACATGCACAATACAGAGCCTGCTAGAAATTCTACAGGGAAATGAGAGTATGATATCCCACTATTCTGGCGATGGCTCAAATTGTTTTTCTGCAAGACTAATGAAATGAGAAATGTTTCAAGCTTCATACCATGACAGACAATATGAAACTAGAATGTACTTGAGTTAGAGCAGTCTATTCAGCATAATTCTCCCATTCCAAAAAGCTACCGAATGGGCTGGAAATAGCATCATGTTAGTATGCTTGCTGTGGGTAACATCATGAATTTTAATTGCTAAATAGGTAATTCCCAATAAAATCTCCATGTGCTATGAGAAAAAAAAAAAAGTTGATTTGGCCACAATCTTGCTTTTTCTTCATAATTTATTAAATAATTTTATCAAGATTTAGTAGGAATTTAAATGAAGGAAGACAATAGTAATATCTTCATATCATGCTGGAACAGAACTTACAATTTTATCTGCTAGATACTATAAGTTGTAGTGTAAAAAAAATAATACAGGAGACAAGGAGGAGGGCGATATAAATCTTGCCTGAAAGAATATTGATATGTTTGCTGTCTTCAGCATGCTGAATTTTGTACTATTGATTCTCTTTCAAAAAATAAATCCTATGTAATTAAAAATTCATTTTGTTTACTTGTAGAAGCTACCATATCTTGGTACGAGGGGATTTAATCTTAACTTCAGCAACAGTTCAACATAAAGACCTCTTCTGTTTTTTTCTGCTTAGATATTCCAGGTCTCAGAGGTGGTAAAGTCAATTACACTTGCATATTGAATTGATGTTGCTGAGGTCCTTCAGGCTTTCTACATATAGGTAACTTACCAGGCATTCCCCTGTGATATTATCACATGATTCTGCGTGACCAAAGCATGTACATGGTGTGCAGACTCCACCAAAGATTGTGCCGTTTACACGTCTGTGTTGTGGCCAGCAATACTGCAGAGAAAATATAAACAAATTGTTTGGACTTTTAAAATACAGTTAAATTTGATACACACACACAAAAATACGTTCTTGTCAGATGAATAGAAATGCCAACATTTCTCTGGAAATTTGTTCTTGGTGCTATGGCTTTGGATTGACCTTAGCATTATTTGCAGATGTGAGGTTAGAAGAAGCCTTAACTTGATCATTCTTCAGAAATGGTAAAATAAAGCAGAGAAATGAAGAACTGAAATATGACACCATCAAAGCAAGAGGTACAGACCAAAAATAGCCAGAAGGCAAAATACTAAAGGAGAAGGGAGAAGCCAAAAATAACCCTTAAACCATAAAAACTCTTCTGAGTAGCTCAGCTGTAAGAGCAATTAAAACACTATGTAGTCACAGGCTAGTAACAGAGCTACACTTCTGCCTACAAATTGTTTCTTTCCTTTTTTTTTTTTTTTTTTTTTTTTTAAGAGTTAAATCAGGAAATGCATGGCTAGCTTTTTTCTTAGCTTTTTTTTTTTTTTGTCTTTCTCCTGCAAAATGTATAAGAAATTTGAAGATGAATTGAAAGTATTATTTTAAAAAAAATCCCCAAACTTTTTTTTATTCTTGGTTATGAATTCCTAACAGAAATATGAACACTAAAGATAAAAAATTATAAAATCCACGAAGGAAAAACAGGCTAGCAGAAATCAGGCTTCTCCACTCCATGGCATGAGATGCAATTGTGTAAGCTGTTACTATAAAATCATTCTTTAAATTTTTTTTCTTTTTCGGTGATTCTGAAAAAAATGACCTAATATGTATGTATACATAATATTGCACGAGATAAGGTTCCAAAAGTCATTAATTCTAAAGGGCTTAGACATGGAATGTCAATAGCAAAACTTGAAACAGACCTAAAATAAAAGATTGCAGATAACAATCTTAAGGAAAGACATGACATAACATTCAAAAGCTAGGAAAGTTCTGACTTTCCTGCCCATCTGACTGTCATAGTGGTACAAATTAAACATAACTTCTTCCACAGGGAAAGCAAAGGAGTAAATAGAAAGGAAATAAATCCAATAGAGAACAGCAATTATACAAATAATTAAGATTCACATAAACAGAACAAAGTAACTGTCACACATCGCCAGTATTTGAAATCTGAAATTTTATCTGTTTTACCTAAGCTCATGGAATTATGTGTTCAATTGTCAGACATACTAGCAAAAACATAACAATTTTCTTCAAACAATCTTGCAGAAAATGAATTCCAAATATGTGTAATGGAACAATCTCATAAGAGACAGCACATTTTAAATTGTATTGGTTGTTTTCTGAGACTGATAATGCCAAAACATTCAAATCAAGAAAATAAGTAAAGAATGGTTGTCTTCATTGCTGCAGCATGTATGCCAGGTACCACAATATCATTACCCAGGAAACAAACAGATACATTAAATTTTAAGATAAAAAGAAGAGAAAATGAAACTGAAATCCTGCATAAATTCAGTAAAAATAACACTGTGGTTGGTTAAAACTGGAAGAAGTGTTGAACAAGTCCAGAAGTGTCTGGAAGAAAAAGAAATAGTATTCTAAATAATGCCACAATTTCAATTTATGTTTGTATTCTTTCTTAACTACTATGAAATGAAAACCTTGCTTTTTTCTTTCCCGTTCTTGTTGTAAAAAGTGAAACCATCTACTCAGAATACAAAAATATTTCCACATTTTTATCTGTCAAGCTCAACTGTTCCACGTATATCATGTGTAGAACCTCCACTACAAAAGACTCATGAGAAATTAATTCTGTGAATAAATGCTTGGAAATGAAAATTTTCACTGTTTTTCTATCCTAAAATAGGCCAGCTTTGTGAAATGGCAGCTCAGCATTTCTGAGCTGTCCAAAAGTGCTCTGAAATTCAATGAGTATCAGGCAGAAGCCTATCATATCTTTTTGGTTTTCATTCCTAGTAAGAAATTCAACCTAGAGGTAGGGAATACAAAATGTATAGGTCACTCCAAAAGTAATGCCTCCTATTCATTTCCATGGAAACTACAACAGATACAAAGGAAACCATTTGATATAGCAAATTCTCAGCTGCAAAACACTATTTTTCAATGTACTCATCACCACTAGCTATGCATTTTTACCAGTGATAAGCAGGAGCCTGTATGCCATGCTCATAAAAATCTACAATGGCAGAGGTAACCCACTGTTTCACAGCTGCTATGATGGCATTGTAGCAAGAAAATGTTGCCCATGTCATCCATCTTTCATCAATCTGCTCAGAAGTCACAAGGCACCAAATCTTAACTGTATGGTGGGTATGGTAGGACAGTCTAACCAAGACTGGCAATGTGCTCCACCGTCTTCAAACTAGTGTGTGGCCCAGCATTATCATACTGCAAGAGAAAGGTTGTCTCTGGACCTTCTCTGGACTCTCTTTGGACAGCACTGCAAAACAGTAACCAGACTTGATGGTTTCCCCAGGTTCCAAGAAAGTCAGAAAGATCATTCTTTTCCTTTCCCAAAATGCAGTGCTTGTCACTTTACCCACATAGAGTTGCATCCTGAGCTTTTTCTTTGATGCAGAATTCATATGTTGCAACTTCACAGACTGCAGTTATGATTTTGACTCATAGTGGTGACATGAGATCTTGACACTGGAAACAATGCCTTTAGTAGGTCATGACAATCTTATATATGGTGTTCTTTCTGTTCCTATGTGTATATTTACAGGATCCACCTAACTTTGTGAGATTCCTGTGTTGCCACCATTATTTCCAACACAACAAAGACAATATTCAGTTCCATACTCAGTTCCTTAGTTGTAATCCATTGATACATGCAGATTAGCTGATTGAGGTGCTCTTTCACAGTGTGACAGCTGTGGATGGCCATCCAGAATCTTTCATTTCACTGTCACCACTCCTGAAACATACCACCTACCACCACACTGTGTTCACATCCACTGTTTGGTCTCCATAAACATTCAGCAAGGGTCAATGAATGTCAGTGGATGCAATTTTTTCAAATGGAGAAATTCAAGGACACACCTTTGCTTCATAGGCACTTCCATGTCAGATGTCATTTTGTCAGTGTCCCTCTGCTGCCATCTGTCACATAGCAACAGAATGGAATGGAATATTGGTGGGAAGATTCAACTTCTACTGCCATACCATATGAGGCTATAATTTGAGAGCAGCCTTCATAGTTTAATTCATGGGGTCTGCAGTAGCACACAGCCAAAATGGGCACCTGCCCACAACATAGAGACTGTCAATTTGCACCTACCTACATAGGATCTTTCTATTTCTGAATATGATCTTAAAAATGTATGAGAAGTTATGGACTGTTTTGAATTGGACAGACAGTTTAGCACCGAATCCTAGAATTATAGAATCTTGGGTTGGAAAAAAATTTTAAGATCATCAAGTCTAACCCAATGTCAGATAGAGAATTTCAGCAACACCAAGTCAGGAACCTTACTGAAGTCTCACAGCTTCTAATGCAAAAGTAGGTACTGGAACATCTGGCTTTCCAATTGTTTAGGCTTTATGATTATTTTTCTTAGAAATCACTTCAAAATCTGAATTTAAGACAAATTAAAAAAAAAAAAGTGAAGCACAGTGACATTTTGTTCCACTTTTTATCTCAACAACTGAACAGACATCTGACTTAAAATTAATTTTTAAGCCAAGGTGGACTATATTCTACTTTTTTCCCTGTCTGTACCATTTTGGAAGTGATAGGAATATCCATTTGCTGCCTCCAGTCTTCTTTCTAGATTAGTCTATCTAGCCTCAGCAAGAAGCAAATACATTTGGCATGAAACTAGACTCTAGGCCCTAAATATCACATATGAGCATTGAAGGTTTTAAAGAAAAGGAGAGATGACATGCAGATGCCTAGAGCATCTGTGTAAATGGCATACTGTTTGTGGTTTTGTGAAGTAGAGCATCTTGGTGTTTGGGACTATTTCCTTAAAGGCAAAGCTTTTGAAGTTTTTTGTTGTTGTTGTTGTTGTTTTTTTTCTTCTTTTTAACCGAACTATGCACATAAGAGATGATTAATCATATGCGTACATGTATGAATACATTGTAAGACAGATAGTGAATTTGTGGTTAAGTGCATAGGGAAATAATCCTCACAGAAGTATACACAATCCCCAAATATTCCACAGCAAATGGTAAAGTCCTGGAGGAAAAAAAAAACGGGAAAACTTAACCACATTAAATCAGGTAATCTGGTCCAATTTTGTTACTGCTATAGTTCTTCTAATATTGATTTTTTTTATGTAACATCAAGTGGTTGAAGAGCACCAAATACTGTTTTTGTTTTCTGTTGTTTAGAGAAATGTCTTTTCCTTCTATAACTTAGAAATCACCAAAGCAATGTAGAACTCCAGACTTCAAATATCATGTGTAATGAACTGCTACCTAGAAATAAAACTAACTAGACAACATAAGCCAAATTTACATCAGGAATGGACAGTTCTCTTATTAATTTCTATCAACACAGGGCCACTGGTCACTTATAACTATCACAGTGTTAGCACATTTGATATAGTCTGTATTGCGATACTAACCTCACACGAGGTACCATCATAACCTGGGGGACAGTCACATAACTCCACTGAAGATGCCAGCTTTCTCCCAGTTGAAGAGTAGTCAGCAGCTTCAATGCTAACACCATTTAGTCTGGGTGTAACAGAAATGAAAGAGTTAACACAATGAATTACACAAAAGTATTTTTGTACTTAGATGCAAGAGCATATACTGACATTGGTTGGCTTGCTTATATATATATATATATATGTTTAAAAATAAGAAGGTATTCAAAGTCATCTATTTCTATAGTAACCTTGTTACTATTTTTGGCTATCATGTGAGGGAGACCATGGTCAGGCATACACTGATAAAAACAGATTTTAAAGTCTCACAGCATTTTGTTAGAAGGATGGCTATTCCTGCCCAGCAAGCTGTATGTTGCAATTTGTATTATGGCTGTATATAGAAAGAATTTGACACCAAGCAATGTCTTCAAAATTTTTAAAACACTACACCAACTTTCCAAAATACTACATTACTTATCTTTGCTTATAAGGTCTTTTTATTTTGGAGAGCCAGTCTCTGTAAAAAAGATTTCAGCTCTGTCCAGGAGGATCTAAGTGTTACGTACATGGAATAAGATCTTCTACCGTTAGTCCTACTAGTTTTCCAAATGACAAAGAAGAGACAGTTGGAGATTTTTCTGCTCAGTGCATACTATAGAATCATAATCTATTTATATTTCCAATTCTTATAACCTAACAAGGATATCACCACTATTTATGGCAGTAGGAATTAGTCCTAAAATTAGTAACTTCCATTATATAATTTTAGGCAAAGGGATGATGGGAAAAGAAGTTTAAAATAAAATAAAAAACTTATTGCCTAAAGGAATTAATGCTAAGATTCTCTCCTCTTGTTTAGACAAAAAATAAACTTTCACTTACCAATCTTAGTAGATTGTTTGATTACCAGAGTAACATGGAAGGCTTTTTCTAGTGTATCTTTTCACAGAAAATATATTTCTATCACCACATGAACTTTGTTAAAAAGTAATCATTTCTTTTGAAAAGCATAAAGCAAACAGGAACTTCAGAAAAACAAATGTTGTGATAACTGGATATATAATTAGGCTTTGGAGGGACTACCACTGGAGATTATGCAGTAAGAAACGCAAATCTAATTTGTTAATATTAGAACCTCTGGAAAAGATTCTTGAAACTCTGTTGAGAGAATGATGCCTATTCCTATCTAGCTTCACAGGGAGGTCTCTCTCACCAAGTAACAGATCTTGGAACAAAAAGAAGCATTTAAACACAGAAACCATCCATCCAGAATTATCCCACATTTGTATTCACTGAATTGTTCCAATTTTCATTAGGTTCTGTTATTGCTAAATGGGATTTTAATGTGTTTAACATTTTTTAGCGTTAACAGTTACACATTGAAAAAAGATACAATGATTTTTTTTTTTCCATTTTGACATTGCAGTTTTGATTCCTTGATGCCATTCTACATTCAGTGAAATATATCATGCTGGCAGTAATGGGACAGGAGATCCTGGAGATGCATGAACAATGTGAGATTCAAAGTCGAGACCAAATATTTAAGCTGACTGCTACTGTCAGCAGGCAACTGTTGACTTCTAAAAACAAATAAGATTAAAAGAGAAGGGGATGTTTCAGGCAGTATCAGCAGTTTACTGTCTGCTGTGCCAGGCATCTGAATCACATTAGCTACATAAAGCACAAGAAGTACTGACCCAATCATTGCTCATTTGTCTTGAACCTAACTCTGCATATGGAAGTAAATCCTCTGCCATTCCTTCTCTCTTCCTGTTTGCATCTACCATCAATTCTACATTACCTTTGGCATTACAATAGTTACTGTTATTGGCCACCCTACCTTTTAAACCTAAAGAAACAGTGCTACTAAACATTCTTGAATCACAGACAACATTAGATTAAACAACTTGATACAAGAGAGTTGTCTTGGCCTGCTGCTTCTATCATAGATGGACTCAATATCAACAGTTTGGAAGATCTGTCAAGTATGAGCAAAATTTCTCAAATGAAACCCAGAAGCTGAGTCACTTTCAAATTGATTGCTGCATTTCTGCATTCTCATTTTTGTATATCCTACTTGATAATGTAAATGAAAGCCCATTTGAGGAAGATTTCTATTTGTGCCATAGAGCAATTTTCTAAGCTTAAAATTACCCAAAAATATTTTCTAAAACATGCTCAATCTATTTCCTCAGCAAAAATGTCTTCGTTTGGAGCTCACCCTTAGCTGAGCTAAGGGGACAGAATAATGAGAAAATATTTGTTTTTCATAATATTAGAGTTATGAGAACAGCTTTGTGCCTGGTATGTTTTAGCATGAGTTAAACTCAAGTAGAAAATAAAGAAATCAGAGCTGGAGCATACACTGAAGATCAGCAAAATGCCTACAGGTACTGACCATAAGTTGGGCTTGATTTCAGTAGATGCCATTACATCATTTTACTAGGAGCACGTACTGTTCAGAAATTTAACTCCATACAGTAAACCCCACTCAAATAGGCAAATTTATTATTCCTCCAGTGATACTGAAGGTGAAGAATCCAATTCATTTCCTTATGACTGGAATCTTAAACTGGATCTTGGAATCTTAGAGTAATAGAATCCTTAGAATTGGAAAGGGACCTGTAAAGGTAATCTAGTCCAACTCCCCTGCAATGAACAGGAACACACACAGCTAGCTCAGGTTGCCTAGGGGCTAATCCAGCCTCACCCTGAAAATCTCCAGGGACAGAACATCAGCTACATCTACAGACAACCTCTTCCAGTGCCTCACCACCCTCACTATAAAAGACTTTTTTCTTAAATCCAACCTAAATCTCCCCTCTTTAAGCTTGGTCTACCACAACAGATCCTGATAAAGAGCGTGTCCCCTTCTTTCCTGTGAGGCTGGTCACCTCACAGCCTTCTCCTCTCCAGACTGAACAGTCCCAGCTCTTTCAGCCTGTTCTCATATCAGAGGTGCTCCACTCCATGGATCATTTTTGTGGCCATTATCTGTGTGCACTCCAACAGGTCTATGTCTCTCCTGTAGGACTCCACATCTAGATGTGGTACTCCAGATAAGGCCTCACCAGAGTAAAGTAGAGGGGCAGGATTACCTCCCTCAACATGCTGGCCACGCTTGTTTTGATGCAGCCCAGGATATGGTTGGCTTTCTGGGCTGTGAGGGCACATTGCAAGCTCATGTTTAGCTTCCCATCCCCCAGTACCCCCCAGTTCTTTTTCAGCAGGGTTGTGCTCAATCCTTTCATTCCCTACCAGCTTGTATTAGTAATGGGGTTTGCCTCAACCCAGGTTGAGGCAAATCTTACATTTGAATTTGTTGAACCTCATGAGGTTTGCCTGGGTCCACTGTTCAAACCTGCTCAAGTCTTATCCCCCACTTAACTGGAATGAGCATCCTGACAGCAGTCAACAAAATGTGTTTACTTTAGAACAAACTATTTACAGAGGCTTCTGTTCATGCTGATGGAAATCTCTGTAATGCATTTGCCATTGCATTTTTTTCTGGTAAATAAAAAGGCATCAGAGGGACTGCTAGATGTAGCAATAATGTAAAACTGTCTCTAGCCAACAAGGCACTCCCAAAATTATCTTAGTCCTTCACTGAATCTCTTTTAAATCACTGTCTTTAATGGACCAACATTCCAGAGTGTAATGTCATTATATCTAGAAGATGACACCGCCAACCTGCAAAGCACAAATTATAGGTAAGTCCTCGAGCTTTTCCTAAAGAATATTTTCAAGACATGTTTCTGGCAAGTTACTAATAATACATCACTAAAAGGTTCAAAAGGCTGTACATGAGCCAGACTACATGACAGACTACAAGTACCACACACATGGCCAAATGGCTAAAGCAGTAGTCTGGTGTGCAGGAGGCAACACACGATTTTCCAGACACGGCAGTGACAGGTCTGCCACTTCTTCCTTACAAGTGTAAAACTACAGACTATGCCAGTTCTACACAGCTGTGCTGACCTGACCATCCCATGTCCATTGTTGTATTCAACAGTACAAGCAAGGTGATGCCAGTACGTGTCCAGCAATGTACACTCTTCCCACATTCTAACTGCTTAGCCAAAATGTTTGTTGCAGGAGAGCTTCTTTTCTCATCATAGTGCAAATGTCAATATACATATGTATGTAAACCCTTGACAGATGAAGTTTGTACTTCCTGGAAAACTTAGTAAAACTTCTTGCCCAAAGTTAACCATACACTTTTCATTCAAAACAACATAAGAGCCACTATCATTCACCTCAAAATTGTTCATGTAATCTTAATTTAGAAAATTCTGTTAAATACTCTTTTTTTTTGTCCTTGAACACCAGGGTGGGAAAGTTCTGGGACATGTAGGGTCTTCAAATTGGATTGCAATAGTTCAGGCTGATGACCAAGTGAGCAAATTAGGAATCATTTTGGCTCAAATTCAAGACTGTGATGAATTGCAAACTTATTTATAGAGATATAACTCACACTATTAAGCCACAGAAATGGAAAGAACCTGAAGAAAAGGGAATTCTTTCTGCAGTGCAAAAAAAATTTATAATGACGAAGTTCAAATAAGAAAGCTACACACTATTAACAAGAACTGCCTTTCAATTTAGGATGTATTTAGTTACCTAAGCATTTAAATGATTACTGGATTGCTTAAAACATTTCTCAATGGCAAGAACTGTATCTATTATTTCAACAAATATCCACTACAATACTATCAACTCCCTTCTTTTCAACTTGCCTCATGCCACAGAATCAAGTGATGTCTGTATTAAAGAGCATTTCAGGTCTCATAACTTGTAAGTGGAAAGCTACTACACAATCTATTTTGTGGCACATCCTTTAAAAAGTATTATTTATGCAGCTTAATTATTAATGTTTAGAGAAGAGTGCAATTACAGTATCAGGTCTTTAAGCCAACCTGGAATGTTGCGCTTACAAGAATTTTGCATGTGCACTCATCAAAATTTTAAATGCAATATGAGCTTTATAGGTTCAACCAAACTGTAGCCACTGAGATAGAACAACTACGCAGTTTCTTATGACGTTTCATTTTTTCAGAAGGCTCAAAAGAATTCACATGCAATCATGGTTTTAAGCAGTCTAGGCAGCACACTGACATAAATCAAAGGAACAGCTTTGGGAATAACCACTTCTGCATGTGGTACTCATTTAAAAAGCCCAAAATTCCCCTCTAGCTGCTTGGCCAGCTTTGAGGTTTAGACTGTTATTCTCTAGTCCACTGTTAATGCAGTCTTCTGTGATTACTAAATAGGGAAAACAACATATAAGCAATATACAATTTCTTATTTGGCCGTGTCGTCACTGCATTCCATGGTCTACTGTACACATGAGAATTGCAGTATTTACAAAATAATCACATTTATGGACCTGTTATTCGCATTTTAACAGTCCTTGTGATTTCACTTTCTTACACAGCTGATACCTAAAAGGAAAAAAGGTACTGAACATGTGAGTAAATGTTATGGATTTCATGATAATAAATTAAAGCCTGTTTTAAAGGCCTGTTTTTTTCTCTGAAGAGAGGAAAATCAAGTATTTTGAGAAACTGCCTGAAACACTGACACATTTCCCCCATTCACCTGTAGATGGCATTCATCCCATAGCTGTATGTAGCTCTTATGAGGATCCTCTTCAAGTTTGCAAAGATGGTCATGAACTCTTTCCTGCTGACTGGAACATCAGTGCCATGCGAAGAGAAAAATTCTGGTTTCAGCACAATTTCTTCAGTATGCACTTCAGAAGGCTGCAAGTGAATTCTGCCTTTTGGAGTGCTGATTCTCAAATCACCTCCTCCCTAGAGAGAGACATAAGGGATTTTTATATATGAAATAAATTATAAAAAAGATCTATTACTGCAATCAACTGAGGTAAACATTATTAAATAATACATATTTTTATAAGAATAATGAACATCAGGAATAATATTAGTCTTTCATAAACCAAAGTGGGCTTGCCTGATTAATCACAAAGTCAGTGCAAATAAACTCATATAAATATGAGCTGCACAGAACAGGTCTGTAGAAAGAACATAGAAGTATTATCTCAGCTAGTCAGTCACATGGAATACAGTTTATAAACTACTGCAATATTGGTAGGCAGCCCTTTAGATGCAGGAAGTTTTAATTCTTTAAAGCACGATGATTTTCTGATACAATAAATAAGCTTAAGTTACATGAGCCCTGCAGTTTTGTGGTGGGCCTCAATCAGCAGGCTTCACATTGAAAATCAGAAGGGGAAAGTAATTTTCTTTCTTTCCTTCTTTCTTTCTTATATATTTTTTTCCATTGGTGGCTGAAAATGCAATCACTACCTCTATGATGACATCAGGTTGGATCATCAATTGAGCTGCCTCTTCTTGCTTTGTGAAATCATAGGAGACTGTGAATTTCAGAAGCCCTCCAACTGCTGTTACCTAGGAAGGACAAAAAAAAAAACAAAAAACAAAAAACAAACAAACAAAAAAAACCAAACAAACAAAAAACCACTCCAATTAATTAATTAATTAATTAATTAAAAGGCTTTAACTGTTAGAGGGCAAATTCATTTTAGTGACAGCATTTTCAGGAAATAGACTTCTGGTGCAAAAACAAACATAGGCAGATACCTACAGATTACAGCTATATGGACCATTCCCTTCTTCTTCAAAGATCTCAAAATCACACTCACTTTTCTTCAGTGTCTACTGAAGAATGCAAATTACTTTTACACACTGACTAACAAAGTCATCAGAAACAGACCTGAAATCTATGCAAATTTCCACCTGACACTGACATTAGGTTTTCAGTACATCTCAGATAGATTGTTCTCATTTAGTCTGGCCCTTTACCTGAGCAACCTTAGCCACCTTTAAAGGATAAAATAACTTCAGTTCGGCTGGTGGGGCAAACTGCCAAAGAAGAAATAAATCTATTTATGTTTTTTTTTAGGATGAACTGTAAAAAAGTAAGATTTTTTCCTCTTGGAGACAAATGAATTTACTTTAAAAGTATGTTCCAGGCTTTCACATCAGTTCAGTTGATCTTTCAGAGCAAGTGGTCATTAACCAGACTATATCAAGTCATACTATAGTTTTCCTATGGTCTTCTAGCACTCAAAAGCAGACTGCTGACAGTAGCTTTGTCATGAAAAAATGAAAAATGCAAATTAGTTTCAGGCTGCAAATAAACTATTGCAGACTTGACAGTGTTCAATATATAAAAAACAGTGTCTTTTTTGTTTATTGCTGGGGGGCATTTTAGTAAATCAGAGGTTGCAAGGGCTATATTTTTTTTTTTTTTTTTTTTTTTACCAGATTCAAATACAGAGTATTTGAACTCCAACTAACTCATTAAAATTTCAAATAACAAAACATTAACTAAGATAATCTCTCTAGCTAACTGAGGAAAAAAAAATCTAACATATTTAAAAGAAGTACACAGAACCTATGTAAAATAGGCAACTGACATTTATGGAAACCTACATACAGACTTCAACAGATGATAAAATTGAAGGAAGAAAGGTGTTTCTTTCCATAATAAAAGAATGGTATCAGATGCCTAAAAGAACGCAACCTCTTCAACCCCCTTCTGTTTGAATAACTCAAGAAAGTTGTTACTACTAGCCTGCACCACCTGTTTCCTCTTAATACATTATGCTAGTCCCTAGAAAACATACTGCTCAAGGAAGTCTATTACTAAAGAAATTGCAATTGTCCCAAATTCCTGATAGGAAGAGATACAGGTATACAACTGCGCTTGACTCCAAATCGTTATTCCCTGGAATTAAATACAGTTTCTAAAACAGAAGCAGAAAACTAAAAATTCCATCTTCAAACAGATTGCAGAACTTGCCATTGACACTGGAAGAGATTTACTCCAGAATACCACTGAGGCAACAGTAGACCATGCATGTTACATTCAAAATGTTTTTACACACAGTGAAACACAAATCGAGGACTTTCAAACCAATTCACTTTGTATTTATAGCTAAAAAACGATGTGAAGAAATAAGGTACATTTCAAAGATGAGTAAATGGTTACATGATAAGTTTGTTATTAAAACCAAATACGTGCACCTTGTTTATATCTAAAGTAGTTTCATTTGTGTATCAACAGATACAGCTTAAAGGGGCTTTGCTCTCTGGCCTAATCAAGGAAACCTCATGCCTTCAAAAGCAAAAATATATTAAGCTAGATTTAGACTTACACAAAACCAGACATTAGAAATGAGTGAAATAAAAGACATAACAAATATTAAGAAGTTCGACAATATTTTCCATCCTCACTGTTACTCTTTCTATCAGAAATATAGTTAAGGAAGTTCCTACTAGAACAACAAGCATTGCAAAGAAAGTTAATATTTTTATTAGACCTACACATCTGTAATACATAAATAGAGCAGAGACATGTTTTTTTGGAAATACAAACTCTGCTATTACAATATCTGATAGATAGGCATTAGAACGATGTCAAGTGAACAAATGCTATCAGGAAAAAAAATAGCAGAGAGTAAAAGAAAAAAATTTACAAACATTAATGGGCAAAACATCTCATGTGGAAATGCTAATACATGTACCACTGAATACAAAATCAAGAAGGAGTCCCACAGCAACTTGCTGATAGTAAATCAAGGTTAGGAGAGGGAACATCCTTTTACCCTAGACATACATCAGTGAATGTTCTTTTGCTTTCTGTCATTGTTCTAAGAAATTACATGAATTCTTAGTCTTTCTGTGTCTGTATCATATTCTTGGTGACAATATCTACCCCTAGATGCAGTGCTCTGAGGTAAAAAAAATCATATAACATTGAGTTTAACATTCCCTACTAGCCTTCTTGAATTTCCACGATACAGAGCTACAATAAAATGTCAAAGTTTATTTGGACTCTTTCACCTTCACTAACTCTCTAGATACACATTTATTTTATGACACAGATTTCAGCAAATATAGAGAGATTTGCTACCAGAACACTACGTCTGACAATATGTAGGAAATACTTTAGAATAAGAGAAAGATATCTCCTAGCCTTTTTTTTTTTTTTTTTTCCCCAGCCAATTTAGTCCAAAATTGATTGGTATCTGTGTCACTATGATGTAATTTGACCAAGTGGTGAATTCACTGTTTACCATCTTAACAGATGGCTCTAAATGCCTATGTGTTTTTTTTTAACCAGCCCACAAACTTCAGAAAATGGCCAAAAGCCTGCTCTTACTAATTTAATTTACTTAGGTTTCATGCAATATTCCACTGATAATCCAGCTCTCATCTGGATTACTATTTTCTTTAGGAACAAGGGCTTGCTGTAAATTTATGGTACTTAATTATGTTTTGCTGATCTGGTATTCATGTTGGTCTGATAAAGCAAGGAGCAAAATAATAATGTTCCATTTGAATGATCGCACAGTTGTGGCTTAGCTTAAAAAGAAAAGTGAAAAAAAATAGGAAAAAAACATTATAAGAAGATTTCCAACTCATTCTTTTCCGGGACTGTATAAATAATATGATACAGCCTCTTCTTTTCTTCTTCTCATAGAACCACAGAATTAACAGGTTAATGCAAGAGACCTCTGGGTCCATCTTGTCCATCTCCCTGCCCAAGCAGGGCCACACAGAGCAGACTGTCTAGGGGCATGTCTAGATGGTATTTGAACATCTCCAAGGAGGAGATTCCACAAACTGTGAAAGTGCTCCATCATCTGCACAATAAAGAAGTGCTTTCTGATGTTCACTAGCAGTAGAAAGAATTCCCTGGTCCCCATCAGAGAAATGTGATACATGCAGATTCAAAAATAACTGAAAGGTAAGTAGAAAAAGGACACTGAAAGCTAAAGGTGGTATATTCCAACATCTGTTCCATAAGTCATCCCTTTTTTTTTGGCAAGAATTCTCGTAAATCAAGAGTAATCAGAAAATCAAAAGCTTTTTAAGTTTTGTCTTGCTGCTTTTTGCTTCTTGGCCTAGAATGAGCATTGCAAAATTTTTGTTGTGGATGGCTCTTGTCATCATGACTGTAACAATCTCATGATAATTCCAGGCTCTTCCTGCTTTAAATGGTTTGTGACATGCAACGCAGCTCAACTAAAATCATACACGATTCTTCAGTTCTATATATCTGCTATAATAATAATAATAATAATAATAATAATAATAATAATAATAATAATAACTTCAATGGAAAAGATTAACTAATTAAAAAGAAAGCCTCTTCTTTGTGGATTTCTAAATTATACCTATAACTTAGACCAGTCTCACTTTTACTGATATACTATATTAGTATTACTAATATGTATATATGTATATATATGTACTAACTCTGGGTCTCTTCCTCCTTAGATGAACTAGACTACATTACTTGGAAGCAAAGAAAAAATAGACATCTATATAATATTCAACAATCTACTGTGTTTAGTGCAGAATATAAAAACATTTAGTGATACCATTTTCCTGAAAGGAAAAATCAATAGAATCTCAGTTCTTAAAGAAGACAGGAACAGAAGGACAGCAGTTCTCCTATAAGCCCTGTGCTGCCACTTATGTTGAAAACTTGCTCCTTCTGAAATTAGTACTGAAAAAAAATAATGAAACTGTGATTTAAAGGCTTGTACAACCAGGTTATATGCTATTTCCTGAAATGTGCTTATGAATGTAGACATTTACCCTATGAATTCTCAAATCCCTACCACCATTCCCAGGTGCCATGGAATTACCAAAGTTGGAAAAGACCTCCAAGATCATCCAGTCCAACCATCCTCCTATCACCAATATTTCCCCATTAAACCATGTTCCTTAGTACAACAGGTAAAGGTTTCTTGAACACTTGTCATTTCCCGTCACTAAAGATCCCCAGAACAGCCTGGTCAATCATTCCTGAGGTCTAAAATCGACTTTGCTAATGACAAGCCTTCAAAAATGTGTAATATGTGGTCTTTTTTTTTAAGAGCTACTTAACCATAGTAACCATATTGTATAACCTTAGAAAAGTTACTTATTTTCTTATTCCTACTTTGCTTTCCATATGACCAAAATATTGTTTGGTGATTGTGCCTTCCCAATTACTATTCCCTAAGCTGCTGTAACTTGATCAAGGGCTCAAAAATAGAAAAGAGGGTACATATCCTTCTGGTAGGGGCATGGTAACTATATTTCATGTACATTTTCTACCTATACCTACTACTGTGGTAACAAGACTCAGACTTTGGAAGTCTCGCAGTGCGGATAAGTGTCTGCCCCTGACTATCATCATTAAGGGATATATTTTTTAAAATGTACCAGGTACTTCATTAAAATTGCAGAATTTTTCCCTTATCTGAAAACGGTTAAACTGCAGAGAGAAAAAAAATGCTAATTAATTGAAACTCACCAGTAGATGGTTGAGTTTTACAACAGCTATTCTAATCTTAATAAGCATTAATTTAGCAGGGAAAGAATGGTTT